ATTCCAGGGCTCCGACCTTCATTAAAATGCAAGATCCTGGTAGCTTGGCCACACCGGTGCAAAGCAAAAGGCCTTGGGTTCCTTAATCAAGCCCCCAATGCCTTTGCTTTGGGGGTACATGCTCTTAGGCGGTCTGGAGCGGAAGAGCTTAATGATATGCAGTCTGCAGCCAGACACGTCTGATCTTCAATAATAAAATTAATATGATTTCTTTCCATCTCTGTCTCTCTGTCTCTCTGTGTCTCTCTCTGTCTCTCTGTGTGTCTCTCTCTTTCTCTCTGTGTGTGTCTCTCTCTCTGTCTCTGTCTCTCTCTGTGTGTGTGTCTCTCTCTCTTTCTCTCTGTGTGTCTCTGTCTCTCTCTCTCTCTGTGCCTCTCTCTCAGTCACTCTCTCTCTCTCTCTCTGTCTCTGTCTCTCTCTCTGTCTCTCTCTGTGTGTGTGCGTCTCTCTCTCAGTCACTGTCTCTCTCTCTCTCTGTGTGTCTCTCTCTCAGTCACTGTCTCTCTCTCTCTCTGTGTCTCTCTCTCTCTCTGTCTCTCTCTCTCTGTGTGTGTCTCTCTCTCTGTCTCTCTCTCTCTCTCTGTCTCTCTCTCTCTCTCTCTCTCTCTCTCTCTCTGTGTTTCTCTCTCTTTCTCTCTCTGTGTCTCTCTCTCTCTCTCTCTGTGTCTCTCTCTCTCTGTGTGTGTCTCTCTCTCTGTCTCTCTCTCTCTCTGTGTGTCTCTGTCTCTCTCTGTCTCTCTCTCTCTCTGTGTGTGTCTCTCTCTTTCTCTCTCTGTGTCTCTCTGTGTGTCTCTGTCTCTCTCTCTGTGTGTGTGTCTCTGTCTCTCTCTCTCTCTCTCTGTGTGTGTGTGTATCTATCTCTCTGTCTCTCTCTCTCTCTCTCTCTCTCTGTGTGTCTCTGTCTCTCTCTGTCTCTGTCTCTGTCTCTGTTTCTCTCTGTCTCTCTCTCTGTGTCTCTCTCTTTCTCTCTGTGTGTGTCTCTGTCTCTCTCTGTGTGTCTCTGTCTCTGTCTCTCTCTCTCTCTCTTTGTGTGTCTCTCTCTCTTTCTCTCTCTGTGTGTCTCTGTCTCTCTCTCTCTCTGTGTGTCTCTGTCTCTCTCTCTCTGTCTCTCTCTCTCTGTGTATCTATCTCTCTGTGTGTCTCTCTCTGTGTCTGTCTCTCTGTGTCTCTGTCTCTCTAACCATTCTTTCCTGCTACCCTTGTTGACTCCTCAGGCTTCCTCCAGATCTGGAGTCCCAGGAAACCAACTAGCATCGAAAGTCGAATGGGGAACAGGCTGGTCTAATGCGGGGAGGGACGTCACAAAACCAGGATTGTGTTGGTGTGCCAAAAATTCCTCTTCTGGGACGGTTATGGGTTACGGCCTTCTTGACACCAGGGGCAAGGAAAGGGTTTAATGAGAGGCCACTGAGTGACCTCTCTCCTTCTCTTGGCTCAGGCTGCAGAAGTCATCTTGGCCAGGAGTTGGGTCTTAACGCTCTCTCGGGCACGGGGGACTCCTGACACGGATATCAAAAGTGACCCAGCCACATTGTAATGGCAGGTTTTAATTCCAGGGTGTCACACAGAGAAGAACAGAGCCACTGTGAGTGTAATGGCAAGATAATGTTGTCACTCCCCAGCGGTTCGGTCAGAGGGCAGGCAAAAGCAGCGGGCTGCCAAAGATAATTAACAAGAGGTGAAAGGCAGGTGACTAGGAGGAAGCCTCAGCAGAAACACTGCCGAGAAGACAATTAATCTTCTCTCTCCGGGCCTCCATGGCTGATCTTGGTTCTTCCTGGTTTCTCCTTGCCAAAGAGCTAAGCTTGTAATATTTTTGCTGCCGTTGCTGCTTTCCCTGATCTCTCACGTTCGGTTAGAGCTTAACAGGTTTTTCAGCAGAGGTGTTGGGAGTTCACGATGGATGTTTTACTTGGTGGACACCAGCCCTCCCAAGATCAGCTGCCTTCTGGCCCTTGACCGAGGGTTTTCTCCCGATTACAAATATCAGGAGGAAAAGGTTTGTGGAAGGGGAAAAAAAAAAAAGAAAGGAAAGAAGGAAGGAAGACAAATGCTGCATTGTTTCAGGGAAAGCCACAAATTGTTGGTAGGAGGATGAGAAGGTTACTTACTCTTCTCCGGTTCCTGAGCTTTCCCTCCCCTTGAGGATCACGTTTTGATCAGATGTTAGGAAACATTTGGAAAGGAGGACGGGATGGAGTGAAGCTGACAGGAAAGCTAATCTAAACAGAAGATGGTTGGTGGGAAGGAAGACTTCTCCGAGCTTTTAAGAACTTGCATTAACATTGGCTACCACCTTCTAGGAGCCTTTTAAAAATGCCTTTAAAATGCAGCCTCCTTGCTTTGATCTATCATAAATATCGATGGTGCTATGTCTCACGCTCAAAAGTAAGAGTACGGAGGCTCAAAATGTGTGAGTTTTCTGTTTGCCTTCCTCAAGAATAGGCTCTATAATTGTGTTTCCATCAGAGAATTCAACTTTCCTTCCTTCCTTCCTTCCTTCCTTCCTTCCTTCCTTCCTTCCTTCCTTCCTTCCTTCCTTCCTCCCTCCACTGCTCCTTCCTTCCTTTCTTCCTTCCTCCACTGCTCCTTCCTTCCTTCTTTCTTCCACTGCTCCTTCCTTCCCTTCCTCTCTCCACTGTCCTTCCTTCCTTCCTCTCTCCGCCGCTCCTTCCTTCTTTCCTCCACCGCTCTTTCCTTCCTTCCTTCCTCCCTCCCTCCACTGCTCCTTCCTTCCTTTCTTCCTTCCTCCACTGCTTCTTCCTTCCTTCCTTCTTTCCTCCACTGCTCCTTCCTTCCCTTCCTCTCTCCACTGTCCTTCCTTCCTTCCTCTCTCCGCCGCTCCTTCCTTCTTTCCTCCACCGCTCTTTCCTTCCTCCCTCCCTCCCTCCACTGCTCCTTCCTTCCTTCCTTCCTTCCTCCACTGCTTCTTCCTTCCTTCCTTCTTTCCTCCACTGCTCCTTCCTTCCTTCCCTTCCTCTCTCCACCGTCCTTCCTTCCTTCCTCTCTCCGCCGCTCCTTCCTTCTTTCCTCCACCGCTCTTTCCTTCCTTCCTCTCTCCACTGCTCCTGCCTTCCTTCCTTCCTTCTTTCCTTCCTTCCTTCTTTCCCTCCTTCATTCTTTCTCTTTCTTTTTTTCTTTCCTCCCTCCCTCCCTCCCACCAGAAAGGACTTTCCATGTAAACCTTACCCTGGGAGGAGGGATTGCGGAGAGCTTGGTGATGTCCTAACCTGTCAAAGTCTTTCCCTCCAAGAGCTTCAGCCCAGGAGGATCTTCTCTGCAAGAGCACGAGGCAGGGGGTCCCTAATCAACATGCCTCTGGCATTCACCTTGATTGATTGCATTTCCCTTTCACAATCTGGCATTTTCAGATCCGGAGATAGAAATGCAGGCATTGTGTAGAGAAGGGAGGGTGGCGGAGGTGGGGGGTCACCCTGCCTTGTCAACTTGAGGCTTTCAAGATAATATTGCCTTGCATGGAAAAATGGATTAAAATGGGAGTAGAAAGGAGACAGCAGCGAATCTTCCAAACTTAACAACAGGAAGATTCCCCTTCAGTGCTCCCTGTTATGGTCCAACAGACAGAAACTGAAAGGAAATGACCTCTGCTTGCTTGGAAGGAAGGGATGGCTATGACCAGATGTGGACTGTTCAGGTGCCGGGCTGAGTTTCCCCAGACACATCAGGCTACAAGAAAATTTGGGTGACAAGGGACTTAACTCTAGTCCTTGTTTTGCAGTCCAGATCTGGTAAGATAAAGGTTCCCCCGCACACGCTTGCTAGTTGTTCCCGACTCTAGGGGGCGGTGCTCATCTCCGTTTCAAAGCCGAAGAGCCAGCGCTGTCCGAAGACGTCTCTGTGGTCATGTGGCCGGCATGACTCAACACCAAAGGCGCACGGAACGCTGTTCCCTTCCCACCAAAGGTGGTCCCTATTTTTCTACTTGCATTTTTTAGGCGCTTTCGAACTGCTAGGTTGGCAGAAGCTGGGACAAGTCACGGGAGCTCACCCCGTTACACAGCGCTTGGGATTCGAACCGCTGAACTGCCGACCTTCTGATCGACAAGCTCAGCATCCTAGCCACTGAGCCACCTCGTCCTTCATCCAGATCTGGTAGCCCTATCTAAAAGAAATGACTGTTTCTTAGCCTTCACCTTCCAGGAAGATTCTATGCAAGGTGTTCAACAAGGTCTGTTTTTAACCAGGTTACGGGCATTTGCATCACATTTCCCTGGATGCTTGCTAGTTCTAAAGTCCTACATTTGCTGTGGAAAGTCTTAATTCTGACTCACTAGCCCAGGGGTGAAATCCAGCAGGTTCTGGAGAACCAGTAGCGGAAATTTTGAGCAGTTCGGAGAACTGGCAAATATCACCTCTGGCTGACCCCAGAGTGAGGTGGGAATGGAGATTTTGCAGTATCCTTTCCCTGCCACACCCACCAAGCCACACCATGCCCACCAAGCCACGCCCACAGAACTGGTAGTAAAAAAAATTGGATTTCACCACTGCACTAGCCCCTTTCCTGCCAAGGAGATCATCTGTGATCAGAAACATTACGGAGAGTTGGCTGACCCAGCTAGGGTTGGTTATGTGCTAGAGGGCACTAAAAGAATAAGGGGTGAAAAATTTCCAGAGTTATGGGATCCCCCCGAAACCATGATTGGTTAGATACAAAGCCATGGCCCACTTGAGTAGAATAGCACCATTTTTCTGTTGATGGTGCCCTCCTAAGTCTTACTTACATACTTGACTTCTGAATGTTTTTGGTTCTTAGTTTGGGTTCCTTTTCCTTCTCAAGAGACCATAAAAAAACTGGTGGGACTTTTGTTACCTTCTGTCAAATTCTACCAGGATGTAGATAGATTGTCCCTTTCTCTTCATCCTACTCCACCACTTCCTGATGCAACTTTGCCTAATTTAGCAGCAATCCTGAGCAATCCTTCTCGGTCTCATTTTTAACAGGGTTACTCCAACCAGCGCTGAACAAACAACAAACTCACTTCCGACTCTGAAGCATCCAAGGGTTTCTCGGTGAGGGCGATGCTTTCGGCCAAGACAGCTCCATTGTACTTATTGCAGATGTCCTCGTCCGAATAATGTAGGCCTCCAGGGCTCGGGCGAGGTGGTGATCTGGAACCAGGAAAAGGAAAGGAAATTAAGTTTGGGCTGGCTTTTGATTCTGTCCGATAGATAAAACACATTCGCCAACCTCTCTCTCTCAATGGAGTATTGGGTACCGTAAAAGCTGTGAGGCCAATTGTTTTCTTTCTGGAAAATAAGGTCCTTGTAAGCATTGATGATATATAGGTAAAGGTAAAGGTTCCCCTTGCACGTATGGGCAAGTCATCCCTGATTCTAGGGGGCGGTGCTCATCTCCGTTTCAAAGCCGGAGAGTCAGCGCTGTCTGAAGACGTCCCCGTGGACATGTGGCCGGCATGACTCAACACCAAAGGTGCATGGAATGCTGTTCCCTTCCCACCAAAGGTGGTCCCTATTTCTCTATTTGCATTTTTTACCTGCTTTCGAACTGGCAGAAACTGGGACAAGTAACGGAAGCTCACTTCATTACGAGGCACTAGGGATTCGAACCGCTGAACTGCCGACCTTTCGATCGACAATCTCTGCGTCTTAACCGCTGAGCCACCGTGTTCACTTTGATGATATATAAGTACCCATAAAGGAGAATATTTGTAGCTCAGGGTTGAAATGAGGGGGTCCCTGGTGCTCTCTGGAGTTGGTTGGTTTCTTCCAGAAGTTTCATGACCCAAACTAGAAGGGAGTGGGTGTCTCCTTCTCCTCCTTCACTCTGCATACCCCACTCCCTTCTAGCACTGATGATGTTACCTATTTTGGGTCATGAAACGTCTGCAGGAAAGCAGCCAAGCTCAGGACCCCTCATACATCTATCCACACTTCAAAATATTTCTGCAGAGAGAATTTGCCCAATCTGAAGTTAGATGAAGAAACCACATGAAAGTCACTGTGATTTCCCCTCCTCCAAACTCCCTAAATTTCATTTAGTATTTATATTGCTGTATGTTATCGATGTCATATAGTCAAGCTTTCCAATCTCCTGCAAGTTTATGTGACCTATGTGTCATAACAGAAATCTGTGTCCTTTTACGCCTTCGTAGAGTTATTCGGGTGATTCACCAACGTTCATGGAGTTGACCATATTTTGAGTGCCTGGATGGGAAAGCTAAAAAACAGCTTAAGGTCAAAGCATTGTCATGTTTGACAGTGTGAATCGGACGCATCAGACAAGAACAGGGGTGGGGAACTATAGCCCCTTTATGACTTGTTGGACTTCAACTCCCAGAATTCCTGAGCCAGCAAGAATTCTGGGAGTTGAAGTCCCCATGTCATAAAAAGGCCATAGTTTCCTAACCCTGCGTTAGAGAAGAGAGGTCTGTTACAGTTCTGCAGACAACTCCAGAGTCAGCACTTCATTTGACTTGTCCAAAGACTCTCAGATGCGGCTCAGTTGCAGCAGACTTTTTGCCGCAGGCAAGAAGGAAGCCATAAATGCAAGCTATGATTGCCCACTGCAGCGCAAAGAAGACAGAGCCTTCACATGTAGCTGTGCTCTTGAGCTTAGAGTCTTGAGTTTTGTTTTTTAATCTTCCCATCCTTCCAAGGGAATATGCATAACTAAGCCTAATGTCAACTCGCAAAGCATCCCTGGCCTGCTCTCGAGTTGCCATAGGCAAGGGGGATGAGAAGCCGGCAAAGCAACATGGCAGCCCAAGACAGGAGCACATTCCAGACATATCTTTCTCAAGGCTGTCTCCCAGGGTTACCCACAGCGGCCGGAGAGGAGTGATCTCTACAACCTGCGAAATTGCTCCGTTGTCGAATGTGATTGATGACACACCCTGGGGGGAGGGGGGAAACAGGATCATGATTAGGGGCGTAAATTATGTGGGGACAGAGTTGGCTTCATTTGGGTACGTGCTGACATGGAGCTCCTAATAAATAACTGGATTTCTTTTGAAGCTTGGCTCGAGGCTCATGATTTAATTAGGGCATCCTTCGGAACCCTGAGAGCAAGACTGTCTGGATCTGCCTGGATTCCGGTGCTCTGGTGCCACCTCACCTGGTCCCATTCTTCTTCAAGAAAGTATTTTTGACATTGAGATGCCGGCTGTTGAGCTCCAGTGATGTAAACCCCCCATTATCCAGAGTGACAGATTCTTCCACGCCGGACACATTTTTTCCTGGGGACAAATGGCGACAGAATGAGCGAAGGCGTAGACCCTTCTCTGGCTCTGGGTGAAAACAGAGAGGGGAAAAAAATCCCATCATTTTTGAGATAACTGTCAGGCACAAAGGATCAGGACCACACATCACATTCCAGTTAAGATGATTTATTGCTCATGCCTATATGTAAATATCTAGTCAACTAATGATCAGCACTAAATTGACACCAGATAAAGGTCCGCGGAATTCAAGAGGGGCTAGATTTGGAAAATTTGTGGCAACGTAAGGATGCTAAGCTGGTGACACACTTAACTCCACCCCCAGCTCTATCTGCTCTTCTCTTAATCATCAAATCAAGTCTTCATTGTCAGGGCACAACATATGTACAATGAGATTGGTTGAGCTCCCTCAGTGCAACTCCCCCCCCACACAATACAACTCATACTGAAGACAAAAAAAATCCCTAACCCAATAATCGTATTTACAAAACACCCAGTCCTATTGAATTTTTTTCAAAAAAACATAAGCAGTAGGAGACGATGGGACAACTTTTGTTATTGGAAGTGTTCAACAGATGTATTAGACAAGACTTAGAAATAAAAGGTATGGAAATAAAAAAAAAAGAAAGAAAAATACAAATTTACAAGCATTTGCAGAAGGCCTGGTCTTTATCTTAGAAGAACCATTTAGAAACTGGCCCCGAGCTAATAGGAAAAATGGAAGAATTGTGAGAAGTTGCAGGATTGAAAATAAATAAGGAAAAAAAACCCTATAATATTAGTCAAAAATCATACGGGCAAGTTGTAACTTTTATTGAGGGAACTTTATGTTTTTTTTCTCCCCCTTTTATATAGCATGTGGTTTTCGTTTGTCTGGGCCGCTGGGGAGGGGTGAGAGAGAGAGAAAAACCCAACCCTTTCCAATGGACATATGGATTTCTTCATCTAACCAATGAATCTAAAGCAAAGATTAAAGCACGGATGTTTTCAGACTTAACAGGTGCTTTCACCTTGGGTGTCCTACACCCACAGAATAGACTTTCAAAGCATGGCCCCGTTCAAGACAGCTTAAAAGAAAAGCTCCATCGATTTGGGGGGAGATTTGCCCCCAAGGAAGTAACTTGAGGATTACGGTTTTGCAGCCTGAATCCGCTGGCGTTCACTGAAGAATATTACTTCCGCTGAATCAAATATGGTGAATGCGAGGCAAATTGGAGCGAGAGAGAGGCTTGGGACTCCATTTAGAGATGGTAAAACGAGTCATGACCTCCTTTCAGACTGGATGAGCACAATTATATTTTGGAACATTCTTTCATTGTTTTTGTTTTTGTTTTTTAAAAAATACCATCCTGTAAAATTGAAAACTAAAGAGTATAAGTTTCTCCCGAAGGGTCCCTCTTAAACTTTTTGTTAAGACGTTTTTGGTTTCTCATGGAGAAAATGGGTTTGAAAAGTCTCAGGTGGGATGACCTATTTTCCCATTTGGGTGAAAATGAGACACTTGAAGACCATCTGGTGGGTCCTCAAAGCATCCTAGATGTCCTCCTGGAAGGGTTTCTCTTATTACAACCGCTTGTCCATTAAAAACCTGCGTTTTCCCAGCCGGATCTCCGTGCTACAATGGCTTTCAGGATCCTGCACAGCAGTGGTGGGATTCAAATTTTTTTACTACCAGTTCTGTGGGCGTGGCTTGGTGGGCGTGGCAGGGGAAGGACACTGCAAAATCCCCATTTCCTCCCCACTCCAGGGGAAGGTTACTGCAAAATCCCCATTTCCTCCCCACTCCAGGGGAAGGATACTGTAAAATCTCCATTCCCTCCCTACTTCGGGGGAAGGATACTACAAAATCCCCATATCCTCCTGATCAGCTGGGACTCGGGAGGCAGAGAATAGATGGGGGCGGAGCCAGCCAGAGGTGGTATTTACCGGTTCTCTGAACTACTCAAAATTTCCGCTACGGGTTCTCCAGAACTGGTCAGAACCTGCTGAAAACCACCTCTGTTGCACAGGTTCTCTGGAACTTATAAGATCTGGCTTCTGTCCTGGAATTTAAACCCAAAAGCCTGGTGAGATCTAAACTTTGATATCGTCAAGGAACACTCTCGTCCTCGGTCTGCCATCAACTTCCCCTGCTTCAAGGAAAGTTGTTCCTGCACAACTTCTCCTGCCACAACTACACACAAAGTTTCTGCAAAAGGTGAAGGACGGACCTGCCCTTTCATGTTTGTCCTCCACGGAGAGAGCCTGCCTGTGCATGGCGCGTAGGAATTGAAAATAGCATTTAGCTCGATAAAGTGCCATGCCATTCAAACATTGCCAATCCCAGGGGAATAAAACCTGATTTACTAACACTTGTTAGAAGTGAATTTATTCCTGGGGGAGGCGGTTTTATTGGGGGGTGGGGGTGGTGGGTGGAAGGGAATGAGAGAATATAAATCTTTGGTTGCAAATTGCGGAGTTCTGAAGGAAGTTTTCCCGTGTGGGTTTTTATCACTGGCGTGAACAAACGGCGGGCAGAAAATCTCGTTCTGCCTGTGCCAAACACCATAGTGGCCAATGTCACGGTTTTGCTTGCCGCTTGCTCGTTCTAAGGTCTGGTGTTTGTGGAAGGGGGGAACACGAAACCCCCCCCTGTTTTTCAGTCCCAAAGAGTTAACGTGCCTGTCACACAGACAGACAGATGGACACACTCACACGGGTTATGGAGTGGCATGTGCTATTGGCAGCTTTTGAAAGGACTTTGTGTCTCAGGCGGAAAGGGCGCACAATTGATTTGCAAAGCTCTGAAAACAGAGTCCGGGGGCTGAGCTATAAATATTTAAGCTTCCCCCCCCCGAAAGAGGCCAAGAGTCAAGGTTGGATGACAGGTGGAAGTGTAGACATGCAGGTATTATTAAGGGCATTCAAGAATGAAGAAGGCAACCCAAGGAATCTAAACAAGCACTTCGGCCTGCAGTAACGATAACTCAGGCACTTGGGATGAAGCATGGCTAGGCAAGGGTGATTTTTTTCCCCCCAACGCGGTGGAATTTCATCCAATGAAACGTAGGACAAAAGGCTATTGAGTAGGGTTGGAGGCAGAGATCGGTCCCGGGGCAAGGCCAGGAGGGGGCCCAAGGATTTGATTAGGAAATATTATTTTTTGGCTTGTCACAGGCTGGGAGGGTCCAAGGCTCCAAGGGGGGGTGGATGGAGAGGAACAGCTCACCTGTGTTGTTGTCTCGGTACTTCTTGGTCTGGTTGTGTAAGATCAACGCAAAGATGACCATCAGGATGAGAATGAGGCTGCAGAGGGCCACCACGAGCAAGAACCACCACTCTTCGTAGAAAGGAGATTCCGTGTGAGCTGTAGGGACGAAGGACCAACCAGTTGAGGGATCAGCTCTGGGACATTCAAGTTTGCCCCATCTCACCTCATTGAGGCATCTCTTGCTTTCTTTTGGGAACATGGATTTATTTTGAAGGGCAAGCATGGGAGGAACTCACAGAAAGCATACAGTGACCTGTTAGGCCTAGAAGCCATCTTTTGCATTAGGCCTTCAGACCTGCCGCGTTTACTACTGTGGGAAACTGGGAGGGGGGATTGTATGGAGCAGGGGTGATGTGTAGTCATAACATTCCTTTCTCAGAGAGTCAAGGACATCTTGCCCTGCACCTGGAAGGTTGGATCTGGAAGGAATCTCCAGTTGGGACGATGTTTGATTGGACCATGTGATGGACTTGTGGGTGTTGGGTGGGGGAAACCTGGAAACTTTCAGATTCGGGTTTTCCCAGATGTGCCAATGTGACATCTCTAATAAAATGTAACTTTGAGGAAACTTAAGCCTCAGAGGTTTATTTCATTGGGGGTGTTACTTGGAACCCTGACACCTGTCTGCTCTTCTACTCAGAAGAAGAGAATACAAAGTTGGAAAGGATCTTGGAGGTCTCCTAATCCAACCCTCTGCTTAAGCAGGAACCCCTATACCATTTCTGACAAATGGTTGTCCAATCTCTTCTTAAAAACCTCCAGCATTGGAGCATCCACAACTTCTGGAGGCAAGTCGAGTGTCCCAATGTCAACCCTGCACAAATAAAGACTTCTCCACATGTCCAAGGGAATGCTGAATGGAGTTTACCAACCTGAGATGGCTACAGAAGCTGCACTGGGTTCTCCATATCCAAACTCATTCACCGCCACCACTCGGAACTGATAGCTTACTCCTTCTTTCAGCTGGTCCAGGCTGACCGTGTAGGATGTGGCACTCCGTGGGATGTTCTTCACAAACAGGTCCCACACACCTTCATCTACAAAAGCAGCAAAGAATGAGGAAGTTTGGTGGTTACTTCTGATCATTTCACATGGCTTACCCCAACTTCATTATGAGCAGAGATTAATACCAAATTTAACATTTAAGCTAGGGGTGTCCAAACTTGGCAATTTTAAGACTTGTGGACTTCAACTTCTACAACTGGCTGAGGAATTCTGTGGAGTTGAAGTCCACAAGGCTTAAAGTTGTCAATTTTTGAGACTCCTTCACTAGACCAACAACCAAGAAGTAAACTGTCAACTTGCAAAGCATCCCTGGCCTGCTCTCGAGTTGCCATAGGCAAGGAGGATGGGAAAACGATAAAGCAGCACGGCAGCCAAAAAAAAAAAAAAGCACATTCCAGACATATCTCTCTCAGGGCTGTCTCCCACGGTTACCCACAGCGGTCGGAGGGGAGTGATCTCTACAACCCGCAAAATTGCTCCATTGGCGAATGTGACTGATGACACACCCTGGGGGGGAGGAGAGAAACAGGGTCAAGCCCTTGCCGTAAATTACGTGGGGTCAGAGTTGGCTTCACTTGGAACATGCCGACATGAAGCTCCTAATAAATAACTGGATTTCTTTTGAAGCTTGGCTCGAGGCTCATGATTTAATTAGGGCATCCGTTGGAACCCTGACATAAACAATACTCTAATTAAGGAACTACCAATGCAGACAAACAAGCTAACAATAAACCACAGCCTAATCAAGAAACCACCAAGAACACTTCCACCAACTCTGACAGGCACGCTCCCAGTATATAAAAATAAAAGCAAGCCCCACTCCCTTCTAGCATTGATTATGTTACCTAGTCAGGTAATGAAATGTCTACAAGAAAACCACCAAGCTCGGAGAGTACCAGGGACCCCACAAACACATAAATAAATAATCAAGAGTCTCCAGAGGTCCATGAAGTGCTTTCTAAAACCCTTGAAATAACCTTTCATTGGATTTGAGACAAATTATCTGGAACCCTTTTCTCTCATAGTCCTTTACCTGTTCTGTTCTTTGCAGTAGCAGAAAAACCTGATTCATGTGTCTCTAAAGTTGGCTGCCCATAAATTTCAGCCCAGAAAGGTATTAGGTTCTGAGCACCGGTGACATTGATTAATACGCTCTCCGTTGCCTATTGTTTGATGATGGTATTTGGCAAGCCCCCAACGATGAGGCGGTGGGCTGGGAACTGAAAACCCAGCCACCTTTTAGCAGTGCAACCTCATGAGGGAGCAGATAATTTCTCCTCTGAAAATCCACAGCGGATTTGCAAGCAACGGATCATAAATTCAGCCAAATGCCACCCCCTCCACGTTGGGATAGGTCTCCGTGCGAATGCAGAGGATCAAATAAAAGACGGGAGCTTTTAATAAATAATTTTACAAGGGTAATAAAGGAAGCCGAGAGTTTTATTTACTTCGAGAGGCAGAGGACGGAGAGGTAGCGACAGAGCCGATAGTTCAGAGCGCTTGCAAAGAAATAAACGGGGTGGCTCGTTTTATTCAGCGCTAGATCCTTGTAACACATAGGGCTGTCGCAGGAAACGTTGTGTTCTGCCCCAGCTACGGACCCCAAAGAACGCAGCACACACAAAGTCTGTACAAACCTTAGTTTACTAAATTAAATCAGTCTTTTTCAAATAAAGGCTGTTAATTAACTTTCTTAACAGCCTACAAGAATCCAAAGAATAAATAATCGTAATCTTACTATGGTTGGCAGAAAGCCCAGAAGCAATTTGCAGGAAACTGATAAGAGAACTAAGATCAGGACGCGAAGGAGAGTGAACGAAGTTGTTCCCTGCGAATTGCCTCAATCGTCGTCCTTCCTTAAATAGGCTAAGGGAGTGGCCAATTAGCCCCAAGCCTTACTCTCGAGGAGACCTCCTCCTGAGGAGCCACTCCTGCCTTTTGGCAGCTCTGCGCGTCCATGCATCGAGAAGAGGCTCCTCCTCTTTGTCCTCTTCACTTAAAGGAGCTTCTGGAGGTTCTGAAGGCCCTGGCTGAATCCCCGCCTCTGGCACCACATCTTCTCCAGCCTCCTCATTGTCTGACTCGAGTGCCAGCTGCCCAGGTTGCTGGCACAGCACCACACCAGCCTCCTCGCTGTCAGAATCAGCTACTAGATGCACAGGCCACTGACGGGCCACAACACGTGGAGAATTCCAAATTAGGGTTGTGGGTGGGGGGGTGGCATCTTTCTAACCTTTGATAAAAACAACATTCTGGTGGTGGGAACCATGAGAAAAGCCTCCAGAAATTGTTGCGGCGGCTAAATCCATGGTTCAAGAACAACCACTTGTCAGTAGTGGGGGAGGGAGAGAGAATTACAATTGCCTGGGGGGGGGCAAATCTATCAGTTCTGCTAGCAGCCAGTTCGCATTTTGACCTGAACCTCTTCTTCTCTTCAGATTTCTTTCAAGGCAATTTGATACTGCTATTTAACAGGGACTCTCAGAGCTGGCTGGAGAATGGTAGGAGTTGAAGGCCACACATCTTGAAGTTGCCATGGTTGAGAAACACTGTCTCGGTTTGACGTCAATGGAGATGCTCAATCATCCTAGTCATGGTTGTGTCCCAAAGGTGATTTTTTCCAAAAGGCAACAGGATAGTTTTTGATGTTCTTTTTTTGAAAATGTTTCGCTTCTCATCCAAGAAACTGAAGAGCTGAAGAAGCTTCTTGGAGGAGAAGCAGAACGTTTTCAAGGAAAAACCCAAGGAAGTCCTTTTGGAAAAGCACCTTTGGGATGGTCACGGTTTTCTGCTAAGGCATCCTCTTTTATCATATGGGTCCTGTCTTCCTAGGTAAATTTTTCTGAGTTTTCCAAATGAGATTCAGGTATGGTCCATCTTATCTTTCTTCTGACCATCCGTGGAGAAAAAAACATCCTGCTACTTTAGGTCCATCCTACTATTCTCGTGCCAGAATTTGGTTGGTTTCAAACCTCTCATGAAGCATACATGCTGTCAGCTTCCAAAGCTGACACATACAGTTATGGCTCCTTCCTTCCTTCCTTCCTTCCTTCCTTCCTTCCTTCCTTCCTTCCTTCCTTCCTTCCTTCCTTCCTTCCTTCCTTCCTCCTTCCTTCCTCTCCCTATTCCCCTTCCTTCCTTCTTTCCTCCCTTCCCCCTTCCTTCCTTCCTTTCTTCCCCTCCCTATCCTCCTCCCTCCCTCCCTTCCTTCCTTCCCCTCCCTATCCCCCTTCCTTCCTTCCTTCTTTCCTTCCTTCCTCTTCCACCCAACATCCATTTCCCCATCAAAGGGTTGAATGCTCAAGACAGCATTATAATTCCTTTTGTAACTCAGTGCAGCTTTCCGTCAAGGTAAGCTATCGCAATGAATGTTCCTCCTCCAAGGGATTCATCCCAAAAGGTTGGAAAACAATTCTGGAAAAGGAGGCTTTTCTTTTCTTTTCTAGATCTACCCCAAGGAGCATGAAGTAGGTCTTTTCTGGATTCTCCAAGTTGGTTGGCGATCTCCTGTATCCTGATTAGGAGGCTTACATGTGGAATTTTCCCCCAAAATAAGACATCCCCTGATAATAAGCCCAATCGGGCTTTTGAGAGCATGGCGATAAGGCCAAGTGCTTATTTCAGGGTTCAAAAAAATATAAGACAGGGTCTTATTTTCAGGGAAACACGGTACTATTGGCCTAGTAGTATGTACTATGGCTGTATTTATATGTAGTAGAATATACTACTCCCAAAATAAGACATCCCCTGATAATAAACCCAATCGGGCTTTTGAGCACATGGCAATAAGGCCAAGCGCTTATTTCAGGGTTCAAAAAAAAAATATATTATATATATATAAGACAGGGTCTTATTTTCGGGAAAACACGGTAACTGAAGGAGTGTGTGTGTGTGTGTGTGTGTATGTGTATGTGTGTGTGTTAATGTCGAGGGAAAAGAAAGCTTGCCCTGGTAAATCATACGCCCCCCAAAATAGGTGCTGTTACTCCCCATCAATTCTTGCTTAATGTACTGTGAGATGCAGCCCAGCTGGTTATGGGGTTGCAAGAGAATTGCTTTCAATTGCTTTTCTGTTTAGAAACATCTGTCCCCTTGTCTGCTTTTCCTATAGGCTTGGATTGGCCACATTTATTTGGAAAGCCGAGATTAAGGGGAATAACTACTTTTTTTAAAAAAGAAAAAATCTATCGCTACACAGGTGGTGTTGCTACAAAAGGAAAGAAAAAGGCGCCAACTTCCGACCCTCTTTAGCACAGTAGAAGACAACAGCATTACAGCCACAACTTTTTTGCTTTTATACAACAGTATGTACAAGCCATTTCTAGTTAACAAAAGCAAAAGCAAAACGTCAATTTTCCCCCCCATTGCAAATACAAAATTCGGAAGCAATTTCAAAACAGAAACAAAAGTTAGATTCTAAGAATCGATTTGACCATCTCTGCTTCTCTTTGCTGTGGGGAGGAATATATGCTTCTGTTAACTCATTAATCTTTATCATAATTTAGCTTTCTATCCTATTGATTTGACTCTAACTGTAGAAGTAGGAAAGGAAGCATTGCTTCTGTATGGCTACCTCTGGATCCTGAAGAAGACCTGAGGGACCATTTGTGGTTCTTCCTACAGCTCGCAAGGCCTAAGTTCTCTACCTTCAGGTTTTATCCTTCCGGGGTGTGTGTGTGTGTGTGTGTGTGTGTGTGTGATCAGTGGTTCTGTGAGTCGCAGGTGTTAGAACAGACGCTGCACCAACGCAAGAGTGCGATTTCACGGACAATTAATCGTTGCCGTGGGCTGAATCACACTGTCAGTCAAACCACCGCGGCTTCAGGACCTGACAGGGTGGACGTCACTGATTAATTCATTCCACCTTAGAGGTAGGGTTGATGGAAACCTGCCATTTTTATGTCTGTCTTGCCACCGTTGGCATTTCCCCCGTCCTGGGTATGAGCGTGGCAAGGGTCATGCTGCAAGACGTGGCCTTGGTCGCGTGCCAGTCGACGTCGGCAGCTGAGCCTTAACAGAAGGCTCCTCCTGAAAGGAGCCCAAGAGAAGCACGTGAAAAATGTGAATTTATTTTTAAGGAGGTGAAACCGCAGCCCCGACCATCAGAAGGGCAAAGATGCCAAACGAAGGCTGACGAGCTGTTGACGTGACACCTGCCTGTCATCCAGGGGAAGAAACGAAGGGAAAAAAATGGCCCTCGGGGAGAGACACGCTGGGCAACCGAAGACCTTGCTTTGAACTGACCGACGTCAGCTGGTTTAGGTCCATGTTTGAAATGGAATAAATGGAAGTGATAAGAATGCTAGGGGAAAGAGCAGACGGGGGCGTCTTTCCTTGAGGGCAGAGACGCCAAGTTGAGCTCTAAAGGAATGATGAATAAAAGGAGAGGAACCCTCCCAAAACACTCAGCATTTGGAAGAAATCTAGATCTTTCCTGCTACATGGGGATGGAGAGGTGGGAAACAGGGACATATTTTGTCTGTTCTATCAATCCATATGGATCTATTGTTTTGGGCTGGGAGGAAAGAAATAAGTTGCTGGCATTGAATGTTTAGAGTAACGGGGCCTATGATAGATGGCAACTGAGAAGCCTAAAGCAGTGGTTCTCAAACTTGGCAACTGTAAGATATGTGGACTTCAACTCCCAGAATTCCCCAGCCGGGGTGGCTGGGGAATTCTGGGAGTTGAAGTCCATATATCTTAAAACTGACAAGTTTGAGAAACGCTGCCCTAAAGTAACAGCAGGATGTTTAAATATGGATAAAGTGGAACGGGACAACTCGCCGCAGCCGAGTCGACACGGCCAAGTCGACACCGTGGGACAATTTAATAATTCAATTTAATTATTTAAAATAAATATTTTAATTCTTGTCGTGTACATTTCATTCTGTCCCTCCTTTTGCATCCTTAGTGATGCTATTCCCCCATTTCTTTGATGTTAGTATAACTCTTGTCCTGCGGCGAGTTCTCCCAGTTGAGCGAGTTGGCCGTGGCAAGTTGTTATAGACCAGAGATGGCTAAGCTTTTTGTCAATGCGTGCCAACAGTGGAGGGGGGGGGGTCACACGTGCATGCCCACACCCATAATTCAATGCGCCCTGCCCCTCCCTATCCCCCTTCCTTCCTTCCTTCCTTCTTTCCTTCCTTCCTTCCCCTCCCTATCCCCCTTCCTTCCTTCCTTCCTTCCTTCCTTCCTTCTTTCCTTCCTTCCCTTCCTATTCCCCTTCCTTCCTTCCTTCCTTCCACTCCCTATCCCCCTTCCTTCCCCTCCCTATCCCCCTTCCTTCCTTCCTTCCTTCCTTCCTTCCTTCCTTCCTTCCTTCCTTCCTTCCTTCCTCCCTATCCCCTTCCTTCCTTCCTTCCCCTCCTTATCCCCCTTCCTTCCTTCCTTCTTTCCTTCCTTCCTTCCTTCTCCTCCCTATCCCTTCCTTCCTTCCTTCCTTCCTTCCTTCCTTCCTTCCTTCCTTCCTTCCTTCCTTCCTTCCTTCCTTCCTTCCTTCCCAAGCTATACTAGACTTATACACCACTTCATAGTGCTTTACAGCCCTCTCTAAGCACTTTACAGAGTCAGTTTATTGCCCCCAACAATCTGGGTCCTCATTTTACCCACCTCGGAGGGACGGAAGGCTGAGTCAACCTTGAGCCTGGCGAGATTTGAACTGCCAAATTGCAGGCAGCCATCAGTCAGGAGAAGTAGCCTGCAGTACTGCGCTCTCACCACTGTGCCACCCCAGCTTTAAAATGCAGAAGGATCCCACAATGTAAGTTCCTGAGTTTCCTAATTAATATCTGTCTTGAGACATTTTCCTGGGCAAGTTTCATGGAAATGAATTGGACCAAGAGAAGAGCAAAATGCTTCTACGGGAGGGAAAAAAAATCCCAACCCTGAAGCTTAAATCTCCCTTCGTTTTGTTATGATGGATGGGCCACCCTCAGATAGTCTTGTTTTATTCAGAACATTAATTAATTTAAATGGATGAAAAAGTGGGTTACAAGCTCCAGTGACTGGTGGACGGGAGAGGAAGGGAAGAAGGAGGGTTGGGGGGGGGGGCTGGAAAGGGTGATCCTCGAATGCTAAGCATGTTTCATTAACTTGGTTGTGAAAACTGTTATCAGAGCTACATTCTGGAAATTAAGAGAAAAATAATGGAGTAGCCGAGATAAAGCGCTCGGATGGAAAAACAGCTGCTCTCAGCAAGAAGGGGGAATCGGCAGCCTTCTCCATTTGTGGGGATAATGTGAGGGGTGAGGAGAGGAACGGTGAAGGCAGCCCAAGAACGGACAATAAGAGGCAGCGAAGGGGATGTTTTAATGAGGGTGGGGCAGGGGTGGGGCTGCTGGGGGTTCGCAGGGGTTCGGGAGAACCTCTAGCTAAGATTCTGTGCAGTTCAGAGAACCCCCAAATCCCACTCCTGGCTGGCCCAGCCCCGCCCAGGAGTCCCTAAACAGCCCGTTTTGGATGCAGGTAAGTGCAGAGTGTGCACGGAGGCTCGGGGAGGGCAAAAAAAACGGACCTACTGGAAGTTCAGGAAGGCTGGAAATGGGCCCGTTTCCAGCCTCCAGAGCCTGGGGAGGCTGTTTTTGTCCTCCTGGAGGCTTGAGGAAAGCCTCCGGAGCCCGGGGAGGGCAAAAACGGGGCTTCCTCCATGGTGCAGGAGGCTGACTAGGCCACGCCCACCATGGCCACGCCCACTCAGCAACTTGGCAGAGAACCCCTTGCTAAAAGTTTTGAAGCCCACCTCTGGGGTGGGGGGAGGGTTTGTCTTGGTATCAGAGAAGTAAGGTAGACTTAATCCTTAGTGAGGCCTTTTAGGAAACAATGCTTTTGGGGGAGGTGGGGGGAAATGGGCAGAGTTCAGGGAACAGCGGAGGAGAAAAACACTTCTGGAAGACTAGAAGACTCATGGAGGCTGGGTGCTCTGCCCCAGCTCCTCAAACGTGACAAACCCTCTGTAAGCAATGATTCCTTTATTAGGAGCACCAGCAGCCCCGGCAAAAAGTTTCTCTCTCACCGCAAGCTAACAAGTCCATCCAGCCAGGAGAGGAATAGTTGTCTGGCACATCTATTCGTCTCCGTCACTTGCCTTTTATCTCCAGAGCTAGGGTGGGGCTTCATTAGCAGCAGTGACTCTTCCGTCCCAAGGAGCGGCCCATAGATTTCCACTGCTCTCCTCTCCTCTGCCTTCTGCACATTCGCACATCAGGCACTGGACCCAGCTGTTCCTCCTCTTCCTCATCAGCCACCTCCAGACCTGGGGGCTGCTGACTCTCCATCTGAGGGCTGACGGATGGCCCAGGCTCCACCTCTCTCTCTCTCTGCCAGCTCCATTCCCTCTTCCCCCTCACAGTTCTCAAGTTGCCTTGATGTTGATCCTGACTCCCACGCCTCCTCCTCCTCTGATTCGGTTTCTGGAGGGACAGGAGGCTGATGGGCCACAACACTGGGATTGAGGGCCATCAACATTTGACTGAGAACCATCAACATCCCAACCAAGAGTATTTGGGAACTCGGAGAATGAGATCCTCAACAGTGGCCCTGGGGAAGATCTAGAAGAGAACTCATCATACAGGGATGTCACCCTGAAATGTAAATGGACAATATGGCTTGTGTCAGTCTGTAGCAGGAATCATCCATCCTTTGTGAGCTCTGAGCAAGCAAGTCAAGAGTTATGGACAGGAGTTCCACAGCTAGTTTGGGATGTCTTCCTATACCACCCCCCACCTGTTGTGGTCCACCAGCAGTCTGCGGAACTGGCAGCGGAGTCGGACAGTGAGGAGGCTGAGGAAGAACATGGGACAGTCCTGGAGGCTGGGGAAGGACCAGATGAGGGCTCTGCATCGGAGGCAGAGATGGGGCCAGGGCCATCTGAGAGTGAGGTGCGGACTCCGGAGCTTCCAGAGGCTGACAGCAGAGAGGCAGAGGCACAGGAGGAGCCTGTTCCTAGTGCACGCATGTGCAGAGCTGCCAGAAGGCAAGAGCAGCTGAAGCAAAAAGGACGACTCGGGAGTAAGGCCAAGAGATAATTGGCCCCTCCCATAAGGCTTAAAAGACCAGCAACGGCTCTTGGGCTCTTTGTCGGAAAACAACGTTGATAGATTTGTTTCTGGTCTTGCTGCATTTATTTCTTGTCGGCGTCTTCTGCTTCTGAACTTTTGCCAAGAAAAGCCTTTGGCAGGTTCGAGTAATTAGACTAAGGTTGGTGATAAGGCTGAAGAATTGGGTTATGAAGAATTTGTTTTGAATGAGTTTGGACTATGCTGAGAATGAGCTAATTCTCAGCTGTTCTAATAAAGTCTGTTTGTTTCGAACTGATTGCGTCTGATAATACCTACTTGGGCCCAAGTCACCACACCACCTTAATTTTTCTCTTTCCTTCTTTCTAACTAGGTTTGCTCGTTCAGTCGGTTTTGATCTTCTGTTGCACGGCGACTGCAATATGACCTACCTGAAGGCCGACTTTCTATGACGTAGCCAGTGATGGGTTTCACCCCTGAAACTCCCTCCGTCCAGTACAAAGTGAGTCCAGAGGAGGATTTTGAGACCAGCACGTGCTGTGGAGAACCAGGAGATCCTGTAGGAGTGGAGCAAAGGAAGAACTGGTTGAGGCACGGGAACAAATAAATAAATAATAAAACACAGGACACAGAATCATAGGAAGGACACTCAGAGATCTTCTAGGCCACCTCTCTGCCAGTAGTGGGTTTCACTTACCTTCGCTACTGGTTCGGAACGGTGAGCGCGCGCGTATGCACTTCTGTGCATGCACAGAGTGTCCGTGATGACATCTGGGTGGATGGGTGGAGCCGCCTGCCACCGCCGCTACCGGTTTTGCCCGAACCCGTAGAAACCCACCACTGCTATCTGCTCAAGGCAAGAGACCTTACATCCTCCTGAACAAAGGTTCCTGAACCTTTCAAGAAATCCTTCCTTGAAGATCTCCACAGTTGGAGCCCCCACAACTCTGGGATGCAAGTTGGTTCCACTGATTAATTGTTCTCACTATCAGGAAATTTCTCCTTAGTTCTAGGTTGCTTCTCTCCTTGATGAGTTTCCATCTGTTGCTTCTTGTCCTGCCTTCAGGGGCTTTGGAGGATAGGTTGACCCCCTCTTCTTTGGGGCGGAAATTTTGAGTAGTTCGGAGAATCGGCAAATACCATCTCTGGCTGGTCCCAGAGTGGGGTGGGAATGGGGATTTTGCAGTATCCTTCCCCTGGAGTGGGGTGGGAATGGAGATTTTGCAGTATCCTTCCCCTGCCATGCCCACCAAGCCACACCCACCAAGCCACACCACGCCCACCAAGCCACACCCACAGAACTAGTGGTAAAAAGAATTGAATTTCACCACTGACGACTACATAGTATGATGGACTGCAGGGCCGGCACAACATGTAACATGTTCACACCGGTGCAATAGGACTGGAGGTTGTTAATATCATTTATTGGGTTAGGGATTTTCTGTCTACACTCTGAGTTGTTTTGTGTTTGGGGGGTGGGATTGCACTGAGGGAGCTCAACCCATCTCATTGTACATATGTTGTGCACTGACAATAAAGGTTTGGATTTGAATTATTGTAGCAATCGTCATTTAGACGTTTGGCCTGCTCCTCGGATCTCCCTTACCTTCCGCTGGCCCAGCGGTGATGTTAGCTTGCAGTTCAGGTCCATAGATAATGGTCCTGGCTTGAACTCGGAATAAGTAGGTCATTCCTTTGGTGAGATCTCTGACTTTTAACCAGCGCTGCCCATTTCCCTGGATGTCCACGGTTACCACTTTGCTCACCCCTAAAAAAAAAAAAAAGAGAGAGAGAGAGGATCAAAAGAGTGTTCAAAAGAAAAAGAGAGGGGGGATTGGGGGGGGGCGGAGGGCGTGAAAGGGTCAGGAGGAAGGAAAGCAAGCAAGTCGTGAGACGGCAGAAACGATGCCAACCAGATTAACTGGCGAAATGATGATCGAGCCATTTGCTAAAGAAGCTTTTCTTACAATTAGTGGGAATTTAAGTGGCAATAATGGACAATTTTCGGCACAGATAAGTGTAATTAGACTCCAGGCTTGATAAGTGGAGGCTGGCGAGAGGCCGGGGGGGGGGCATGGGGGAGCCTTACGGGCGCAGTTGGGAGATTTTCAAGAGGCTGGAGATTACCGTCCCTGATTACCCAGGGATGAAAGAAAGAGGTGAGCAGAAGTAATTGCGGCTTGTAGCTTCTCTTTGGAAACCCAAACTGACTCCGCGGGGGATCCTTTAACCCCCATCATTCTGTCGAATCGCTCCCGGGGAGAAAAATCGCTCGGCCACAGCCTCTATTGACCAACATCTCAATGTCTTGGGGGGGAAAGGAAAGTAAATATACACCCTTTAGCATTTCCCATGTCTACCCTCTTGGGGGTTAGTTCCTTCTAAAAGAAGGGAAACAAACGGCAGCAGAAGAGAAAGAGGCACTAGTGGGAAGATAAGCGAGCCGATATGCGCTGTTATGCAAAAAAAATGTCAGCGTTCCAGAATGACCCAACTCCAATTAAAAACTCTGAGACAAACTTCATCTCAAAACCTTCATTTATTGGAATAGGTATACTGGCACATCTGGGAAAACTCGAATCTGAGAGTTCTGGGTTTTCTACTCTTAAGTACTCATAAGCAGGACTCTTCCCATCCTGCTTACGATCTTTTTGGACTGTTGCCTTCTGGCAGAAGATACAGAACAATTCAAACTCGGACCACACGTCTTCTGAATAGTTTTTATCCCAGAGCTATAATTGCACTCAACAGTGAACTAAAGGACCACCATCGGTGAGCTGCTGGACAGCATTACTTGGTCTGTTGTGTGGATGTTTGGGTGGTTTAGGGGTGGGGAATTGTGGTGGGTGGGGTGTGTTTGGGGATTGTTATGTGTGTTGTACCTGGTCTTTGAGTGTTAAGTGAATTTCGCTGTATGGGTATACTGGGTATACACGTACAATGACAATAAAGTTATTTATTTTATTCCCTCAATAAATCAAAACCCAAATTCAGCTCCCACACCCATCAGTCCATCACATGGCCCAATCACCATCTGCAACCACCAAAGACAAATTCCTTGTGTGTCCAATCACATTTGGCCAATAAAGTATTCTAATTCTAATTCTAATTCTAAATAAATAAATACAAACAGCAGCCGAAATGATTATACTTTTATGCCATTGTAAGGCACCCGTCTCTGGGTGCCTGGCTAATGATACAGGCGACACCTACATTTAATAAATAAATAGATAGATAAATAAATAAATAAAAGACTCACATGGGAGAAACAAAGGTTAAGAGTCACCTTCTGAGATCCAATTTGTTTGGGTGAGGGTGTGTTTCTGACAGAAGGAAGTGGACGCAGGGACGTTCCTTCCTTCTAATCCTAAGGCCTAAAATCTGAAGTTTGCTTTTCGGCGTTTGAAAGTTAAGCAGTGGCCTTCTTGAGACTCATTAGAAAATCAATCTTTTCTCTCTCCCCCTCTCTTTAAACGTCCTTCCTTCTACTGTGACTGCAACGTGACAGCTGATATTTGTGGGAAAACCCAGGAGCACCAACCGCCTCGGCAGATAATTGGGAAGCCAACAATAGGTGGGCATCTCCACAAAACTTAATTTTGCCTGGACTGGTTCAATCAACTTCAGCACTTTCCAAAGCGCTTTGCTTCAATTTCTCCTTCCAGCTGCAATTTGAAATCCCAGAATCGGAAGGGAGAAAAGGCAGGATCAAACACATCAGGATGCCGTTCACTGTCTCTGGTGGGATTGTCCAATTTTCTCAGTCAAATCCAGAGAACAAAACCTCAACAACGTTGTTATTTAAAAGAGGGGCGAAGAATGGCTCCAGGGTTAGTTGGTTAGTGTCGGATATTAGGGGAATTGATTTTTAAACGGGCTGCGGGAGTGAGTTCACAATACGAGGAAAATCCAGGCAGAGAGGAGAAAGTTTGCAGGAAAAAAAACCCCTTCTTTAAAAGCACTTTGGAGCTGACAGTGAGAACAATTAATCAGTGGAACAACTTGCCTGCAGAAGTTGTGAATGCTCCAACACTGGAAGTTTTTAAGAAGAGGTTGGATAATAATTTGTCTGAAGTGGTGTAGGGTTTCCTGCCTGGGCAGGGGGTTGGACTAGAAGACCTCCAAGGTCCCTTCCATCTAAAATTGTACCTTTTACCTAAGGTAAAGGTAAAGGTTCCCCTCGCACATATGTGCTAGTCGTTCCCAGCTCTAGGGAGTGGTGCTCATCTCCGTTTCAAAGCCGAAGAGACAGCGCTGTCCAAAGACGTCTCCGTGGTCATGTGGCCGGCATGACTCAATGCCAAAGGCGCACGGAACGCTGTTCCCTTCCCACCAAAGGTGGTCCCTATTTTTCTACTTGCATTTTTTTTTAATGTGCTTTCGAACTGCTAGGTTGGCAGAAGCCGGGACAAGGAACGGGAGCTCACCCTGTTACGTGGCGCTAGGGATTCGAACCTCTGAACTGCCAATATTTTGATCGACAAGCTCAGCGTCTTAGCCACTGAGCCACCACGTCCCAAGTCAAGTCAAATTAGTCTTTGCCAAAAGAAAAAGAGAAGATGAATGGGAGGGTAAAAAGATCAACCACATCTCCGTGACAGATCGCCCACTTCCCGAGACTAATTGATCCTTCTGGGGGTTTTCTTACCTTGAACTGGAGCCAAAGGTTCATAGATCACCCGATATCCCTGTAGGATCCCATTGGCGGCCGTTGGCTCTCCCCAAGTCACGTTAAGTGCCGAGCATGTGATTTCGGAGAAGATCAAGAAACTGGGGACGCCTGGAGCTGGAAGAGATCAAGGCAGCCTTGGTGTCAGCGGGATCACAAGTCTTGCCCTGGATTTATTTTATTTTATTTATTTTATTTATTTATTAATTCAACTTATATACCGCCCTTCTCCCCAGGGAGACTCAGGGCGGTGGACAGCCAAGCTTAAAACACATATAGTACAAAAGTTAAGAAAAAACTAAAATAAATTAAATCATCAAGATCGGTACCAAGGCTTGCAACAAAAAAGTGTTTTCTGTTTTTCCGTCTGGACGTTTGATCAGTTGGGGTTAGGAAGCTCCTCAGATAGCCATCCTGATTCGTAAATCGTGGATTTATTTATTTGTATTTGTTGCTTGTGCACCGAGCAGAGCAGAAACACACAGGGAAGGAGATAAACGTGCAGCTCGTGTGAGAAAAATACTTTATATACAAGATAGTAAGCAGTCTCGGTGTAGGTAGAACAGTCCAAGGTCATAAACAGTAATATCAGTCCAGTAAGTATCTTCCCTTACCAAAGCAAACAGACTTTAGTAACTCTCGGTATACAGTACCATATAACAATCCAGTCTAACACCAATCAGCAGAAAGACGCAGGAAGCAACAGGAACAATCAGGAACAAAGAACGCTTCTCTGCGCTGCTTATTTATGCACTGTAGCCTAATTACAGGGTTCAGCAAACCCTGATTACGTGGCTCAGTTGTTTCTTAAAGAAACAGATATATTGCCTGACCAACAAGTTAGGAGTAAGCTATAAGCTGAACCTAACAATCACTGCAATGTGAACCCAGATAAGGCTTGCTTATTTAACGAGAGCCAGGGCTCAAACACACCATGCTGTAGGATGGTGCAAGAGCCCAACCATCGAGTTAAAATCTTTTGAAGACGTTTCCCTTCTCATCTCAATGTCTTCAAAAGAAAAAAAAACAACAAGAAAGTCCAATTGCCTCCTGAAAAAGCACCTTTGGGACAACCATGACTGAAAATCTCTACAGACGTATAGCAATTTGGGATGAAGACCCTTTGAATGGTGTGGGAGTAGGAATGGATTTCCAGAAGGGGAAAAATGCAGGCTACAGGAACCAGGAGCACCACTCAGGTGACCCTGAGGACACAGATAAACCTCCAACGATCCTCTAAAAGGATGCAAACGGCCAGCTGTCTGCAAGGAATATAAATCCTTCCATTCCCCAGTATCCTGCCAGAGCTGAAGAAGCTTCTTGGATGAGAAGCGAAACGTCTTCAAAAGAAAAAAAAAACAAGGAAGTCCAGTTGCCTCCTGCAAAAACACCTTTGGGATCAACCATGACCTGGGATGACTGAGAATCTCTACAGACATTGAGTTAGAAGTGCAAAGCATGGCACCTGCTCGGTGGAAGGATCCATCTTGTGCTTACCTGCCTGGAGTGTCCTTCCTTCCCCAGGGCTTGTCTTGGGTCCATCCCCTGCTGCGTTAAAAGCGGAAATACAGACCAGGTACTTGGAGAAACTGGTCAGGTTTTTGAGCCGGATGCTTGTATCGGGTAGGAAGAGAACCTTCACTTTTTCTGTGTCGTTCTGACCGTCTTTCTCCCAATAATAAACCTAGTTTGGGGCAGGGGAAAAAAAGAGAGATAAGCCCAATAGATCCATCTCCCGGGCCTTGAGTTCAACACCCCTGCTTTAGATCTAGCAGGCAATTCCTGCAGCTGGTTTACTTAGCCAAGTTGCGTCCCTTTCTGGATCGGGACTCGTTACGCACGGTCACTCATGCCCTTGTCACCTCCCACCTGGACTATTGCAACACTCTCTACATGGGGCTCCCCTTGAGGAGCACCCGGAGGCTCCAACTGGCGCAGAGTCCAGCCGCGCGGGTGGTGATGGGAGCAACATGGCGTTCCCATGTAACACCCCTCCTGCGCGAGCTGCACTGGCTCCCGGTGATCTTCCGGGTGCGCTTCAAGGTTCTGGTTACCACCTTTAAAGCGCTCCATGGCTTAGGACCCGGGTACTTGCGGGACCGCCTACTACCACCAATAGCCTCCCACCGGCCAGTACGCTCCCATAGAGAGGGACTCCTCCGGGTGCCGTCAGCCAAACAATGCTGACTGGCGGCCCCCAGGGGGAGAGCCTTCTCTGTGGGGGCACCTACTATCTGGAACAAGCTCCCCCCAGAGATACGGAGGATCCCAGATCTGCACACCTTCCGCCGCTCCTTAAAGACCTTACTATTTCACCAGGCCGGCCTGGCCTAATTTCCCCGCTCTTTTATAAAAGATTTTTAAAATTTTAAATATCTTTTAGTATTTTATATATTCAATTTTAAATTGGTTTTAAAAGTTTGGGGTTTTAAATTTGTCGGGGCCAAAATTATTTAATCTGATTTTATTCTATTTTTAAAATTTTGTATTGTATGTGTTTTTATTGTTTGGCTGTGCACCGCCCTGAGTCCTTCGGGAGTAGGGCGGTATAGAAATCTAATAAATAAATAAATAAATAAATAAATAAATAAAAAAATAAATAAATAAATAAATAAATAAATAAATAAGTTATTAACATGCCGACAAGTGATTCAGAAACCCCAAATCCACTTTCCCATAATTCCCTAGCAGATTCCCCTGGTTTGGCCGTGGAAACCCACTTCTGAGTGTAATAGTTTATCAAGTCCACGCAAAGCTTACCAGGGACCTGATCTCACTGTCCGGTCAAGAATCTGCTTTGGTGTTTACAAGACCAGAGATCAGAAGAATTTGTGCCAAACAGAAGAGAAGGTACACAGGTTGTTACAGCCGGTAGCTGTTTCTGCCCATGAAGTAATGCCAGTTTCTGAGACTGGCACAGGTGGAAGCTGCACCAGGCAAATGGATGTTGGCCAAGCTCCAAGAGCGATTCAGGAGAATAGCGTTTCAGAGTTTTAGAAGCCAATCGTTGGTTACATTTATTCTTGGAGGAGATTTTTGGATCTGGGATAGCCACCAGACTTCTAGCTGGTGACAATCACCTGGTTCGTTTTTCTCCGGCTTGGCCTAGTCTTCTAATGCCAGCCTTCCTAAGGAAGAGGAGGAGGAGAAATTGGCTTTGAGTAATTACTCTGGCAATATGCAGATTGGAATGCATTTGCATATTTGACGATTGGCCATTTTGAAAGGTCCCCTGGAAATGAATAATAATAGGCGTGGGACTGCCAAGGATTTTCTGGCCAGGAAGTATTCTTCACTTGTGGCAAACGGCTTCTAGTTGGTTTCTGGGAAGAATCCTCCATGAGATTCCTGACTTGGCAACTTTTAAGACTTGTGGACTTCAACTCCCAGAATTCTCCAGCCAGTTGGAAGTCTGCAAGTCTTAAAAGTTGCCAAGTTTGGAGATCCCTGTTCTATGATCTGAAGCTTGGCTGTGTTTAGAACTGTCCGTGGCCTCCTGAATCCCATCAGACCGTCAGTTCAGCTTTCCCACCCAGAAGAAGTGCAGTAGTGACTCTGTCTCCCGAGGACGACCCCTTCATGAAAGCATCGTGTCCAATGTTCTCAACTTCTGCTTTTTAAGGGTTTAGAGTCCATTGAGATTTTATTTTTATGGGATCCACTTGAGTGAGGAAGTCTTCAAGTTAAGAGAAGAGGGAGTCCAACTCTGTTAGGTTTCAATTTCCCATCATCCTCAGCCGACAGACCCTCTGCAGTTTGGAAACAGCATTCCCCAGGTTGGAAAAAGCTGTTCTCAGAATCTATGCGTATTCTTTAGTTGTTTGTTGTAGGTTTGCAATTGGCTGCCTTTCTAACTTACTAAGATTGGTAGACCCTAAGAGAGGAGGGCCAGAAGGAAGAAATAAAAACGACATACCGTATTTTTCGGAGCATAAGACGCACCTTTCTCCCCCCAAAAAAAGAGGTTGAAAATCTGGGTGCGTCTTATACTCCAAATGTAGCCCCGCCCAGCCTCGCAAATGGAGATTTCAGAGGCTGAAAGAAGCCTCTGAAAGAAGCTTCAGAAAAAAAGCCTCTGAAAGGCTTTTATCTAAAATAATATGGCAAGCAACAAAAGAAGAATCAGTAAAGCTTCTAACCAAACTAGGCTAACAAATCTGGAGAATGACACAATAACCAACAGATCAGAAGAGGTTACTCTACATACCAATACCAAAAAAAGGAGATGGAACAGAGTACAGATAGTCCTTCAGAATAAAAACCTCTGAAAGAAGCTTCAGAAAAAAAAGCCTCCAAACAGAGCTTCAGAAAAAAAAAGGCTTTTTTTCTGAAGCTCTGTTTCGGAGGCTTTCAGAGGCAGGAAAAAAAGCAAAAAAAAAACAACAACAAAAAAAAAAACAAACAAAAAAAAAAGCAAGGCACAGAGCTCACAACCAAGGAACCTGTTGCTAAAATTCACTTCTGGGAACAGCTGATTGGGGGTATTCCACCCGCCAATCAGCTTTTTTCTTATTTTCCTCCCCAAAAACTAAGGTGCGTCTTATACTCCGAAAAATATGGTAGTTAAATAATCAAATAGTTAATGTTTGTGGAAACAAGGTGGGCTTGGGGAGTCCGTGTTTTTGTCTCGCTCAAAGAGTTCCAAAAATGCATCCAGGCTAATCTCTGATGGGCATTTCCACCCTGACTTGCCTTGTAGCCTTGAATATTTCCGTTCTGGCTGTCCACGGGAGGGGGGTCCCAGGTGATCTCCAGCTGGCTTGCAGACACGGCACTGATGTGGATATTCTGGGGAGGCATTGCGGGAGCTTGGGAAAGAAAGACGAGAGAAGAGATTGGGAGGAGGAGAGGAGGGGGAGGCATTGATTCGGCTGACACCAAAGCCTGAAGGAAGAAGATGGTCTCACTAGATGGAACGGTTGGCCTGCGTTAGATTTCTCAAGTTTTGCTGCTGTCCTCAGTACCTTCTCTAGAAAACTCACATCTCCAAAGGAATTCCTTTGCCAAATTCTTTCGTCAATTTTCCAAATATCCATCTATCCTTCTTCCTTCCTTCCTTCCTCCTTCCTTCCTTCCTTCCTTCCTTTTTCCTTCCTTCCTTCCTTTCTCTCTTTCTTTTCCTCTCTCTCTTTCCTTCCCTCCCTCTCCCTCCCTCTTTCCCTCCCTCCTTCCATCCTTCCATTCCTCCCTCCCTCTCCTCCCTCCCTCCCTTCTTCCTTCCTTCCCTCCCTCTTCCTCCCTCTCTCCCTCCTTCCATCCTCCCTCCCTCCCTTTCTTCTTCCTTCCTCTCCCTTTTCCCTTTTATCTTCCTTCCTTCTTTCCTTCCTTCCTCCCTCCCTCCCTTTCTTCCTTTCTTCCTCCCTCCCTTTCTTCCTTCCTTCCTTCCTCCGTCCCTTTCCCCTTTTATCTTCCTTCCTTCCTTCCTTCCTTCCTTCCTTCCTTCCTTCCGTCCTTCCTTCCTTCCATCTTCCCTTCCTCCCTCCTCCCTTTTCCCCTTTTATCTCCCTCCCTCCCTCCCTCCCTCCCTTTTCCTCTTTTATCTTCCTTCCTCCCTCCCTCCCTCCCTCCCTTCCTCTTTTATCTCCTTCCTTCCTTCCTCCCTCCCTCCCTCTGTCCCTCCCCCTTCCTTTCCCTTCCCTTCCCTTTCCTGATGCCTGTCTTTGGTACCCCAAACTGATTAGAGCATAGATAACCAGAGGCAACCCAGTCCTCCAAGGCAGCTAAGAGAGCCAAATGCCGAGCCTTTCCGGCCTGCGAAGGGGAGGCCAGTCACTTTTGTCCACAGTGCTGGGGAGCAGAACTCTGCTTGCTGGATGCCCCTTCAGTGCCCCCCCAAATAGAAATCCCAAACCATTTGCTGCTCAAAGTGTCGGTCCAATTATCTCCCCCCTCCGGTGGCTTCTTCCTTTACAGGCTCTGACCTTCATAAAGCACGTTGTTATTATATATTTATATATTTCCTCCTCTATTCCTCTCCGGGGTTATAAAATAAAATAGTAATTAACACCCACTCTGCCTGACACCAACTATTTATTTTGTTCTAACCGTGCGTTCTTCCTTATTACTGCTGCCCACCCTGCCGTTAATGGAAATGTTAATAACCAGCACCAGGTTGTTGTGACAGATGCTTGAGCTCATTATCAGAAATTCTTATTTACCGCTCCATTAAACGACAGAATCACACACCCAAAAAAAAAGGGGGGGGAGGGAGAAAGGGGGTGGGGTGGGGTGAGAGAAAAGGGGAAAAAAAAGAAACGATTCCATGAAACTAATTGGGAAGAATTGGAGCAGCGTTACTGGTCATCCAAAACACACAGAGAGAGAGAGAGAGACAGACTGACAGACAGACAGACAGACACAGAGACAGAGAGAGAGACAGACAGAGAGAGTGAGACAGACAGACACAGAGACAGACAGACTGACAGACAGACACAAAGACAGAGAGACAGACAGACAGACAGAGAGCGAGACAGACAAAGAGAAAGAGACAGACAGACAGACACAGAGACAGACAAATAGAGACAGACAGACAGACTGACAGACACAGAGACAGAGAGAGAGAGAGAGACACAGAGACAGAGACAGACGGACACAGAGAGAGCGAGACAGACAGACAGACAGACAAAGGGAAAGAGACAGACAGACAGACAGATAGAGACAGACAGACTGACAGACAGACACAAAGACAGAGAGACAGACAGACAGACAGAGAGCGAGACAGACAAAGAGAAAAAGACAGACAGACAGACAGAGACAGACAAATAGAGACAGACAGACAGACTGACAGACACAGAGACAGAGAGAGAGAGAGAGAGACAGAGAGAAAGAGAGAGAGAGACACAGAGACAGAGACAGACAGACACAGAGAGAGCGAGACAGACAGACAGACAAAGAGAAAGAGACAGACAGACAGACAGACACAGAGACAGAGACAGAGAGAGAGAGAGAGAGAGACAGAGAGAAAGAGAGAGAGAGACACAGAGACAGAGACAGACAGACACAGAGAGAGCGAGACAGACAGACAGACAGACAAAGAGAAAGAGACAGACAGACAGACAGACACAGAGCCAGAGACAGAGAGAGAGAGGGAGGGAGGGAGAGAGGGAGAGGTTGGTAGGTAAAAGTAGAGAGAGAGACAGATAGATAGATACAGAGAGATATCTTATTAAATCAATTGATCATATTAAATATACAAAACTCCTACAAAATACAGAGAAATACAAAGAAAACAATAGGACACGTTCATAACGAGTCATTAATCCTACAGTTAACCCCGGTTTGGTCTAGATATACTGTTCTTTTTGTGATGGCCTTTGAAATAAAGCGTGCAAAATATAAATTAAAAAAAAAAGTGGGTAGGGATAAATGTTTAAAAAGCAAAATGCAAAAAGCATAGACATTTTGGAGGTGGGAGAGGGAGGGAGGGAAGGGGGAGGAAGAAGAAAGGGAGGGAGGGAGGGAAGGAAGGAAGGAAGAAAGGAGAAAGGGAAGGAGGAAGGGAGGAAAGAAGGAAGGAAGGAAGGAAGAAAGAAAGGACAGAAGGAAGGAAGGAAAGAAGGAAGGAAGGAAAAAGGGAAGGTGGGAAGGAAGGAAGGAGCACAAGGGAGGGAGGGAAGGAAGAGATAAGGGGAGAAGGGAAAGATCAAATGATAGTGATGATACTAATTAAATGACTATTATTTTACGAACATGTTTTCTCGAGCTAAGAGACATTTCAATTCCTTCGGGGGCACACTGTACCCATCTACAGATACTGAAAACGACAGATGAATTTGATGCACAAGGGGGGAGGGAAAGTATTCCGCTCCCTCCTCCCCAGTTATACAAAATTCCCTCTCTCCAGCCCTTCTTTTCTCTGAGCACAGCACGAAAGCAACTCCCCCCACTTTAAAAAAAAATCTTTGCACAAACCCAAGAAATGAACCCGACTCTTTAATGTTGGTTTTAAGAGCCCTGCTCCCCCTCTACAGAATAGATTGTCGGCGCTTCCTGGGTTTTTCTTCTCTCTCTCTCCGTCAATGGCGAGAAAGAAGCATCCATATGGATTTTCTTAAATAACTTTTAATTCCCCGAAATCTTTTGCGGCGGATAGAAAAGAGATAACCCACACACCCCTCCCTGGAGGGATGGGGGGTGGGTGGGAAGGTTACACAAGTGGGAGAGGAAATTGCTTCTTTTCCTCTTTGCCGACTTGATTGACAGCTGGGGGCTCATCGATGGATGAATGATTCAAAGAAAGAGAGATGAATTAAGGGCTGATTTTCAACAAGAAACTCATCGATCCTACCGTTGGGTGCCTACAGCGCAAGTACATCTTTTTATATGCTTATTCTTGCGCTTCTCGGCTCAGATGTGCTCCAGCTGTTTGGTTAGCTAAAAGGCTGATGCTCGCTTTTCATCAACCAGGTCTTTAGAAAAGGCGGGTGGGGGGTTTGGGTCTACGCGCTGCTGAATTTGATGGGGGGGGGAAAGAGCTGCTCATTTCTCTTTTCCGGGAGCAGAATCTTTGGAAACATTTCTGGGGTTCTTTGAAGAACAGCGGGGTCCTGGTGGACGGTGACCTCTTGGATCGAGGACGATGGCTTACTGTAGAGGAGCAGGCTGAGCTGGAAAGCAGGGTTAAATGTGCTATCGGTTTGGAGTCTGCGTTGCCAATCCAGCTCCCCGTGAATTCTGTTGACCCTTATTTTGTTGTTAGTTGCGAGTTGTGTCCTACACATCGTGACCCCATGGACAATGTTCCTCCAGGCCTCCCTGTCCTCTACCATCCTCTGGAGTCCATTTAAGCTCAAGCTAACTGCTTCAGTGACTCCATCCAGCCACCTCGTTCTCTATCGTCCCCTTCTTCTTTTGCCCTCCATCGTTCCTGCATTAGGCTCTTCTCCAGTGAGTCCTTCCTTCTCATTAGGTGGCCAAAGTATTTGAGTTTCATCTTCAGGATCTGGCCTTCTAAAGAGCAGTCAGGGTTGATCTCCTCTAGGACTGACCGGTTTGATCGCCTTGCAGTCCAAGGGACTCGCAGGAGATTTCTCCAGCACCAGAGTTCAAAGGCCTTTCAATTCTTTGGCGCTCGGCCTTCCTTATCGTCCAACGTTGAACTAGAAGATTAATTCATTTCAAGATAGATAGATAGATAGATAGATAGATAGATAGATAGATAGATAGATGTTGTTGTTGTTAGTTGTGAAGTCCACAAGAGATCTAAGTCCACCTTGAATTCTTTTGATTCTTATCTACAGGCAATGTGCTTTGACCGTTAATAGTTCAGATTCTTGTAGAAAGCAGAAGTTTGCAATAAACCTGTCTTCATTTGAACCGGATTGACTCCTGGTTTACCGCACTTGACACATTTACATTGACTGTGTAGAGAAAAATGTCTCCAAGCAAGGATTCAGCTTGTCAGGGGTATGGCAAGGCTCTCGAATCTGAGAGGTATGAAGATGGGGTAGCTACAGACTAGTGATCTGCAGTTCCTCCCTTATCTTCCATCTGGAGGTGAGGAAGGAAGGCTTCTGAGATCCAGTTGGACCAACACTGGAATCGAAGAGGTTGAATTCTATGCAAAAGTAAAAGAAATTCTAGGTGAAAGTGATTTAACAGTTCAGAAGAAATGGTTTTCCAGTGGGAACCAGGCAATTTCAAAGCTGTTTCTTCCATACTTTGTTTCTGCTGGTCATTGCTGAGACCGGGAAGAGCTCGGCCCACACCTGATTGCATCCCCCTCTGGATAAAATCAAATTCCTTTGGGGTGGAGATGAGCACACGGCACCTTCTAGCTTCACAACACCACAAATCCAAGTGCTTTAACCAAGAATTAAACAAGGAGTTGTACCCCCCCGCCACATAACCCGTTGGAGTCATGCTGAGCGGTACTTATGAGTCATATTAACAGCTCAATGAGCTTTTAATGAAGCACTCAGCTGCTCCAGCAGCTCAACCAAAGCAAATGATTTCTTTGCATTTCCAATCTTATCAGTGGGGAATTAAGGGTGGCAGATAAAACGCTCCAACAAGTGTCTCGATGAGGAAGTTTTTTTTTGTGGGGGGGGGGAGTTTTAGGATTGTGGACTTACGAATTGGTCTGGGAACAAGAGTGTGGACTTTGCAAAACTTCTTTGCTCTCAATAACCCTGGTGTACTTTGAAGGGCTTTAAGGAGCTGCAGATTCACCCAGGGTCACGTAGATGCCCTTGGTAGCTACTATCAGGTCGTGGGGAAAAAGACGCATTAGTTTAAGGCAGGGGTGTCCAACCGTAGCAACTTTTAAGACTTGTGGACCAACACCCAGGATGCTATAGCCAGCATGGCTGGCTGGGGAATTCTGGGAATTGAAGTCCACAGGTCTTAAAGTTGCTAACACCAGAGGTGGGCTTCAAAATTTTTAGCAAGGGGTTTTCTGCCTGGTTGCTGGGTGGGCGTGGCCATGGTGGGCGTGACCTAGTCAGCCTCCTGCACCATGGAGGAAGTCGAGCCTCTGGGAAAATGGCCTCCCCAGGCTCCGGAGGCCCTCTGGAGGCCAGAAAGAGGCCCATTTCCGGCCTTCCTGAACTTCCGGTAGGCCCATTTTTTGCCCTCCCCGAGCCTCCGTGCGCACCCTGCATTTACCTGCATTAACCTGCAACGGGCCACGTGGGGACTCCTGGGAGGGGCAGGGTGGGGTGGGAGGGGCCAGCCAGGAGTGGGATTTGGGGGTTCTCTGAACTGCACAGAATCTTACCTAGAACCCCTGCGGACCCCCTGCAGCCCACCCCTGGTGTAAAGTGTTCCCTTTAGATGCTGGTGTTCATTCTGATGTGCATAACGCTGTCAGAAGCCCAGACACTATAAAATCTAAGCATGCTGCACATTGTAACCTGCAGAAGGAAATCGGGAAGCTTCTGTTTAGAAAAGGTTAAAATGCAACCGAGGCACAAAAGACAATTCTTATTTCTTCTTCTCCTTTTTCTTTCCCTAAATGAGTTCCCTCCTTCCTTCGACTTTCCCCGAGAATCCCGCGCTGGCCTTCATTATCTAGACTGCTGGCAGATGTCCTTGGACCACTTTCCGTTCCTTCGTAGCCAACTTGACCCTCTGGGGAAATCAGGGGACATTATTTCCCGGGCACTGTCCTGAAAAGCAAGCCTCCTGCAATTTATTTATTTCATTTGTCCCCTGCCTTTCTCTTCAGGCTGGCTTGACAAGAGGAAAAATAGGCCTTATTTGAAGAAAGCCAACCAACAGATGCACAATTGATGTCGAAGGCTCCTAGGTAGGAAAACAAGTCAGGGGAGACAATAGCCTGAGACTGTTTCCGGAGCCACGTGGGGTTGCCAGCAATAGGGAAGCAAATAATTACGGTCAACGGGAGGAGAACGTATTTGCTTTCGGCTCGTTCAAGACGAAGACAGAGGAAGCGAACTCCGAAGCTTGGGTTGGGGGCAGAGATTAATTGTTCCTTTTTAGCCCTCTCCCCCCATGCTACGCCGATCTCCTGTTGTGTTGATTGGAACTGCTTCCTCTTTTTGCCTAACAAAACAGACTCACGCAAGAAGTTGCCTTTTCAGCACAACCCCTACAAGGTAGCGGTTAACATGGGTCAGGTAAGCAGGTGGATTCACAGGGAGGGGCAATTCTCTGTTTCCCTGCCCCTTTCCATCATGGAGGCCCACATCAAAGCCAGGGGTGGTATTACCTTCGCTGCTGGTTCACAAATATGAGCGCGTGCCACCTCCACAAATGCGCAGAGACTTACCTTCATGTACAGTGTCAAAAATGGGACATGATGGCGTCCAGGTGGGTAGACAGAGCCTCCCGCAGCCGCCGCTACCAGTTTGCACGAACCGGATAAAACCAGCTGAATACCACTACAGTTAAAGCTCCTTATGATTTCTTCAGAACCTCAACAGAAGTCCCTTCTTCACCTTCTAAGAAGACCAGCGAAACGACCTGATCCACTACTCCTTTTCATACTATTTGCATCAGAAAACCCGGCATAGATCATCGTCCAAAACATGTAGAATTCTATCTCTACGGTTCGGCGAGCGGAAGATGAACCGATTAGGAAATTCCGACAGCGCTTCCCCAAGTTTTAGAAACCGTTCCACGGAGAACAGGGCTGATTAATTTATGGAGTTTAGGAAGATGGTAACAGAGCATTACCTCAACGTCTGAAAGGAAAAGGTCTGGAAGAGGTGAGGCCTGAGACGTCTTGAAATTTAATGAAAATATAACGTAAGTAGCACTAGAACCTGACACGAAATCTTCCGTGTTAAATACAGAAGATCAGTGAAATATAAGAGAGAGCGGATTAACGTTGAAGGGGCATGTAGAATTTATTGTGAGGGCCTTCTTTCAAAGGAAAGAGATGAGCTTGTAACTGCGGCCATGAAAGTAGACCCCTTCTGTAAGCCAAGAGACTCAACAACCCAGGGGTGAAATGCTCCTGGTTTGGACCGGTTCGCTAGAACCGGTAGTCATGGCTGCCGGTGGTTCGGAGAACCGGTAGCAATGGCGGTGCGAGGCTCCGCCCTCCCACCCGGTTTTAACCAAGAAATAACATGTTCTTTACCTTCTGCGCATGTGCAGAAGGGTTTGCGAATACGCAGAGGGTCCAAGTGTCCATGTGGCACGTGCACGCGGGCACGCGAAGTGAGTGCGGGTGCACGGCACATGCACTTCTGAACCACTTGGGAAGGTAAGTAGATTTCACCCCTGCAACAATCATATGTGAACCTGGCCAGACTGGGAGAAAGCAGAGGATGTGACTCACCAGGCTGAACATAACAAGATTTTGGCATCCTAATTAATGCCTGAAGAACCTCTGCCTGCCATATCTAATACCTGAAGGTCACCTTCACTGATGGACAAGATTGCATCTAGGTTTGGTGGATCACAACCTCTTCAGAACTTCCACAATGCTTGATCATTGGGGGGAAAGTCAACAGCAGGAGTCCTTTTATGAAATTCACCTGAAATCTCTCTCTTCCAACTATCACCCCATTAATCCCAATACTGGCCTGAGGCAAATTAACACCAGATATTTATTGGTATTAATACTTTTCATTATTATACGTATAGCCTGCTCCCCTTTCTCCTCCTTCTCTGAGGTTCTCAAGATGGTTGTCTTCCGTGCTTCCAGCTTTCTGCTTACCTGCTTCTCCAACGTAGACTTCCACAGGGGCGCTGGCGGGGCTTTCTCCAATAATGTTATATGCTGTCATGATCACTTCGTACCTCTTGTACTTTTTCAGTTCTAGAAATGTAAATAAATTGCATTACTTGCTAGCATCCTCTTTAACGATCCCCAGTAGAATTTCCCTGCTCCTGTCCTCCTGAAGCATACTTCAGTTTTAAGAAGAGGTTGAACATCCTTTCTTTGCAACTCCTAGGGTGATACTTTCTAGAAAAAAGGACAACTGGATATAGCAATAGCAATAGCAAGAGGACTTAGACTTATATACCGCTTCATAGTGCTTTTACAGCCCTCTCTAAGCAGTTTACAGAGTCAGCCTCTTGCCCCCAACAATCTGGGTCCTCATTTTACCCACCTCGGAAGGATGGAAGGCTGAGTCAACCTTGAGCCTGGTGAGATTCGATCTGCCAAACTGCTGGCAGCCAGGGATCAGCAGAGGTAACCTGCAGTACTGCACTCTAACCATTGCGCTACTGCGCAGAGGATCGGTGTCTCTCAACCTTGGTAGCTTGAAGATGGGTGGATATCAACTCCCAGAGTTCCCAAACCAACATGTGTGGACTTCAACTCCTAGAATCCCCCAGCCTGCATGTATGGACGTCAACTCCCAGAAGATTTGGTCCATACATGCTGCCTGGGGAATTCTAGGAGTTGAAGCCCACGCATGTTGGTTGGGGAACTCTGGGAGTTGAAGTCTACTTTTCTGAGAGTTGAAGTCCACTCATCTTCAAGTGCCAAGGTGGAGAAACACTGCCCCAGATGATAGAAAATCTTTGAGAGATGGTCCGCTTTCAATATGCCAACCTTAAAGTTGCCAATATCTGCAGACCTCTTGGATGGGACATCCATGGGTGAGCCTCTTCTCACTATCCTCCAAGTTATTACAGGAGGAAGCCATCTGGGTTGATGGTGGAAACTGGGCTAGAGAACTCCATCCTTCGATTCATCAGATGATCTAACCCAGGAGTCTCCAATCTTGGCAACTTTAAGACTTGTGGACTTCAACTCCCAGAACTCCTCAGCCAGCTTGGCTGAGGAATTATGGGAATTGAAGTCCACAAGTCTTAAAGTTGGCAAGGTTGGAGAACCCTGATCTAACCAACTGGACGACAGTCCAAATGGATCTTCTGGAAACAGCTCCGATGCTAAGCTTGCTTCTTCAAATAAAGCCACAATCAATGCTACAATACCCAGCTTGGTATTTGGGGGGAATGGAGGCTTTATTAGAGAGCAAAAAAGAGAGAGAGGGAGAGGGAGAGGGAGAGGAGAGGGAGAGGGAGAGGGAGAGAGAGAGAGAGAGAGAGAGAGAGAATACACTTGGGAAATTTAGTGGCATAAGACTGCAATGTGTTTCTTGTGCCGCAATCACGGCTCTTGAAAATAACCACCACCACATTCAGCCGCAACCCTTTGCGGGCTAAAACAAGGAAGCAGCATTGACAGGTACAAGAATGGAATGACAGCATATTGCAACATGTTAAAAAACAACAACAAAACGTAGACAGGGAGAGGAAAGAAAGTGTGTGTGTGTGTGTGTGTGTGTGCATGAGAGAGAGAAGGGAGAGAGGGAGAAGAGGAGAGGTGAGAGAGAGAGAAGAGAGGAGAAGAGAGAGAGAGAAGAGAGAGAGAGAGAGAGAGAGAGAGAGAGAGAGAGAAGAGAGAGAGAAGAGAGAGAGAAGAGAGGAGAGAGAAGAGGAGAGAGAGAGAGAGGAGAGAGAGAAGAGAGGAGAGAGAGAGAGAGAGGAGAGAGAGAGAAGAGAGGAGAGAGAAGAGAGAGGAGGGAAGAGAGAGAAGAGAGAGAAGAGAGGAGAGAGAGAGAGAAGAGAGAGAGGAGAGAGAGAGAGAGAGAGAGAGAGGAGAGAGAGAGGAGAGAGAGAGAGAGAGAGAGGAGAGAGAGAGAGAGAGGAGAGAAGAGAGAGGGAGGAGAGAGAGAAGAGAGAGAGAGAGAGGAGAGAGAGAGAGAGAGAGAGGAGAGAGAGAGAAGAGAGGAGAGAGAAGAGAGAGGGAGGGAGAGAGAGAAGAGAGAGAGAAGAGAGGAGAGAGAGAGAGAGAGAGAGAGAGAGAGAGAGAGAGAGAGAGAGAGAGAGAGAGAGAGAGAGAGAGAGAGAGAATCTCCTCTGGCTATGGTGTAATTAATAACCAAAGAAGCATGATAGCAAGAAGACCAAATTTCATGCCTTCCACCCCAGAGGCCTTTGCGTCGTCCTTGAAGTTCTGGGGATTTGCATATTCAAACCAGGCCACTTATCTTTTCGGAGAATATGGATCACTTGAGGAAGCCCACCAGCCAAAATACAACTCTGGGAAGCTTTGCTGGAAATCTCCCAGAACAGGGCCGGTCTCCGTTCAGAGGCGTTTTACTTTCAAATTCGTTTTCTTTTCTTTTCTCTCTCCCCCCCCTCTTCGACGTGTGAACTACCCCTTTAGCTCTTCCAGCACCACCATCGCCAGTTTCTCTGCAAACTATCATCCCGGGGAAGGTTCTGTGAGATTGATAATGAGGCCCTTCTAATTTCAGATTTCCTAAAGTGCTCGCAAATATTCTGCCCATGTAACTCAGTCAGACACCGGTGTGTTGCCTGCCGGTTCCAGGTAGACAGACAGCTGATGGTATCTAATTTACTGCTTACATTTTGTCAGCATAATAAATAAAACTACTTGATATATCGTAGGAAACTGACAGTTTTATGGGAATCTGAAACTCCCGCCAGTTAATACACAAGGACTCTCTGCCCCCCTTCCCCTCCCGCCTTGCGTGCAAGGGATGTGATGTATTTCCAAGCAATCTGCAGGAAAATGGCATTTGGACAACATGGCACATTTTTGGGGGGAGGGGGAGGGGTGGTCCAGGGGGGATGCTAGAGTAGAACTGTAGTGCGGCGGTCTGAGCTCATGGACATGAGGGATGGAAGCTGAGAAGGTTCAGGGGTTAGGGTGAAAGCAGAGCTGGAGATATTGGCGATTATTATGGCTGGCTGTGATGGCGAACCTATGCCGGAGGTGGCACGCAGAGCCCTCTAAGCTGTCGCCAGCTGCTCTTATTTATTTAATTTATTTATTTATTGTTAAATTTGTATACCGCCCTTCTCCCTGAGGACTCAGGGCGGTGAACAGCCAAGTAAAAACATAAACTACAAACATTAAAATACAATTAAAAATATATATATAAATTTGGCCCCATGATTAAAAACAATAACCAACAATTAAAAACATTTTAAAAAATGTTAGGCCAGCCCGGCTTGCTGGAAAAAGAAGGTTTTAAGGGCCCGCGGAAGGCACTGAGGTCTTGGATTCTCCTTATCTCTGGGGGCAACTGATTCTAGAGTAGGTGCCCCCACAGAGAAGGCCCTCCCCCTGGGGATCACCAGCATACATTGTTTGGCTGATGGCACCCCAAGGTAGGCCCTCTCTGTGGGAGCGCACAGGTCGATGGGAATTATCGGTAGCAGCAGGCGGTCTCGAAGATAACTAGGTCCTATGCCATGGAGCGCTTTAAAGGTGGTAACCAACACCTTGAAGCGCACCCGGAAGACCACTGGGAGCCAGTGCAGCTCACGCAGGAGCGGTGTTGTATGGGAGCGCCATGTGGCTCCCGTGACTACCCGTGCGGCCGCATCTTCTGGTTTCCAGTGCACCCGTGCACACTCGCCACCTGGTCTTCATGTGCGCTGGCCACCTGGTTCTCAGGTTTCCGCCATGCGCACTGACCACTTGTTTTTTGGGTTTCCGGCGCTCCGGAGTGCACGAAGACCAGCTGGCTGGCGCGCATGTGTGTACCAAAACCCCAAAGACTAAGTGGCCAGTGCACATAGCAGAAACCTGAGGACCAGCCAGGTGGTTGGCGCGTGCAATGACAGTTGGTTTTTGGGTTTCCAGCAGTCCGGGCACGCGCGCATTCCGGTTTGGGCACTCGGTGCCGGAAAAGTTTGCCATCACTGTATTATGGGGCAGGGGAGGTTAGGATTCTCAAGAACCAGAACCTAAGGGGGAGAGGACCACCTAGCTCAAACACAGCACCTGCAACACATCTGGTTCGCCTAAGTGTCCTCTCTTTCCATGCACCAAGAACCTGTTCCCTAAGCACTTTTTAATTTGGTCTTGAAGTCCTAAAGTCAAAGTTTCCCTTGTCCAGTTGTGTCAGCCTCTAGGGGCCGATGCTCATCTCTGTTTCTTACCCAAGGGAGCCAGCACTGTCCGAAGACATTTCCATAGATGTGACCAGCATGGCTAGATGCCAAAGGTGCATGGAACGCTGTTACCTTCCCACCGAAGTGGTACCTATTGAACTACTCGCATTTGCATGCTTTCGAACTGCTAGATGGGCAGGAGCTGGAGCAAGGAACGGGAGCTCACCCCGTCGTGTGACTCTTGGGTCTCGAACCCAAGCTGTCGGCTTTCCAGCTGACAAGCTCCGTGTTTTTAACCGCTGAGCCATCACAGCCCACCTAGGAACGTCTTAATATCCTTGGTATATGCTAACAAAGGCAAGGCTGATAGGCCTGAACACCCCCTAGGAAACGCAAGCCAACCAAACCCACACAAATTTGCCATCCAATGATTTGCATGAAGGGCTCCGCCAGTGATGCTTTTGCAAAACAATCCAAATCAATTTCTTCAGTCGACCAAAGCCCTGAACCATCATTGAAGCTACCCAGATGTCCTTCTCTGAAATTGTTATGCGCCCACCCTTCAACCCCCGGTAACGCCAAGTTTAAAAGAGGCTGCGGGAAGAAGTCTTCCGTGTTTCCCAGCCCTACAAAGGGTGACATCAATGCGTACTTCTAATTAACTTACTTGTTAATTCGTAGGTTGTTAAGTCCGAGCTGCTGTTCACTGCCTTGAAGATGCTTTGGGCTATTCAAGGTAAGCAAAGCAGAAAAGAAGCAGAGGGCAAGGTTAGCCGTTATTGCCAATTCCACACGGTTCCAGCAGTTTGAGGTGAAGTAGTTGTGAGTGCAGCCAATGTTCAAGGCAAAGACCCCCTCCAGCCCCCCCCCCCCCCCAGCTGCCTGGCTATATAAGTCAGCCCTCTTCCCAGAGAACATGCTGAAAGATCCCTAAACCAGAAGGCTTACTCAGCTATCTTCCCACACAGAAAGAAATTATGGAGATGGATGCTATAAAGCAATGAGAAGTGTCTGGAGAATCACTGAGCCAAAACGACTTTGTTCTAAGGAGAAGAGAAAGAGGAGATTTCTCTAGGAGCTTTTTATTCTTAGGCTTTCCAATGTTGGAATGGTTGGATAGAATCCATCCATCCACCTACTCACCTTCCCATCCATCCATCTATCCATCCATCCATCCATCCATCCATCCACCCACCCACCCACCTTCCCATCCATCCATCCATCCATCCATCCATCCATCCATCCATCCATCCACCCACCCACCCACCCACCTTCCCATCCATCCATCCACCCACCCACCTTCCCATCCATCCATCTATCCATCCACCTATCCACTCACCCATCCATCCATCCACCCACCCACCCACCTTCCCATCCATCCATCCATCCATCTATCCATCCATCCATCCACCCACCCACCCACCTTCCCATCCATCCATCCATCCATCCATCTATCCATCCATCCATCCACCCACCCACCCACCTTCCCATCCATCCATCCATCCATCCATCCATCCATCCATCCATCCACCCACCCACCCACCTTCCCATCCATCCATCCACCCACCCACCTTCCCATCCATCCATCTATCCATCCATCCATCCATCCATCCATCCATCCACCCACCCACCCACCCACCCACCTTCCCATCCATCCATCCATCCATCTATCCATCCATCCATCCACCCACCCACCCACCTTCCCATCCATCCATCCATCCATCTATCCATCCATCCATCCACCCACCCACCCACCTTCCCATCCATCCATCCACCCACCCACCTTCCCATCCATCCATCCACCCACCCACCTTCCCATCCATCCATCCATCCATCTATCCATCCATCCATCCATCCATCCACCCACCCACCCACCCACCCACCCACCTTCTCATCTATCCAATCCATCCACCTATCCACTCACCCATCCATCCATCCATCCATCCATCCATCCATCCATCCATCCACCCACCCACCCACCTTCCCATCCATCCATCCATCCATCCATCCATCCATCCATCCATCCATCCATCCATCCACCCACCCACCCACCCACCTTCCCATCTATCCAATCCATCCACCTATCCACTCACCCATCCATCCATCCATCCATCCATTCAATTCATCCATCCATCTATCCACTCACCTATCCATCCATCTACCCACCCACCTTCCCATCCATCCATCCACCCACCCACCTTCCCATCCATCCATCCACCCACCCACCTTCCCATCTATCCAATCCATCCACCTATCCACTCACCCACCCATCCATCCATCCATCCATCCATCCATCCATCTACCCACCTTCCCATCCATCCATCCAAACCCTTCCAGTTGTTGCATGGATGGTTGCTAAGGTCTTGTTGTACTATCCAATTTCTTTAGAAGGCTGCATACTTGGACTTAAAATGCATATGCTCCCAGTTCCAGCCTTTTGGTTCCCACTGTAATGTCCAGCTTCTTGTGGACACAGCGGATGAATATGGGACCCTGGTGTGAAGGAAGATCTGCTCTCCTCTTCTACTTTGCCCTTCACTCCTTCCTTGCCCTTCCTCCCCCCCGTCCTCCCCGTCCTCCCAAAGATTAAGCCTTTAATTTGATGTGTTAAGAATGCTGGTTCTGGACAGCAGATTTACAACCAAGACTCAAACTGAAAACAAAAGCAGAAAGCAAGAAATAAGGGAGGTTGGGGTGAATGAGAAAAGAGGCAAAGAGAAAAAGCCCAATGGATCGGTTTCCAATCTGACAGCCAGCTTGTTGAATAAATTTGAGAGCATGCACAAGTTTTTTTCCTTCCGTTTCCATCAAGTGTTTTAATATTTGTTCATCTGATTGCAAATGACAAACCATTCATCACACATTAAAACAGCCCAAATAATTGCCTCCTTACCTGCAATTTCGGCTCGCAGAGCTGATGGGTTTTTAAGGGCTTTGGATTCTGTTCCTGGTCTAGTGTTTTCGGGTTCCAGCTCCCGATAATAAATACGATATCCCAAAAGAAGACCATTGAGACTCTCTACCTTTGGAGGCTGCAAAAAAAAAAAAAAAATGCCCACAAAAAGGGTTAAGTTGCAACTTGTCTGTGATAAAAAAAAAACACCACTAAGAAATTCAGAGAGAGATATATTTCTAGACAATGGTGGTATATCTGGGTGTTGGTTTCAAAATATTTGGCTGCATCACATAATCAAAACTTCCATTTGGAATATCTTGCAAAGTTGAGATGCTGTGGAGAGATTATTCACCCATCTGGGCAATGCCCAGATGAAATCAAAACTCCAAGGCAGAGTTCCTCAGCGTGTAGATTTATTAGGCATGTCATATTGGCACAGCTGGTGAAAAACCGACTCTGAAGTTCCCTGCCGTTTTCCCCACCCAGTTCAAAATCCAAAGTTCTGTAAGAAGTTAGCACCCACCCTTCTCCTAGAAGAATGAAATATTTTAGGAAATATTAAAAAGGCAGAATATTGTATTTCCCTGGATGAGAAATGGAGAAACATGTTTTGAAGACAAAGTAGCTCCCTGTCCCCCCCCCCACCTTTGTCAATGGGCCATCAAGGTCTGAGCCAGGCTCAAGCAAGCCTGGGAGACAACCTACAAGTTAGCTAAGACCCCCGCCCCCTGGGAGTCTGAAAACCAATCAGGATACATTCTTATAACGGAACAGGAGAGCCGAGGTGGCGCAGTGGTTAGGGTGCAGTACTGCAGCTACTTCAGCTGACTGCTAGTTCAGCAGATCAGCGGATCAAATCTCACCGGCTCAAGGTTGATTCAGCCTTCCAACCTTCTGAGGTGGGTAAAATGAGGACCCAGATTGTTGGGGGCAATAGGCTATTTAGTATACTGTCTTTAGTGTAAGCCGCCTAGAGTCCTTGGAGAGTGGGCGGCATAGAAATATGAATAATAAAATAAATAAATAAATAAACAGGAAACAAGGTGGGGCCCAAGAGACGGTATAAAACCAAGGGACTCTCAGCATCTCTCCCCTTTTTTTCTTCACCCAACATCTTGAGGCATGTGATCACCTTTTCTGCCCAGGACCTCAAAACCATGTGGTCCTGTCCACCATTAAACCATCTTTCCAAGCAGTCTCCATGTTTCACGTGTCTTTTTCCCCACTTGGAACTGAACCCAGAAGGACATTTCTTCCCTCCATCACTCACAACCATCACATGGCCAATCAGGTCTCTCTCCCCATCCTGGATGCCTCCCATCCACGCCCCTCCAGGTGCTGGTGAGAGTGTCCTTGGTTCCCAGAAGAAATAATGTTATTTTGGCTACATAGCCCCCTCAGCTATCTCTACTCCCCACTGCCTTTCCCACAGCTTCAGCGAGCCTCGCTGTGGCAACCTTGAAGACACTCAAAGATGGCTCCAGGGTTGACAGGCAGGACATCTCTAACCATCTTTGGAGACAAGGAACAAGCTGGGATGAATTAGACCAGGATCCATGGTGAGGGTGCTGAGTGTCAGCACTTCAAGCTGCAGTTACTCTAGTGCTGACATAAGAAGGAGAAACGGAGGCGTCTGGAAAGGGACGTTTGACTTTTCACCTACTTATTTTCCCTGGAGATAATATCCCCTAGGAGATGGGATGGGAGGGGGGAAATTCCTTTGAGCTGGAGCAATAGATTAGGGTAGAATGACTTGGAAGATGGCCAATGAGTGCAGGGGAGTGGGGAACGGAAAGGGAGGGTTTTGGGGCTGGAAGTCAGTGTTGGCTTCGATGGAGTCGGGTTTTAGAATGCCGTGCTTAATAAATAGAAGTTTTTCTTCAAAGACTTTGTTTGAAATGCAATTTATTTGAGACGACCTCGAAACCTGACACTGAGCTACAACCTGCAAGCTCAGTCTTGAAGAGTTCTTTGGAATAATGTCAAAGAAGCTCTCCTCCGGCCAACAAACGTTCACCTAATGGTATCAGGCTGGTGTTAAAAGGCAGAAGAAACGAGGTGGATCCATCTGGAACACACGTTTCCTCAAGGAACACGGCAGCCACCTCCTGTTTTCTGGCTATCTTCCGAGAATTGTCCCCACGAATTAGAAACCTCACCAGTCTAGAAAGATGGAGAAGGATCCAAAGAGGCAATTTCCGCTGCTGACACAGGTCATTCATCAAGATTTACCTAGGCAAGCTCGAGAAGTCAATCAAGGTGACAACGTTGGCTTTCCGTCAACATTCCAGCCACCGGACTGCTCCTGAAATAATCGGCTTCATCTCAAACTTTTATAGAGTTGATCTCTCGGGGGACCCAGCTCTCATCACTCCCCAGGGGTGGGTGGGAGAAAGGAGCTACGCCATTAATCTGCCGCCGTGCCTTAACTTTGATTTATGGTTCTCCGTCCCTAATTTCGGCTCGGTGGTCTCCAGAACGTACTTTGGTACACCGCTAAGCCATTTGCTTGTGGCCATGTTTCTGATGGTCTGGGAGAATAACCCTTATGTTCACTTAATTAAAAACTAGGTAAGAAGGGGAGGGGGAGTGAGAAAAGGTTGATTTGATTAGAATCTAAGGCGGTGATGGCGAACCTTTTAGACACTGAGTGCCCAAACTGCGGGCGGTTGCCTGAGCGAATGCACACATACACGAATGTGCACAGACATGTGCACGCGTGAACATGCACGCATACAGGCATGGATATGCACACATGCACAGCAGAGCCCTCGAGACCAACTGGCCAGCGGGAGACGGGGCATCCCAACACCGGCAGCGTGGCAAGAGGTAAGATCTTTTTCTTTCGGGAGCTTCTGTTTCGTCGTTTGCAGGGAAAAAGAAGCTCACAAAAGAAATGCCACGGAGATCTGATCTGGGGTGATGGCGCGCGTGCCAGCCGAGAGGGCTCCATGAGGTTTGCCATCATGGATCTAAGGGAAGGGGATACACCACCATACCAATGAATGAGTCACTTTCCATAATTAAGGTTGCGATGTTGAAGGCCCCACAGCATTCCCCCTCCTCAAAATTATTCTCCTTCCTGTCCTTCATGCCAACTTCCTGAGTCATATCAGCAAGCAAAGGGGCTCTCTGTCTCTCTGTCTCTGTCTCTGTCTCTCTCTCTCTCTCCCTCCCTCTCTCCCTCTCCCTCTCTCTCTGTCTCTCTTTCTCTCTCCCTCCCTCCCTCCCTCCCTCTCTCCCTCCCTCTCTCCCTCCCCCCTCCCTCTCTCCCTCCCTCGCTCTCTCTCTCTCTCCCTCCCTCCCTCTCTCTCTCTCCCTCTCTCCCTCTCCCTCTCTCTGTCCCTCCCTCTCTCTCTCCCTCTCTCTCTCTCCCTCTCTCTCTCCCTCCCTCTCTCTCTCTCCCTCCCTCCCCCTCTCTCTCCCTCCCTCCCTCTCCCTCCCTCCCTTCCTCTCTCTCCCCCCTCTCTCTCTCCCTCTCTCTCTCTCCTCTCTCTCTCTCCCTCTCTCCCTCCCTCCCTCCCTCTCTCTCTCCCTCCCTCCCTCTCTCCCTCCCTCCCCCTCTCTCTCTCCCTCCCTCCCTCTCCCTCCCTCCCTCCCTTCCTCTCTCTCCCTCTCTCTCTCTCTCTCTCTCTCGCTCTCTCTTTCTGCAGCAGCCTGTGTCTGATCTCAGATTCAGAAGCTATTAAGCGATCCCGCACAAAGAAACCTGGGATAAATGGCACGAGATGACATTTCCTTCTTTCTTTGACGGTTTTATTTCTACCCTGGAAAAGGTACTCTAATCACAAAGGTCAAGGCATCCTGCTCTTATCCATCTTTCATGAGTAAAAATAAAAAAAAAAAAAAATGCAGGTTTTGATGTAAAGGATTATTTAGGATTTCCTAGATCTCGGAGAGGGGAGGCCCAGAGGAACTGCGGGTAATCTATTACAGATTCAGAGGGACGATAACAACCGTGTGTTTACACTGTGAAATTGGGACAAATTCCGGATTAAAAGGAAGAAGCGGGTGAGAGACAGAGCTGACGAGTTAAAACTTCCACGCAGAACGGGACAGGAAAATCGGGATTTTTGATGGCAAGAACTTTCTTGTTGCCATTGATGGGTATGAAATTAAGAAGCGAAATGCTCGATGCGCCGGCATTTAATTCTGCTTCTTGCCTTCTCCAGCGGAGCAATATAAAACATTATCTTATGCCCACCTGTGTTTTCTCCGCAGTCAACTGCGGAGTTTCAAATTATTTTACATTTTTTTTTATTTGAAAACTGTAGAGCCTCAACTGCTGAGTGCCCCAATAATGTAAGCATGATAATGACATGTAATTGGCCTTCAATTCCCTAGATGCAGGCGAAGGGGCAAATCTCCCATTAGGTTTTTGTGAAATAAAAGGTTCCTAATTATCTCAACTACCGTCTATTTCACATTCATTATCCACCCCAAATCTATCAACAGGATCAACCTTTAATGAGATGTGCACCGCCGTATTGTCCTTTGCGCGCGTTAGTGGAACCCCATTGTACGCCTGAATGAGAGGCAAATGGCTGATTGGTACTTACGTGTGGCTCCTTAGTTAAAAACTGTCAAAATGTCTCACATTTGTTTAACATGTTGTAACAGAGTGTGGGGGCTCCCTGTGCGATCAGGAAGACCGACACAAAATCTGCATGACAGAGTGGCTGTCATGAAGCCAAGAGGAAGAGATAGGAGAAAAGTAGGCAGAGCCAGAGGGCGGAGTTAAATGCGTCATTAGTTTGGAATCCTTGCATTGCCACAAGAGATCCAAGCCCAGCCCCATTGAATTCCGTTGACCCTTATCTGGCGCCAATTTAGCACTGACCGTTAGTTGACTGGATTCTCGTGTATGGGCTGACATTCTGTGTTCTAATAAATTGACATTCTAATAAAAGTCAATTCCAACCGACATTCTAATAAACATTCTGTGCTTGGATTTAAGGAATGATTTTGGTTCTTTGTTTCGGACATAAACTGTGCCAATCTCCCAGCCTGTTCTCCAATCCACTGGTCCTGCGTGATCTCGGGGAAATTTTTATTGTGAGGCAGTGCCATGCAGGATTGGGAGAATGGAAGATGTCTTCCAGTCCTACCAGAAGGTACCAGCTTAGTGTGGAGATTTGTCTTCGTAGGAATAGCCAAATAATTTGAGACAAAGGGCAACATTTTGTCCTTTTTACATTGCAGTTGTCTTGTTTTTGCTTTCAGAAGTCCACATTCATGCGTATGAGATGGATGTCCATCAGGGGTGAAATCCAGCAGGTTCTGACAGGTTCTGGAGAACCAGTAGCAGAAATTTTGAGTAGTTCGGAGAACTGGCAAATGCAATCTCTGGCTGGCTCCAGAGTGGGGTGGGAATGGAGTTTTTGCAATATCCTCCCCCCAGGAGTGGGGAGGGAATGGGGAGTGTGCAGTATCCTTCCCCCAGGAGTGGGGTGGGAATGGAGATTTTGCAGTATCCTTCCCCTGCCACGCCAACCAAGCCAAACCTGGAGATTTTGCAGTATCCTTCCCCTGCCACGCCCACCAAGCCAAACCACGCCCACCAAGCCACGCCCACAGAACTGGTAGTAAAGAAATTTGAATTCCACCACTGATATCCATATGCATTTCTTAAAAACAGACAAATGAAACCACACTGGCCCCTTTGTTAATCTGAGGATATTTTAACACTGAGAATAAGCTGGCATCTGTGAAGGGGGATCGAAGTGTTCTAGGATTCATACTAATGATTGATTTCACATATGCAAATTTTCTACGATCGATCCTAGGAATCACCTTCTGATCATTGGAGCTCAGGCTTCAGGGCTACTTTTCTACTCACCTGCCACTGTACTAGGACAGAGGAAGTTGTGTATGGGGTCACAGACACGGAATTTGGTGGTTCATCTGGAACTAGAAAGAAAAAAAACAACAACACCAGATATGGAGATGACAAATGTGTTACTTGGCCACACAACTCTATAGATGAATGACAGAGGAGGATCACTCCTACCATGGGAGGTCCAGAAGCTTTGGACTATTCAGGGAAATGTGTGTCTATGCCAGTGTTTTTTTTTTTACATTGGCAATTTTAAGATGGGTGGACTTCAACTCCCCAACTGGCTGGGGAATTCTGGGAGCTGGAGTCCACCCATCTTAAAGTTTCCAAGGTTGAGGAACCACTCAAGATCCCTCTTCCAGTCACCACTATTGAGCAAGGTACCACATATACTGTATACCTGTGCATTTTCTTTTTCTTGCCTAAATGTAGAACCTTACTTTTCGCACCACTGAATTTCATTTTGTTAGATAGCGCCCAAAGTCCGTCACCATCTTGAATGATGGTGTAAGAGGCATCCCAAAGAAGACGTTGGCCGGCTGTTGTGGCCCTTACCATCTTGCAGTGTAGTGACTGCCTCCGTCTCAGCACCAAAATTGCTGTCTCCGACATCGTTGGTGGCTTTCAGGCGGAGCTTGTAAGAGGTAAAGGGGTTCAACCTGCAAGGGGTGGACCAAAATTTTAAAAAAAAAGTCAACATTTGCCTCGTGTTTTCATGCTTCTCATAATCTATGGGGAAAGCAGCATGGCACCATCCAAATATTCTGGATTACAACTCCCAGAAGCAGGGGTGAAATGCTCCCGGTTCGGACCGGATCGCCTGATCCGGTATCGATGGTGGCGGGTGGTTCGGAGAACCGGTAGCAAAAATCCCTGCGCCCCTCATCATGCCCAGCTGAGTCGCACGATCATCAGAGGCTTTTTTTTTTTTACTTTTAAAAGCATTTTTTCTACAACCTCTTCCCACGAAAAAATGCTTTTAAAAGTAAAAAAAAAAAAAGGCTCTGATGATCGCGCGGCTCAGCTGGGATCGTCAGAGGCTTTTCAAAGCATTTTTTTCTGCAACCTCTTGGCCAAAGAGGTGGTAAAAAAAAATGCTTTGAAAAGTCTCTGACGATCCCAGCTGAGTTGCCTGATCGCCAGAGGCTTTTCAAAGCATGAGAAAAAATGCTTTGAAAAGTTTTTTTTTTAAAAAAAACAAAGTTGGCCACGCCCACCCAGTCACATTACCCCTCCCACCAAGCCACGCCCACAGAACCGGTAGTAACACATTTTACATTTCACCCCTGTCCAGAAGTGCTAATGATGCCACCCAGAGGTGGTATAAAGCCGGTTTGTGTGAACCGGTAGTGGAAATCGCGGGTGGGCCTGCCGTTCCCCCCCACCCGCCCTGTGCTGTCCTATTAAGACACATTTTTGAGGCCAGGTGCACACGCAAAGGTCGCAGGTACATGCCCTCACATTTTCGGTCCTGGGCGAACCAATAGGTAAATTATGTGAATCCCACTTCTGATGCCACTTCAGTCGGAATTCATGGAAATTGTAGACCCGAAGACAGGAAAGACACCAAGATATATATATATATATATATATTGATATGGCCACTTTTGGATTTAAGCTCACTTAGCTGCTCTCTCTCCGAATCTATTTAGTGAGCGAAAGAATTAGTTTATAAGAGGGCATTGTGAGCAGCTAATTAAAGAGCGATAATTTATTATTACTATGTTAATATTGTAATCTCTCTCTCTCTCTCTCTCTCTCTTTTTTTTTTTTGCTTCTGCTTCCAACGCCAAAGTACCTAAGAGCTTGTTCGAGATAAGGACAGGTTTCACAAGACTTTTAAAAAAAATTTCAACCTTAAAAATAAAGCCTACCGAATGTATTCCTGTAAGGCCACTCATTAATATTATAATGTAGTCCAGAATTACCCGGTTAGGGGATGAAAGCAGTAACAGGCAAACTCAAATGAAGCGTACGAGGACGTAGAAGATTTTACTCTTCCCGACTCCTTTTTCTCGGCGCATCTGAGTGACACCTTTTACAGTGATCAAAAATTATCTGCCGCTGGTTTCCTAGGTGGGAGATATCAGTGGATTTATGCAAGAGCGGGCTGAATGACAGAGGGATAAATGGAAATGAGATCCACCTTGGTTAATCTACTAGGCAATGCTCTCTCATCCTGGGTGCATCTCCAAGAAGTAGGCATGCGGCTTATTTAACTCTGACAGAGTCAGGGGATTCCCTGCAGGATCCCTGCACTCTCGGTGACGTTAAGATATTCAAAGTCGGACTTCCAGCTGAGGCGAATTGATATGAGCTTCTAGGGCAACCAGCAGGAGCCTTCCTTCGGTGTGACTAACAAGGTCTGCAGGAGTTCAGAGTTGCTCGCAATAGGCTGAGTTAATTATAAGCGGTGAAAGTCAGCCAACCAGCAGACTCAACTAAGCAATCCAGATACAAGTACCGGGGACAGAAGATTAAAACATGGGGAGGTAAGATGCTGGGTCTGAGGAGCAGCAGAGGGCATTGCTTGGTGAAGGTCTATGTTGGACAAATGCTATATACGGACTCAGCTTGGCTTGATATTAGGCAGTTGTATCAGTGAGGAACCCCAAAGACGAGACTTTGTGCTTCATTCATTCATTCATTCATTCATTCATTCATTCATTCATTCATTCATTTTATTCAATTTGTATACCGCCCTTCTCCTAGTGGACTCAGGGCGGTGCACAGCCAGAACTAAAACACATACCAATACAAAATTTAAATTTTTTAAAAGAATTACAGAATTCTTTTAAAAGAATTAAAAATGTTGAAACCCACTACTGGTTGGGATGTTTCTCTACAGAATAGAATAACAGAGTTGGAAGGGACCTTGGAGGTCTTCTAGTCCAACCCCCCTGCTTGGGCAGGAAACCCCAGGGGTGAAATCCCTCTGTTTATGCAGCCTAGAACTGTGTTGGCTTTTTTGGCAGCTGCTGCACACTCCAGAGCTTCACAATCCAGGAGACCCTCTAAACAAATCCTTCTAACATCTTACTACCAGTCGTGTGAAATGAAGCATTTATTGACCAAGTGTGAAATCTTCCCACAACATGTGCTTCACACAGAAGGAGTTTAGCTCGTTAATCTTGACAATAAGAGTGTTTTTGCTTTTGACGATTAATAGGAGCAACATGAAAGTAGGTAAAGGCAAGGAGGTTCTATCACTGTTGTCCTTGAGAAGAGGCCGCCTGAGAAATCTGCACTTCTCATGGCAAGTCAGTTTTCTGAAGAACCCTTAGAGATAAATTTAACCGTTTCAGTAGTTTGACAGATACTGAACAAGTGGGGTGCTCTAAAAAGGCTAGATGAAATGAGGGGATTATTAGCAACAATGCATACAGTTGCTAAATCTGTAATAGAGGTGATCACCCAAGAAAATGGTACTCATCTTGAGGAACCATCTGCTGGCTCACTCCTATTTGAAGATGGAACATAGACGTGAAAAAGAACAACAAGGAATCTTTGGGATACGTTTCTAACACACTTCATCTACTTCTTGATAAAACACTACCGTACCCAATGGAAAATGTAAAGAAAGGGAAACAAAAATTGAGGCCAATAGACAAGAGGAAGCAAGAACCCCAGATGGAGTTACCAGAGAGGTTGGCCATACAGAAAAGGACTGAGTGACAAGGAGGACACCTTTAGCTCAACGCTTCTCAAAACAGACATAGGCCCAAAGGGATACAGTGTCAGGTTTCGATGTCATCTCAAATAAAATAAATTACATTTCCAAACAAATAGTCTTTGACAAAATCTTTCATTTTATTAAGCATGACAGTCTGTCCCCGATTGTGGCATAGCCAACACTGACTTCCTGACCCCAAACCTTCCCTTTCCGTTCCCCAATTCTCTGTGTCTCGTTGGCCATCTTCCAAATCACTCTCCCCATATCTACTATTTCAGCTCCCAGGAATGTCCCCCCTCCCATCTCATCTCCTAGGGGATATTATCTTCAGGGAAAATAAGTAGGTGAGAAGTCAAGCATCCTCTTGCCAGCTACCCCCTCTTCTCCTTCTTATGTCAGCACTAGAGTAAATGCAGGTTGAAGTGCTGACATACAGCAGATGTGGTATTCAGCAGGTTCTGACCAGTTCTGGAAAACCAGTAGCCGAAATTTTGAGTAGTTCGGAGAACCTATAAATGCCACCTCTGACTGGTCCCGCCCCCATCTATTCTCTGCCTCCTGAGTCCCAGCTAATCAGGAGGAAATGGGGATTTGGCAGTAACCTTCCCCTGGATTGGGGAGGGAATGGGGATTTGGCAGTATCCTTCCTCTGGAGTGGGGAGGGAATGGGGATTTGGCAGTAACCTTCCCCTGGAGTGGGGAGGGAATGGGGATTTTGCAATATCCTTCTCCTGGAGTGGGGAGGGAATGGGGACTTTGCAATATCCTTTCCCTAGAGTGGGGTGGGAATGGAGATTTTGCAGTATCCTTCCCCTGGAGTGGGGAGGGAATGGAAATTTTGCAATATCCTTCCCCTGGAGTGGGGAGGGAATGGAAATTTTGCAATATCCTTCCCCTGGAGTGGGGTGGGAATGGAGATTTTACAGTATCCTTCCCCTGGAGTGGGGAGGGAATGGAGATTTTACAGTATCCTTCCCCTGCCACGCCCACCAAGCCACGCCCACCAAGCCATGACACACCCACCAAGCCACGCCCACAGAACTGGTAGTAAAAAAATTTGAATCCCTCTACTGGGCTACAGCCTATGAAGCAGTCCAAAATGGGCTAAGGAGAGAACGTGAGGGAGGAAAATCAGCTCTTAAGAGTAAGCTATCCCTTCTGGATGCTGACATGTTTCTGAGTTGTCAGCCTACGATAGTACGTATCCAGATGCTCACCTCCAAACCTGTTGGAGCTGATGCAACAGCAAGGCAGTAGTAAGGTAGACCAATTTCAAACCGGTGCATTTTTTTTTTTCAACCCCGGAGGAATCTTGGGCAATCTCACTCTCTCTGAACAACCGAAAGATTCATGCTCTTCAACCCCAAATTCCAAAATTTTCCCAGTCATGCAAGTTGGATGGGAGGTCACCCTTAGAGTCCCCAGATTTTAAGGGTGAGACAAGAAAAAGAAAAAATACAGAAAAGGAGACGAGAGTGGCCTAAATGCCGATTCTTTGTACTTGCACTTCTGTATTTTATTGCTGCAATTTCTTTTATCTATTTTACCCTGGAATTAGATCCTATATTTTGCCTTCATTTTCTTTGATACGAATGTAAGACTAATCGATTAATCAACCACTACATTTAATTCTATTGCACTGTATGGAGGATATGGGAGGATTGCCCAGAGGGGTTGGGATAGCTGTTTACATGCAGGAAACAGCTCTGAGTGCTTAAAGATGAAAAATTTTAATGTCAAACAAACATCCTTGATTGAGTAGACAATGCTCAGGGCTTTAAATAATGAAATTGAAGTCTCTTTAGACAAGATCTTAAAGACATTCAGCTTGGCATGATTTAGAGGTAATGGAATCTTTCTGCAGAATCTCTAAAAATAAATATTCCCAATCAGACACAATTACTTTTGGGAGTTGCAATCCCACACGTCCAGAAAACTCAAGGCTGGAGAGACAGTTCTTGGGTATATAAAGATCAATACAAACTGCAACAAGAGATGTACAGGTAGCTGTGGGGAAAGGTAGGCCCCCATTTGTAAAGGTATAGCTGCTTGAAGACAGATGTGGAAAACCAAGTTGCCTGGTGCTAGGGGGCTCCACCCGTTGAGTTAAGGCCATCACATCGTTCTTACTCTGGAATCTTTCGATCAGAAAAGACTCTAAGACTGAAGAATTCAAGAATCTTTATGGCCTTGGAGAAGGCCTGGGTCAGACATGGAGATTTAGTGATTGGCATCTCCAATTATGTTGTGGTCCGCCAGCAGCCTGCAGAGCTGGCAGCAGAGTCAGACAGCGATGAGGCTGAGGAAGAACAGGGGCCAGTCCTGGAGGCTGGGGAAGGCCTGGATGAGGACTCTGCATCGGAGGCAGAGATGGGGCCAGGGCCATCGGGCAGTGATGCGCGGACTTCGGAGCCTCCAGAGTCAGACAGCAGAGAGGCAGAGGAACAGGAGGAGCCTGTTCCTAGTGCATGCATGAGAAGAGCTGCCAGAAGGCAGGAGCAGCTAAAGCAAAAAGGACAACTCGGGAGTAAGGCCAGGAGATGATTGGCCCCTCCCATAAGGCTTAAAAGAGCAGCAACGGCTCTTGGGCTCTTTGTCGGAAAACAACGTTGATAGATTTGTTTCTTGTCTTGCTGTGTTTATTTCTTGTCGGCGTCTTCTGCTTCTGAACAACTTTTGCCAAGAAAAGCCTTTGGCAGGTTGCCTAATTAGACCAAGGTTGGTGATAAGACTGAAGAATTTGTGTTATGAAGAATTTGTTTTGAATGAGTTTGGACTACGCTGAGAATGAGTTAATGTTCTAATACAGTCTGTTTGTTTTGAACTGATTGCGTCTGATAATACCTACTTGGATCTGGGTCACAACAAATTAACCTGCTGTACACGTGCATGTGGAGTGCGTGCCAATTGCACACTGTGTGTGGGCGCATGTGCGCTGTGCACCAAACACACACTGCATGCACAAACGCAGTGCGTGCCAAACAGATGAACGATTCTTCCTTTTATGTACACTGAGAGCATATGCACCAAAGACAAATTCCTTGTGTGTCCAATCACACTTGGCCATTAAAGAATTCTATTCTATTCTATTCTATTCTATTCTATTCTATTCTATTCTATTCTATTCTATTCTATTCTATTCTATTCTATTCTATTCTATTCTATTCTTATTTATACCCTATGACTATCATTAAGAGTAGTACCTTATGATTCTTGACGAATGAATCTTTTCTTTTATGTACACTGAGAGCGTATGCACCAAAGACAAATTCCTTGTGTGTCCAATCACACTTGGCCATTAAAGAATTCTATTCTATTCTATTCTATTCTATTCTATTCTATTCTATTCTATTCTATTCTATTCTATTCTATTCTATTCTATTCTATTCTATTCTACTCTACTCTACTCTACTCTACTCTACTCTACTCTACTCTACTCTACTCTATCCTCTACCACTGCAATTTCTTAAAACAAAACAAAACACAAGCAACACTTTTAATGTAATGCCCCAAAGCTTCCTCGCATTCCTCAATCTTTTTCAACAGCAACTCACCAGCAGTTAAAACTTCCTTCGGCACCTTGAGAAGTAGATTAACTGGGAAGTCTCTTTTGCAAGCACAGGGCAGCTTGAGAAGCAATTGTGGGGAGAATTTTAATTCCAAGCCCAGTCTAACCAAGGCTGGATAATGCTATTTAGACAGGCAATGTGATCTCTTCCTTCCTCACTAGGGGAAGATGGATAAAACCGCCCTCATTTAATCTGAAAATCAGATTTAAACACAGAGGCAGAAACCCAGAACGTGCCCAGGAATGAATGTCAGGAACTTCCTGCCAAAAAAAGGGAGTGAAGAATTCCTGCCTAGCTGGACAGCGGCTGAGAAAAAGAACGAGAGTCTTGCTAATTAACAAATGGAAATTAACATGTCTGCGATTAAAATGTGGCGTTCTTTCAGAGATTTGCCAGACAGCAAAAACTGAGAACTGTGATTTAGTTCTCGGTCCGACATCGCTTCTTGCAAACCTGGTGAAGGAAAGGATGACTACAGGCGATCCTTGATAGAGCCTAAAATATCCATCGCTAAGCAAGATGGTTAAGGGAGTTTGGCCCCATTTTGCGACAGTTGTTAAGTGAACCACTGTAGTTAAGTTAACATCAAAAATATCATCAAAAAAGCACAACAAAGAACGTTCTTTCTGTGCCAACTCGGAATACTCTTAACTGCCCAAGGAGCTGCTGATCCAGTTCTACAGAGGGATTATTGAGTCTGTCATCTGCACCAATAAATTCTATTCTATTCTGACGTATTTCTACGTTGCAGCCATTCTTTCATTATTGGGGGTGGGAGGAGTTCCAGCATGATGCTTTTATACCTTGCTGTTGTGCAACCAGCTTTTTTGAATTAAATGGTGGTTCCACGAGCTCATTCGATAGCTAATTCCAGCACTGTTAATTAGTAGCGTTCTTTTTCTAGTCGAAGGCCTTTTTATTACTTCCTGTTCAATGCGGGAGCCGACACTGCTGATAAATAGCATCACACCCAGATATTAATTATTCCGAGATTGTTCCTCTCCGCTGGGGAAGCGGTTTAATCACCTGATTCCTTTTGTTGTTGTTGTCGTCGTCGTCCGTCCCTTTTCATCTTTTTTATTAATTTATTGGAAGTATATCAGGGGAACGCATTATTAAATCGCCTTCGTAACAATGAAAAACAGCTAAAAAAAATATTGTGGAACTTTGCTCTTTATGGGTTAAGAGGGAGATTTGGGGTCTCAGGACTCTTCAGTCGAGCTTGGAGATTTGTCGATTTGATCATGAATTGATCAAATCTTGATCAATGAATTTTTGATCAAGAAGTTTGAATTTTGCTACCAAAAAAAGTCACACCACTTACCTGTCAAAGGGATTCCTTTTTGCGGCTTTGCGGTGAGAAGATACGGTTTGCATTTTTTTGTCATTCTCCTGATGGAAGTATTTAATATGAGACTTACCTGTCAATCAAGCAGGAGGTAGCTTTGTGATTGACAGATGAAGAGTAGGTTTTCCAGTCTCCATTTGGGAGCTCTTTCAACTGAATGGTAAAGTAACGGATGGGAGAAGAACCGTCGCTTCCAGGGACCCAGTGCAGATGGAGACTCCGGGATGTGACTTCGGACTGAGGGACCTTTAATTCCTTGGGAGGGGCTGGTCGTTCTGAAAAACAAATCACGGAACAATTATGACCTTTCTGAGAAATTGAGAACTAGCAGAAATGTGGAGTCATGAATGGAAGAACTTCAGAAGCAGTCTAGAACTGATGATGTTTCCTAATTGGGTAATGAAATGTCTGCAAGAAAACAACCAAGCTCAGAGAGCATCAAGGACCCCACAGTTCCTCCTCCTCCTCCTCCTCCTCCTCCTCCTCCTCCTCCTCCTCCCCCCCCACATCCCCACTCCCTTCTAGCACTGATGATATGATCTAGTTGGGTCATGAAACGTCTGGAAGAAAAGAACCAAGCTCAGAGAGCATCAAGGACCCCACAGTTCCCCCTCCCCCCTCCTCCTCCTCCTCCCCACAACCCCACTCCCTTCTAGCACTGATGATATTACCTAGTTGGGTCATGAAACGTCTGGAAGGAAACAACCAAGCTCAGAGAGCATCAAGGACCCCATAGTTCAACCCTGAGCTACAAATATACAAAGGAAATCCTTCTTCTCTTCCTCCCTTCTCCTCCCCATCCCCTCATTCCCTTCTAGCACTGATGGCATCACCTAGTTGGGTCACAAAACGTCTGCAAGAAAACAACCAAGTTCAAGGAGTACCAAGGCCCCCAAAGTTCATGAGTGTTAGAGAAGAAGAAAAAAATAAATAACATGGCCTAGTTCTGTGTTTGTTTGGTCCTGATTATAATTCTGTTCTTCTCTTTTGCTACATAAAACATTGGGTGCGTATGTTTTCCTTTGTATCTAGGAAGGAAGGAAGGAGCAGGGAGATAAGTTTTCCTTGCATTCTTATGATGGCTGAGAGCACACTGGCTGATTTATTCAAAGGAATCTCTGGCGCCAGGCGTTGCTTAATGCCAAGGAGAAAGGTGACCATCCGTAATGCATCAGCCGAGAACTTGGCCCTATCTCTCCTCACCCATCAATTTCGGTCGGAGAAAATCAACACGGTGAGGAATAATTATTTAATTGTTTATCATGGACACTATTGATTCTGATTAAAATGTGTGGCATGCAACAAAGCAGGCATTGATTAGGGATGCCACAGTGGCTTGTCTTTGAATTAATTTGAATCAAATTGAGAATCTAATTTGATTCAATTCCATCAGCACCTGTTTCGGTAAATATCTACTCCTGGCTGCCTGAACCTCTGACAATTTTCTACAAAGAACAGCTTGTGTTTTGGCTTTTCTCTCTTCCGTCCCTCTGCCCTTCTGAAAACATTCGCTGTAAGACGTGGCGTGGTTTAGCACTCGGTAGGGTTGATGGTGCCAACAGGATGATCAACCGTACATCAACAAGAGTCCTCTTGGTGTCAACAACCTGACATCAACCTGAGTTGCATGAGATGATGTTGGGATTAGGACCAGGGGTGGGGCTGCTGGGGGTTCACAGAGGTTCGGGAGAACCTCTAGCTATGATTCTGTGCAGTTCAGAGAGCCCCCAAATCCCACTCCTGGCTGGCCCCGCCCACCCCGCCCTGCCTCTCCCAGGAGTCCCCACGTGGACCATTTTGGATGTAGGTAAGTGCAGGGCATGTGCGGAGGCTCAGGAAGGGTGAAAAACGGGCGTGCTGGAAGTTCGGGAACTGGAGCGAACCGGTAGCATTTCACCCCTGCTGCAATCTATGCACGACCTAGGAGCCAACTTGTATTTGTAGCAGATTGAATAATTGGACGCCACAGTGGATGGTGAAAAGGAAGACCTGAAAGCAGGTGTTGTGGTCCGCCAGCAGCCTGCGGAGCTGGCAGTGGAGTCGGACAGCGAGGAGGCTGAGGAAGAACAGGGGCCAGTCCTGGAGGCTGGGGAAGGCCCGGATGAGGGCTCTGCATCAGAGGCAGAGATGGGGCCGGGCCATCGGGGAGTGATGTGTGGACTCCGGAGCCTCCAGAGGCAGACAGCAGAGAGGCAGAGGAACAGGAGGAGCCTGTTCCTAGTGCACGCATGAGAAGAGCTGCCAGAAGCCAAGAGCAGCTGAAGCAAAAAGGACGACTCGGGAGTAAGGCGAGGAGATGATTGGCCCCTCCCATAAGGCTTAAAAGACCAGCAACGGCTCTTGGGCTCTTTGTCGGAAAACAACGTTGATAGATTTGTTTCTTGTCTTGCTGCACTTATCTCCGGTCGGCGTCTTCTGCTTCTGAACTTTTGCCAAGAGAAGCCTTTGGCATTTTGCCTAATTATACCAAGGTTGGTGATTAGACTGAAGAATTTGTGTTATGAAGAATTTGTTTTAATTTAGTTTGGACTACGCTGAGAAGCTGAGTTTAATTCTCAGCTGTTCTAATAACGTCTGTTTGTTTTGGAACCATTTGCATCTAATACTACCTACTGGGTCACAACAGCAGTATAGATAGCCCTCGACTTGCAATCATGTGTTTAGTGGCCATTCAAAGCTACAACAGCACTGAAAAAAGAGACTTACGAACGGTTTTCATATTTAAAAGATTACTGCAGCATCCCCATGGACACATGGGCAAAATTTGGGCAACTGGCATGTATTATGACCTGCACCATCGTTTCCCAGCTAACTTCTGACAAAATCAACGGGGAAAGCCAGATTTCTTTAATGACCACGTGATTCACTTAACAACCTTGGCGGGAAAAAGAAAGGCCACCCCTCACTAAATCATTGCCTTGCTCAGCAACAGAAATTTTGGGTCATAAATCAAGGAACACCTGTATTTACCAACTTTATCAACTGTGGAGTTCAACTCCCAGGATTCTTCCGGCCGACATGCAAATAAAATGCAGGGATCAGAAAGTAAACCTGAAGTGAAAATCCCTGAAGATTGTAATTTAGACTCCTGGCGTACCTCGGTGGGTAGCGAGGACACTCGAAACAGGCGTCCTCTTAAAGCAAATCTCCTGTATAATTGCATAACACATTTGGAATGAGGAAGGAACATAAAATGTCAGCCGAAGATGTGAGACGTGGCAAGGCAGGGCTGAGAAAAAAAATACTTTGATCCTAACCCACCTTGAGGAAGAGCTGGCCAATTTAATTAAGACCAGAAGTAAACAGAACCGTTCTTTATTTTACGATTGGCTGAACCAGTCCAGCAATTCTAGTGGAAATGGCAGCCAGTCTGCACAAATCTGTCCTTCCAACTCCTCCTCAAGGACAGCCTCCCCTAGATTAGCAATTCAATCAGAAGCGCCCCCAAAGCACGAATGTTTATTGCCAAGTCCGTCAAGAATCAGGAAGGCGAGGACCACGAGTTGAGAAGTCATCCATCCACCTGCCATCCGGGAAAACAATTTCCAAGCAGACAGTGAATGATGGAACACTGACGAGCAAGATAATCTGTCTGCCCTGTATCTGGGTGGGAAAATCAGTTGCTCTTGCAATCGTTGAAATGCTAGAGGACGTGGGTGGAGCTCGGAAGCTGCCTGGCTTCAAGGGAAACCTTTGAAATCCTCAGGAGGAAAGAGACGGAATGCCAGGCGCAAGGAACCAGAAAGCCTCCACGAGGAGGTCAAAGCAGTGTCTTTAGGGCTGTACGAATACAAGAGAATATTTGTAGCTCAGGGTTGACATGAGGGCTCCTTGGTGCTCTCTGAGCTTGCTGGTTTTCTCCCAGATGTTTCGTGAACCTAACTGGGTAACAACACCAGTGCTAGAAGGGAGTTGGGTTTGTGAGAGCGGAGAGGAGGAGGAGGAGGAGGAGGAAGAAGAGGAGGTGGAGGAGGAGGAGGAGGAGGAGGAGGACAAGGAGGAGGAGGACAAGGACTATGGGGTCTTTGATGCTCTCTAAGCTTGATTGTTTTCTTGCAGATGTTTCATTACCCTAATTGGGTAACAACACCAGTTCTAGAAGGGAGTGGGGTTTGTGAGAGAGGAGGAGGAGGAGGAGGAGGAGGAGGAGGACGACGACGACGACTATGGCGGTCTTTGATGCTCTCTGAGCTTGCTTGCAGATGTTTCTTGCAGATGTTTCATGACCCAACTAGGTAACATCATCAGTGCTAGAAGGGAGTTGGGTTTGTGAGAGGGAGGAGGAGGAGGAGGAGGAGGAGGAGGAGGAAGAGGATGATGACTATGGAGGTCTTTGATGCTCTCTGAGCTTGCTTGCTTGCTTGAAGATGTTTCATTACCCTAACTGGGTAACATCATCAGTGCTAGAAAGGAGTGGGGTTTGTGAGAGGAGAGAGTAAGAGGAGGAGGAGGAGGAGGAGGAGGAGGAGGAGGAGGAAGAGGAGGAGGAGGAGGAGGAGGAGGAGGAGGAGGAGGAGGAGGAGGAGGAGGAGGAGGAGGAGGAGGAGGAATTGTGGGGTCCTTGGTGCTCTCTAAGCTTGCTTGCTTTCATTACCCAAACATTTCATTACCCAAACTAGGTAACATCACCAGTGCTAGAAGGGAGTAGGGTTGCAGGATATGCTATACTAGAGCATAGGTGTAGTATGACACTGTTGCATCTAACCATGGGAACGTGGATGGTGGTGGCTGAACTGCCAGTCACTCCAAAGGAAAGTGCCCTCAACTTTGCAGCCAAGTGTTAAGGGAGAAAGAAAAAGGTTTTTCCGTTAAGTCTCAAAGTACTCCAGACAATGATAAGACTCGTTCTTCTGGCAACAGCAGAGAAAAGGAAATTATGGGATGCAACTATTAAATGCCAAGTGGTATCTCCCACATAAAGCGGTGAAGTTGCTCTCAAGTCAAGCTTGACTTCTGAGGATTACATTCCTGCAGTTTTCTTTGCCACATTATAGTTTTATTATGGCCAGGAAGAGAGAGAGAAAAAAAAAACAACCCACTCATTCTCCAAGCAGTATTCTTGCTTCTCATCTGTGGGAGAATGTATATTGGGAGGAAGGTAAATTTTAGTTTTCATAAAAAGTATATATATATATATATATATAATGAATGCTAAGACACTTTTCCAGCAAAAAAAGACAGAATAACGGAAGAATGGCGTGGGGGAGAGAGAGAAGAGTTTTGCACGGATAATAACCGCACGGAACAGGTAATTTCAGCAGGTGTGATATGAAGTTTTCTACAGAACCTATAAAATGCAGGAGCCTTGTTTGTTTTTGCACCCCGGTTCAGTGGAATCAGACCAACGTGTGATGAACTTGGAAGGGAAGTAGGATAGGACCTTGTTAACAGTTGAATGGTGACCACGAGATCATTCCAAGATTTGGGGATATATTGGGAAGTCAACAAAACATCCTGGAAGAAGGCAATGCCAATTTCCTTCCATATGGTTGCCAGAGGAAGGACTTTCCGTTGAGGTCCATTAGTGATTGGCAGGTTTGGGCAGAGTTGCAGAGGCTGGGAAGAAACAGATCCGACTTAAATGATGATTTACAGCGTTATACTTGTTTTGGCCAAGGCTGTCAGTGTTATTTGTGAGCAGGCACAGGCTCCATCTGCTCCTTGTACGTTGTAAGTGAACAATTTATGACACGAGCATCGGAAATCTTCCGCGTTCAACAGTAAGCATCCAAGGAGCAGCCTTGGAGTTTGCTAGGACTGGATGAGGGAGCTTGAAATGACATCAAGGAGGGCAGAGATAGGAACGGAATAGTAGGTGCATCGTAGAGTTTTCTAGAAGGCCATTTTTACATTCATGGAAGTTTTAACTCCCTTTCATCCCAGATTTTACTAGTTAATGGAGAGTAGGTTGAACATCAGGGGTAGGTTCTACTTACCTTTACTACCGGTTCGCAACGGGATCGCGCAAGCATGCGCAGATCGCTGATGATGACATCCGGGGTGCTGGGCGGGGCCTCCCACCAGTTTTACTACCGGTTTTTGCAAACCGGTCTGAACCAGGGGCAACCCACCACTGTTGAATATGTCCACGGGAAAGTAATTGACGTGTAAATTGCATGTGGATGTGCATTGGTGTACATGGATGAGTGAAAATATACTAGCCATCCTTATTAATTTTGGGTGTTGCGGTCTAATAACCAGGAGCATAAACCTTGGAGAAGGCAGTTCTAGGGCATTATAATAAATTATTGAGGTTGTGCTGGGTGCTCTGGAGTTACGATGGACATGTTCCAGAACCTTGGTGACATCCACACAATGTTCAAAGGTCATTTTTGGGGGCTAGATTCTGAAGCTCCTCAGAGATGCTGGACGCCGAGTAGATTTATGTAGCGTACGGCATATCGTACATGGACCAGAAATTTATGTTAACATTTCACCTAGAAATGATAGGTATTTTCACAATAAGGTAGATAACTTCTCATTTCGCCCGAGTAGATATAATCCTGCTTCTGGGAGAAACCTCTGAGGAATTAGCTCCTATTCATTCCCATGAGGAATCTGACACACAGTGAAAATAAGCTCTGCAATATTGTTTTGGCCTTTATTTCCCCATTTGTCCATCTTCCCTGAGGAGCCTCGTTCCACAAGGCCCATTGTTCCTCAATGACATCTAATTTGGACACAACAACCCAAGATAAAAAGCACAAGCTATGTTTGCCATTGGCTCATTTTCTTTCTAGAGCGATAACACAGGCTATCTTCATTTGTTTTAAAGGACAGGGCGTTGGTGGGAAATGGACCACTGTAAAGATCAAACTCTTGTGTCAACGCAAGAAGCCAAAGACCAGCTACGACCAGAAAGCTCACCATCTTGGGTACTGGGGAGAAAGGAGAATACAGAACAACAGAGGTCAAAGGGACCTTGGAGGTCTTCTAGTCCAACCCCCTGTTTAAGCAGGAGACTCTATACCAGTGGTCTTCAAACTTGGCAACTTTAAGACTTGTGGATTTCAACAAGCTATGCCCGCTGGAGAATTCTGGAAGTTGAAGTCCACAAGTCTTAAAGCTGCCAAGCTTGAAGACCTCTGCTCTATACCATTCCAGACAAATGACTGTCCACTCTCTTCTTGAAAACCTCCAGTGATGGAGCATCCAGAACTTCTGGAAGCAAGCCTGATTTAATTGTTGTCACGGTCAGGAAATTTCTCCTTAATTCTAGGTTGGACCTCTCTTCGATAAGCTTGAAGTTTTGTTCCTAACTTACCTCTCTTTTCCGTGGTGATCACAGTCGCTTCCAAGGGCTCACCCCAACCTTGGCGGGTCTTGGCAGAAGCTCGGAAAATATATGCGGATTCAGGGATGAGATCGGTAGCTGCAAACTGTTGAACGGAAGAGCCGACTTCCACCGTGGTGAACTTGTTGGGGCTGCTGGATGCCAGACGGTAAGCAATCTGGTACCCTGAATTCAGAGGGAGACAAAGGATGAACTCAACCTTACGAAGATGCATACGTGCCTAGATCCAAATAAATAACATTATTGTTGCAGTTGAGTTAGCTCAACTGGTCTTTTAAGGAAGGGAAAATGTCGAGACGATTAGCCCATCCCGATTCTTTATTTAGCCTAAAGGAAAACAATCGAATTGGCTTCTTTTTAGGATGGATCAGCTGACTTTGTAACGCCTTTCCCCCTTTGTGTAAGTCTGATTCAGTACATTATCTGGGAAATCGCTGGAAAATGACTTCTGAGTGACAATCCGCCATGAAATCTCTGAAATGTCACACTTCATTTTTTAGAATGAGGTACTGGAGCCGTTTCACCTTCCTGGAGCATATCGATGTGCTCTGCCAACATGGTACAGTACAGAGAAGTCTACGCAGATGATTTTGACAAAGTGTGGCTGACTGGAAGTGTATCTGCTCCAGATTGCCTGCTTCTAAATGCCTTTGGCATTGAGTCATGCCGGCCACATGCCACGGAGACGTCTTCGGACAGCGCTGGCTCTTCGGCTTTGAAACGGAGATGAGCACCGCCCCCTAGAGTCAGGAACGACTAGCACCTATGTGTGAGGGGAACCTTTACCGATCAGAATAACAAAAGGGCCTTGGAGGTCTTCTAATCCAGCCCCCTCCTCAAGCAGGAGACCCTACATCATTTTGGACAAGTGTGTTCTGTCCCCGTCTCCACACACACACAAACACAGCCAGCCGAGGGTTAAGAAAGCACTTGGCATGCACACAGGTTGTTATCAGAAACTTGGCAGCAATACGAGCACCGACTGCCAAGTGCTTTTACTTCAATAAGCGGAATATCCCTTCACCAGATAAACAGAAATACACACATTTTATAAATAGTCCAGTTCCAAACAAGAAACCTTTCGGCAGCTTTAAGCATTGTTCAAGTGCTTAGCCAAAGTTAGTTTTTGTCCGTCACAGAGTCTTAAATGGCCACCACACTCTCTTATATAGTCTCTGGGGTGTGGTCCAGTGACTCAGTTATAATCCCTGGCACGCCTCCTTAACTGCTGCAACCGTTTATCACGCCTTCATTGATGTGGATCCAGGAACGACAGATCGCCTCTCTCGCTCTCATCGGAGACACCTGGCTCCTGGCTAATCTCCTCTTCCTCGGCCGGCACCTGAGGCATTGCCAGAGAGGAGGGGCCTGGAGAGGGAGGCCTGGCCGACTCCTCTTCTTCATGTTCGGAGCCTTCTTCCTCTGATGAGATAGGCTCGGACGGCGGGGCCACAACAAAGTGCCTGTCCAGTCTCTTCTTAAAAACCTCCAGTGATGGAGAACCTACAACTTCTGGTGGCAAGCTGTTCCACTGGTTAATTATTCACTATCCCCTTTCCATTAGGAAATGAAGATAGGTCTTCCAACCAGTAGAATTCTTAGTGGTTCCAAAAAATGTCGTAAAAATATAAAAATTGTTTTTTTTTTTCCTGCTTGCTGATGGCCAGACACATAATGGGAAGAGTGATTTGCAAAGGCCACATTTTATTACACGGTGCCTCCATAATCCGTCTACCTCTTTCCTGCAAGCTTGCCTACTAATTATACTAATTACAACCTGCATTTCTTCTTTCAGCGTTCAGAAATTTATTGAAAATTTCTATGCTCGCATACCCCCACACATTCTGAGCTGGGAGATATTTTCAGTTTGACTGATGTGAATTCTCTGCCCTCCTGATGCGTGCGACTTTTGCGTCAGCTACTTGGGGTTTTTACGCTTTTGTTTTTAAATATGCTGTGATTCCAATTGCTTCCTTTTCTAATTATTGTGCATTGTCTGGCTTTTAATTGTGCTAGTGTTCTTTTAATTCTATAGGCTGCTTCCCAAGTCCCAAGGAAAGAAAAAGCAAGATAAACATAATAAATCCAATCCAAATGTTTGTCATGCTTTTTTGTTCTTTTTTCTTTCATTCTTTTTTTTTTAAAAAAAAACATTTCTTGGCTCTCTCTCTTTTTTTTTAATGCTTTCGGAGACTAATTGTCATACCAAGCAGGAAAATTTTGATGGGGATGAAGAGATTCTGAAGAAAAATTCCGTTTCATTGCTGCTTTGCTGGGACAATTTTCCTTAAAAAGTAGAGAAACGATTGGAAATAAAATGACCTCCAGAGCAACTTTTGATCTCTGCTTCAGTTGGGATGGTCTCCAGATCTCCATTCAACTATATAATTATATATTAAAAGGTAATAAAAGGTAATTAAAGGTTCCTCTCGCACATATGTGCTAGTCGTTCCCGACTCTAGGGGGCGGTGCTCATCTCCGTTTCAAAGCCGAAGAGCCAGCACTGTCCGAAGACGTCTCCGTGGTCATGTAGCCAGCATGACTCAACACCAAAGGCGCATGGAACGCTCTTACCTTCCCACCAATGGTGGTCCCTATTTTTCTACTTGCATTTTTTACCTGCTTTCGAACTGCTAGGTTGGTAGAAGCTGGGATAAGTCATGGGAGCTCACCCCATTATGCGGCACTAGGGATTCAAACCATTGAATTGCCGATCTTTCAATCGACAAACTCAGCGTCTTAGCCACTGAGCCACCACATCCCTCATTATATATTACAAGGGAGAATGGAAGCAAGACAGTAAGACCATGGATGGAAACCAGCAGAAGGATGTTTACGGAGATTCTCAGTCATCCAGGTCACAATTGTCCCAAAGGTGCTTTTTCAAGAGGCAACTGGACTTTCTGGTTTTTCTTTGAAGACCTTTCGCTTCTCATCCAAGAAGCTTCTTCAGCTCTGACTGGGTGGTGGGGAATGGAAGGATTTATACTTTTTGCAGACAAAAGCTGGTCGTTTGCATCCTTTTAGAGAGTCATTGAGACCACTTGGAGATTTATCTGCAGCAGTTCCCAGAAGGTTCCACGTCCATTTGTGCTATATAGGTGACCGTGAGGACACATTGTGGTCCGCCAGCAGCCTGCGGACCTGGCAGTGGAGTCAGACAGTGAGGAGGCTGGGGAGGACCATGGGCCAGTCCTGGAGTCTGGGGAAGGCCCGGACGAGGGCTCTGTGTCGGAGGCAGAGATGGGGTCAGGACTATCTGGGAGGGATGCATGGACTCTGGAGCCTCCAGAGGCAGACTGCAGAGAGGCAGAGGAACAGGAGGAGCCTGTTCCTAGTGCACGCATGTGCAGAGCTGCCAGAAGGCAAGAGCAGCTAAAGCAAAAAGGACAACTTGGGAGTAAGGCCAGGAGATGATTGGCCTTTCCCAGAAGGCTTAAAAGAGCAGCAACAGCTCTTGGGATCTTTGTAGGAAAGCAATGTTGCTACATTTGTTTCTTGTTGGTGTCTCTTGCTTCTGAACTTCCTTTGGGTTTTGCCAAGAAAAGCCTTTGGCAGGGTGCCAAAGAAGACAAAGGTTGGTGATAAGGCCGAAGGACTGTTTCTGAAGAACTTGTTTTGGAATTGATTTGGACTAAGATGAGAATGAATCATTTTATCAGCTGTTCTAATAAAATATGTTTGTTTAGGACTGGTTGTGTCTGGTAATAACTACTTGGGCCTAGGTCACAACAGGACACAGATAAGTGATGGGGTCCATTGGTGGGGGCCATGCATATATTTTTTTCAAGGCCAGCACTGTAAATTGCGCATCTAAGCACGTGGCTTCACCAGTGTGCCAGAGCTGTAAGCTAGAACTAAAACTGTTAAGCTGCAAAATAATTGCTCGTCTATGGGTGTGCATGGATAATAAAATCAAATAAAATCAAATAAAATCAAAGGCTTGGCAAAGACTGAAAAAAAAACCCTCAAAAGCTCGGATATGCTTTTCATGGTATCGCAACACTAGATGAGTTTCAAAATTATAATCCCAGCTCTGTGTTTAAGCTTCAGCTGATGCACTTAGTTACATACAAGTTGTCGCAAATAATGTGACAATTCTGGCTTAAGCTGAAATCCATTAAAAATGTCATCCTCTGCTCTTCAGCTTAGGCACCGGGCTTAAATAAATGCAAATGCATTTGATGAACAAGAAGCTGGTGACAATCCCTCCGTGAGTGGATCAACCTATTAGATACCTTTCTCATCAATATTATTTGGGCAACTCGAAGCTACCCATTTGCATAAGAAACTTACGGTTAGCTTAAGGAAGAGCAACGAAGTCCCCTGAAAATCTGCGAAACACTAATAGGAGTATTAGCAACCAGGTGGTGCTGTTAGATATTTGCATTAAACAAGTTTAATCTTCAGAGATCATTAACTAGGAACTTCGGGGAACTGTAGGGGAACTTCAGGGAGAAAAAGAGAAAACCAGGCGGTAATATCTTTAGATTTATCCTTTCAAAATGCTACACCGCCTGCCCAGGTTACACATCGTGAATCCTTGATAAGTCAGATCTGAGGAAGTAGACTTTGCCTGAAGTCTAGCGTGAATTGTCCTTCTCAATCTAACTGCTTTTGGTGCAGAAGTCCCAAAATGTTCCTCAGAAAAAGAGGAAGGAAGAAGCCAGCTAAAGAGGCCTGGAGATTTCATTGGAAAAATTGCAGGTAGTCCTCGCGTCAGGGTTAAATCATGAGCCTCCAGCCAAGCTTCAAAAGAAATCCAGTTATTTATTAGGAGCTAAGCCAACTCTGACCCCACATAATTTATGGCCCGAAACATGACCCTGTTTCTGACCTTCCCCCAGGGTGTGTCATCAATCACATTCGCCAATGGAGCAATTTCGCGGGTTGTAGAGATCACTCCCCTCTGGCCACTGTGGGTAACCCTGGGAGACAGCCTGGGAAAGATATGTCTGGAATGTGCTCCTGTCTTTGGCTGCCATACTGCTTCGTCGGTTTCCCATCTCCCTTGCCTATGGCAACTCGAGAGCAGGCCAGGAATGCTTTGCGAGTTGACATCTTGGCTTACAACCGTTCATTTTAGTGACTGTTTGAAGTTACAACGGCACTGAAAAAAGTGACTTATGGATGTTTTTCACATTTATGACCACTGTGGCATCCCCACGGTCAGATGATCAACTGGCAACTGACTTGTATTAATGACGGTTGCACTGTCCAAGGTCATATGATCACCTTTTGTGACCTTCTGACAAGCAAAGTCAAGGGGGAAGACAGGTTCACTTAACAACCATGTTACTAACTTAACGACTGCCGTGATTCATTTAACAACGGTGGTAAGAAAGATTGTAAAATGGGGCAAAACTCACTGAACAAATGTCTCACTTAGAAACAGAAATGTTGGCCTCAATTGTGGTCATAAGTTGAGGACTGTACAATCTGTACAATCTGATTTCTTCAAGGTTGACGTTTGGTAGGAAAACACAGATTTGACTCCCCAAATTGTAAAATTAACTCTGTAATTCAGTGAGAAAGGTTTGGAAAATGTTCGTCACAGATTTTGTTTCTGAAAACACATTATTATTATTATTATTATTATTATTATTATTATTATTATTATTATTATTATTATGCCACTAATGCAGAAGGAACTTCATCTAAACACCAGGAAAGTTAGCAGATTAGGTTATCCCAGATTTTAAACTCCTCATCTCGGTCTTTCTGCTCCAAAAAAGAAACACCATGGAATAGCTTTTAAACTTTGGGTCATTTGCTGAAAAGCAAAATTGCAGGATTTTTTAATATTTTTTTTCAAGTAATAGAAATATAACAGATATAACAATTTACTGGCCCGCATTAAGATTTTGTTTGGCTTTAGAAATATAGTCGGGGGAAAAAAAATAAGCCAATTTCAAAGAATGAAAAATAACTGAAATAGCCTTTGTCAATTCTACATTTAAGTCAATCTGAGCCTGGAGCCGGCGAAAAGAAATTGTCGGTAAAATATGAAAATCTGCCATCGAAGTCTCCAAATTGGTCAAAAAACCATAGTTTAAGAAATCAGCCTTCAAAAAGCACTTGAGTTCCAGTGGCTTCCTTGGAAAAACACTGGGATGGGAAACTTCTACAAGACCAGGGGAAGTACCGGTGAACTCAAACAAGGGAAAATCGATAAGAGGTAAATGGAAAGTGTTCAAGGAGAAATGAATGAATGCCCCAGGGCTATAGGAGCAAGACAGCAATAAATGCAAAAGGAGTTTTAAAGGCCATTAAGACATGAAGAATAGAAAGCTGGAATAAAACAGGAGTCAAAACATCGCTAAACACGTAAAGAACATCATAAGACTCCCAAAAATAATCTATATATAGGGGTATTTTCAGAGTTGAGTGGAGACAGGCAATCAGTGTGCCAACCTCTTTTAAATGGAAGGCTAATCGAGCTGCCCTCCAAGGGAAAATGATTCAGAGATTCAGAAATATTTATACAGGAATTGAGAATTCTCCAGTTTCTGTTGAGTCAGAGGGGTCAATCCAAGGGTGCTTTTCAAAAGGCAACTGGACTTCCTTTCTTTTCTTTTTTTCTTTTCTCCTTGAAATGTTTAGCTTCTCTAGAAAGAGTGCAGAGAAGAGCAAGAAAGATGATTAGGGGACTGGAGGCTAAAACATACAAAGAACGGTTGCAGGAACTGGGCATGGCTAGTCTAGTGAAGAGAAGGACCAGGGAAGACATGATAGCCGTCTTCCAATACTTGAGGGGCTGCCACAGAGAGGAGGAAGGGGGTCAAACTATTTTCCAAAGCACCTTTGAAGGCCAGACAAGGAACAATGGATGGAAACTGAACAAGGAGAGATTCAACCTAGAAGTAAGGAGAAATTATTTCTGACAGTGAGAACAATCAACCCATGGAACAGAAGTTGCCTTCGGAAGTTGTGGGAGCTTCATCACTGGAGGCTTTCAAGAAGAGACTGGACTGCCAGCTGTCAAAAATGGTGTAGGGTCTCCTGCTTGGGCGGGGGGTTGGACTAGATGACCTACAAGCAGGAGTGAAATGCTCCCGGTTTGGACCGGATCGCCTGATCTGGTAGCGATGGCGGCAGGCAGTTCGGAGAACCAGTAGCAAAAATTCCTGCTCCCCCCCCATGCCCAGCTGAGCTGCGCGATCATCAGAGGCTTTTTAAAAAAAATAATTTAAAAGCATTTTTTCTACAACCTCTTCGGCCGAAAAATGCTTTTAAAAGTAAAAAAAAAAAAAAAAAAGCCTCTGACGATCGCGCATCTCAGCTGGGATCATCAGAGGCTTTTAAAAGCATTTTTTTTTACAACCTCTTCGGCTGAATCAGGCGAATCAGGCGAACCTGACAAAAGGTCCTCCAGTTAATGGGGTATGTCAGCAGCCTTCCCAAAAAGCAAGCAAACAAACAAACAAAAAAACCTGGTGCCCCCCAAATGAGTTGGACTTGATTTCCCGTAATTCCTAAACAAACATTCGATGGTTATATTGCTATATGCGCACTGCCGGTTTATTATATGTTGCTTAAAGCAATAGTTTCCATACTCATTTTCCACAGTTGTTTGGGTCTGGCTTCCCTATATGTGCACCTGATTCTCGCCCCTCCCCCCCCTTTAGATGAGTCCTTTGGCACAATCTGTGGTTCATAATTAGCATCCAGAGGTGCGCTACAAGCCGCCTTCAAACAAAAGCAGGATCCGCTGGCGCACCACAGCTTTCTGAGCCAAATAAATGGCAACGGTTTAATGTGTCTATTAAATGTTAGGTCACTCTAAGTCATTGCTGATGGCACCCCGAGGAGGCCCTCTCTGTGGAGCGCACGGGTCGATGGAGGTCGTCGGTGCTGCAGCAGGCGGTCTCGAAGATAACTAGGTCCTATGCCATGGAGCGCTTTAAAGGTGATAACCAACACCTTGAAGCGCACCCGGAAGACCACTGGGAGCCAGTGCAGCTCGCGCAGGAGCGGTGTTATGTGGGAGCGCCATGCAGCTCCCGTAATTACCCGCGTGGCCGCATTCTGGACCAGTTGGAGCCTCCGGGTGCTCTTCAAGGGAGCCCCATGTAGAGAGCATTGCAGTAGTCCAGGCGAGAGGTGATGAGGGCATGAGTGATTGTGCACATGGAATCCCGATCAAGAAAGGGCGCAACTGGCGAATCAGGCGAACCTGACAAAAGGTCCCCCAGTTAATGGGGTATGTCAGCAGCCTTCCCAAAAAGCAAACAAACAAAAAAACCTGGTGCCCCCCAAATGGGTTGGACTTGATTTCCCGTAATTCCTAAACAAACATTCGATGGTTATATTGCTATATACGCACTGCCGGTTTATTATATGTTGCTTAAAGCAATAGTTCCCTACTCATTTTCCGCAGTTGTTTGGGTCTGGCTTCCCTATATGTGCACCTGATTCTCGTGCCCCCCCCCCACTTTAGATGAGTCCTTTGGCACAATCTGGGGTTTATAATTAGCATCCAGAGGTGTGCTACAAGCCGCCTTCAAACAAAAGCAGGATCCGCTGGCGCACCACGGCTTTCTGAGCCAAATAAATGGCAACGGTTTAATGTGTCTATTAAATGTTAGGTCACTCTAAGTCATTCCTTCCCTCAAAGCAAACAAGCAGGAGCAAGGACAGGTTTTGCGCTCTGAATACTAATGCCGGCTTTATACTCATCGTCACCTTCCAAAGCTCTTCAGGCATAGCAGGACCAGGTTTGAGCCAGGAGATGAGCGTTAATGATGGAGGAGGAGGAGGAATGGTGGTGGTGGTGGTGGAGGAAGAGGAGGAGGAGGAGGGAGGAAGAGGGTGGAAGAGAAGAAGGAGAAGGAGAAAGAGGAGGAGGAGGAGGAGGAGGAGGAGGGAGGAAGAGGGTGGAAGAGAAGAAGGAGAAGGAGAAAGAGAAGAAGGAGGAGGAGAAGGAGAAATAATGGTGGTAGTGGAGGAGGAGGAGGAATGGTGTTGGTGGAAGAGGAGGAGGAGAATGACAAGGAAGAAGAGAAGGAGAAGGTCTGAGTAAGGAGACAAGCATTAATGGAACAGGAGGAGAAGGAGGAGGAAGGAGAAGGAGAAAGAGAAGAAGGAGGAGGAGGAGGAGAAGTTATGGTGGTGGAGGTGGAGGAGGAGGAGGAGGAATGGTGGTGGAAGAGGAAGAGGAGAACAAGAAGGAAGAAGAAGAGAAGGTCTGAGTAAGGAGACAAGCATTAATGGAAGAGGAGGAGAAGAAGGAAGAGAAGAAGGAGGAGGAGAGAGAGGAAGAGAAGGAAGAGGAGAAAGAGAAGGTCTGAGTAAGGAGACAAGCATTAATGGAAGAGGAGGAGGAAGAGGAAAATAAGAAGGAGGAGGAGGAGAAAGAGAAGGAGGAGGAAAAGGAGAAGTAATGGTGGTGGAGGAGGAGAAGGCATAAAGAGGGTATATGAAAAATGGAATGCAAAATCAGTGTCTACTAAGGGCCTCCAAATCATATTCCTTAAAACAAGGGTTTAAGTTTAACCCAAACACTTTTTCTTCCCTGGGACTTACCGCACTTGCACACTCACTGCTAAAATGCTCAATCATGCTTTGACACCAACTATTGATGCATCTTTAATGTCTAGAAAGGCTTTACAATCTTTCTCATGTCACCACTTCAATACTTGGAAGTAAGAACTGTTAAGACTGCAAACTTGGGTTTCCTGAATGGGTCAACCGCGTCCTTCAAATGAAGAACTGGAAGACGCTTGCGGATAAACGGATGCTCACGATGTGAGGATCGCCAGCCAGAACCAACCAAAAGGAACACGAACGAGAAATTATTTTGTTCCCCAAAAGCAACCTTTTGTGCAAACAGTGTACGATATTGGGAATGGTGGCTTTGTGGAGTGGAACCGGGATTTTTGCGCTAACCAGCAATATGAAAAAGTGTCCCTTTTGGTTTCTTTGACCTTGAGCCCATCTTGAGAAGGTCGTTTCTGTTCGAACGCTCTCCTTTTCCTTCCCACTTTTACTTACCAAGAATGATCCCGTTCGGTTCCTCGGGGGGTTGCCACATAATTTGCACTGACGTCAGCCTCACTTCGGGAAATACCAACCGCACCGGGGGACCAGGGACTGCAAGAAATCCAAAACAATACCATCAATCAGGGGTCTCCAAACTTGGCAACTTTAAGACTTGTGGACTTCAACTCCCAGAATTCCTCAGCCGGCTTTGCTTAAAGTTGCCAAGGTTGGAGACCCCTGCCATAAATGATGGCGAGCTGCTGAATTGTTCAAAGATATCCAGCTCTTGGCTTTTGATATAAACATCCTGCTTTGCAGAAGGACGTTCTAGACTCAATTTCTAGCATTCACGGGCCTAGCCTGAAGCCCTTCAGCTAATGCATATCCAGAGCAGGGGCAGGTTTCAAAACCCGTTGCTACCAGTTTGCTTGTAGCCGCATGCACGGTTCTGCGTGGGTGGGCGGAGCCTCCCACCACTGCTGCTACTGGTTCGCCCGAACCAGGGTGAACTGATAGCAACCCACCACTGATCCAGAGTCTGTCACAAAGAAATATATTTACAGTGGGTTCTTTAACAAATGAAGGTTGACCTCTGGAGATCTCAACAGGCAAGATGCTTCATGGTTGGACCTCATTCTACAGACAGGAAAGGTCCTGGCACCATATATCACAGCCGTATTCTCAACTTCATGCCCTCTGGATGTTGGAGGCCACAACTCCCAACGAGGAGGCACATTGGCCGGGCAGATGGAAACCATGGGAGCTGTAGTCCAAAGGCATTTGCTGGGTGCCAATTAGGCGAAGGGGGATATATCGCGTCTTACGCAGACGCTGAATTATCTCGAGAGGGAGAGGTTAATTTCTACATCATTCCGTTTCATGAATATTCACCTGGCACATTGCTAGCTTCCCCACTGAATTATCTTCTAATTGCATGTACTCCATCGCGAGCGCCTTGATCCTCGTGAGCATCAAAGGGGCGGGTGGAAGAGTGGGGAAGCGGATGAAAAGGGACACAGATGACAAATTACCTACACCAAGGTCACCAGGGGGACTTCATGATAATTTGCAAACCTGGAGGCACCTTAAGCCCAAATCCCACCCCTACTCTTACCTAGGATGATTTTTAATTAAACCGATTGGGGAGGAATCAAGCAAGCTTATGTCAGGAGTTTGGGAACGGAAGAGCAAATAGAGCCATTTGTCACCCAGGGCTGCAGGAAGGATAAAGTGGTCAGGTTCTGATTTGTTAGCTAACTTAGATAGGCTAAGCCGGACTGTGTGTACACATTTAATTGTCCATCTCATTGGTATCTCATGCAACAGCATCCAAAGAGCAACTAATAGCAGGCTACTCCAATAATCCTGGAAAGTGCTGAGTCCCATCAAAAAAACCTCCTAGGACAAAGGGGCAGCAACTGTGGATTTAGGTGAGGGACTTGTCTTCATATGATGAAATTGGACCCTCATTTCGAAAAATAAGCAGATCCAGGACAAAGAACCTACTCAGGGCTATGATTTTCTGTGGAGCCTTGGGGCTCGCTGAGTTGGGTTGTTTTCTTACAAATGTTTTATGATCCAACTAGACAATGATCCAAACTAGGCTCCTAGGGGAGCCTATCCAGGCTCCCCTAGGAACCTGGATAGCTCAGCAGACTAATGCATTGTAATTTAACTAAAGCTGTCTGCAATTAGTAAGTTCGAATCTTGCCAGGCTCAAGGCTGACTCAGCCTTCCATCCTTTCTAAGGTAGGTAAAATGAGGATCTGGATTGTGGGGGCAATAAGCTGACTTTGTATAAAATATACAAAAGTATGAAGGCTATTGCTTAACGCATTGTAAGCCGCCCTGAGTCTCCGGAGAAGGGCGGCATATAAATCAAATTAAAAAAAAAAAATCACCAGTGCTAGAAGGAAAACTACCAAGCTCAGAGAAAACCAAGGACCCATAGTCCTTCTCCTCCTCCTCTCTGCAAACCCCTCTCCCTTACAGCACTGATGATGTTACCTAGTTGGGTCATGAAACATCTCCAAGAAAACCACCAAGTTTGGAGAACACCAGGAACTCATAGTCCTTCTCGTTCTCTCCTCCTCCTCTCTGCAAACCTCTCTCCCTTCTAGCACTGATGATGTTACCTAACTACGAAGCTCAGAGAACATCAAGGACTCATAGACCTTCTCCTTCTTTCCACCTCCTCCTCCTCCTCCCCGTCAACTCTGCAAACCCCTCTCCCTTCTAGCACTGATGGTGTTAGTTGGGTCAAGAAACATCTGCAAGAAAACCACGAAGCTCAGACCCCACAGTTCAACCCTAAGCTACAAATATTCTCTTCTATTAAGATAGTTTTCTGTTGAGTTCAATCAAGTTAATTCAACACAGTTAATGCAAAATTGCTTCCCGTGGATACGATATTTGTTTTTCTATCACATCTAAATTGACCCCCTCGGTGGCAACATTGGGAACTGCTACAGCCTGTACGCGACTCGGATTCCGGCCCACGTTTCTTCTCCCCTAATCTGGGAGGAAGGATAGAGATCTCCCGTTGTTTATTTTGCTTGCGTTTCAGTTCTATTATGGGATGTCAGTAGCCGTGAGCTGTTCTGGGGAAACTTCTTTGGGGAAAAAAAGCTGTAACGGGGAGAGAGAGAGCGAAAAGCAGCATGTGGTAGATGAAGGTTAGCTTCAAGTCTCCCCCGTTGTCAGAGGCAATGTTCTTCTCAAAGTCAGACTTCAGAGCTCTGACCCATCATTTGGGGCGCTTCTAAGGATTAGATGAACAAAGTACCGGGGAAAAGCATAATCCAAATGCATTTCTGGAAGTGTTTATTATCCTAAGCGTGCATTTTAATAGCTTTTTTTTTTTTTTTTTAAATAAGATGAGCTTTCTGAATTGCAAAGTTCAGAACCTCCAAGTTCCTTCAGAATCTGGGACTGTGAGATGCTGGTATGGATTGGTGGGCAGCTCAGACTGTTGAAGTCGCTCCACCTGTGCATGTCAGGCCTGGAAGCCATCTTTTTCATTGGGCCTTCAGGCCTGCCCACATTTAGTGCTGTGGGAAACTGGGAGGGGGGATTGTATGGAGCCAGGGTGATGTATAGTCATAATAACATTCCTTTCTCAGAGAGTCAAGGCCATCTTGCCCTGCACCTGGATGACTGGAACTGGGAGGCATCTCCAGTTGGGATGGTATTTGGATTGGACCAGGGGTGAAATCTAGCAGGTTCTGACAGGTTCTGGAGAACCGGTAGCGGAAATTTTGAGCAATTCAGACAACCGGTAGCGGAAATTTTGAGTAGTTCGGAAAACTGGCCAATGCCACCTCTGGCTGGCCCCAGGTTGGGGTGGGAATGGAGACTTTGCAATATCCTTCCCCTAGGAGTGGGGAGGGAATAGGGATTTTGCAATATCCTTCCCCTAGAAGTGGGGAGAGAATGGAGATTTTGCAGTATCCTTCCCCTAGGAGTGGGGAGGGAATGGAAATTTTGCAGTATCCTTCCCCTACCATGCCCACCAAGCCACGCCCACATAACTGGTAGTAAAAAAAAATTGGATTTCACCACTGGATTGGACCACATGATGGACATGTGAGTGCTGGGCAGGGACTTGGACTTTCCTTTGGGTGGGGAAAACCTGGAAGCTTTCAGATTCGGGTTTTCCCAGATGTGCCAATATGACATCTCTAATAAAATGGAGCTTTGAGGAAACTCAAGCCTGGGAGTTTTCTTTCGTTGGGGGTGTTCCTTGCAACCCTGACAGTGTTCTTCTTCCATTAAGTAGGACTTAACTAATACCTTTCCAAGAATCTAGGAAAGTTGGATAACTGTTTCCATTAAAAAAATTATGCCCGCATCTCTATCTCTCCAGCTAACGAATCTAGGTTCCTTCAACCAGGAACTGCAGTAAGCTCCACTTTTTTTTTCGAGACGTCAAATTCTAAAAACAAATTTTCATCCTCAGGAAAGGTATTTGCGACTAATACTAAACGTTTATATATTTTTTTATAATGGAAAGGTCACGTTGTTATTCTTCTGTCAAAGGCTGATAGGAAGGCCCGTTTGTGGTATATGAACCTGCATTACACTCTCGTTCAATCACGGCAAAGTCTGTTTATCACGTCCAGTTATACCAGAAGATTTTTGGTTCTTTTTTTTTTTATTGGTAGGGTTGCATTTCGATAAGAGTTCGTAATTGGACTGTAAAAGTTTCCTTTAGGGCTTGGAGCTGGCTGTAAAATGCCAGGCTTTCAAAAGTGAAGTGGCCTTTTTGTCCAATATTTTTAAAACAAGGTGACGATTTGGGGGAACAGACGCTTGACTGAAAGTTAAAGGAGCGTTAGCTGTTGATACGGGGAGAGAAAAAAAAAACAGCTTTTTAAGATTAAAACTGTAATCAACATAGAACATTGAATGCTCGGGTTGAAAGGGATTTTGGAGGTCTTCTAGTCCAACCCTCTTCTCAAGGCTGCAGCCTTACACCACCCCAGACAAATAGTTGTCCAGTCTATTTGCGCTATCCAGATGAGATGCTACCAACTCATTCTCCTTAGAGTGCACACAGTGAATGGAGACGGTTTGTGGAAGCTGGAAAGTCCCAGATGGGACCTAGGCTTCCTTAGAAAGTATAAAGCACAATCTTAGTCCTGCAAAACCTCTTTTATTTATACGACTGTAAATTATTTTCATTTACAGTCCGCAAGGCTTGATAAACAGTCTTTCAGAGGAAGGTTATCAACACCCACCTATCTCCCTTGGAATGCTGCCAAAGAGCTAATTGCCAGACGCAGGGAAAGGCCAAACTTGGCACAGAGTCACAAACAGAATTTTCAAATCTTGAATCGGCCAGATGAACTAATTGCTTCCTGCAAAAGATCATATCCCATTTGCTCTTCTTTTATGTCTTAAGGGAGAGGCCAATCATCTCCAAGCCTTACTCCCAAGTCGACCCTGTTTCCTTAACTGTTCCTGACTCCTGGCAGCTCTGCGCATGCGCACACTGGGAACAGGCTCCCGCTGTTCTTCTGCCTCACTGATGTCAGACTCCAGTGACTCCGGAGGCAGCAAAGAACTACCAGATGGCCTTGGACCACTCTCTGCCTCCGACGCAGAGCCCTCGTCCGAGCCTTCCCCAGACTCCAGGACTGGTCCACGTTCCTCCCCAACCTCCTCACTGTCCGAATCTACTGCCAGCTCTGCTGGCCACTGGCAGGCCACAACAGGCACACACTGACACACAAAGACACACTCACCATCGTCCTTCGTTCGCTCAGTGACTGGCGGATTGCTGGGAACCCCGTCTCCAATGCGGGTGAAGGCCAGGACCTGAATCTCATACACCACGTACTTCTGCAGGCCAGCGAGCAGGACCGAAAGGGTGTGGTTCCCTCGGACCACTTGGCTGCTTGGTTGACTTTGCACATCTCTGGCCTTGTACAAAATCTACAGAGGGAAACAAAAATGTTTGATCAAAGGGTCTGGAGAAGGAGCAAAACTCTTCCTCAGGAACTGACGTCCTTCCTAATAAGAGGAGCACAACTTCATGAGCTGTTCAGACTTAACCAAGGCTACAAAACCTTGAGTTTTTGTTCTAGTATGTACGAAGATGATAACAGAAGTTGAAATAGCTTTAGAGCAATGTTTCTTAACCTGGGCAACTTTAAGACGGGTGGACTTCAACTCCCAGAATTCTCCAGCCAGCCATGCTTGAAGTGGCTAAGATGGAGATAAGCTGCTTTAGACAAATGGTGGGGGGGAAAAATATTTGGGTGTAGGTGCCTACCTTATAACCCAGAATGAGCCCATTTTGCTCAGGTTCGGGCACGGCTGACCACGTCAAAAGCATCTGAGTGGAACTCACGGCTTCAGCGGACACATTTGCTGGGGAAGCTGAAGGAACTGCATGGGATCAAACGAAGAGCAATTAAAATCCAAACACACCATCTGGTCATTCCTTTGAGCTTCTAGGATCTGAGCTTTCATTGAAACACCAAAGAGAAATATAGATCTAGATCAGTGTTTCTCAACCTTGGAAGCTTGAAGATGGGTGGACTTCAACTCCCAGAATCCAGATTCTGGGAGTTGATGTCCACCCATCTTCAAGCTACCAAGGTTGAGAAACACTGATCTAGATGGTGACCAGGTTGAGCCTGAGGGAGGGGTCAAACATGTCATCAGTCACGAGTCTCTGCACACCCAGAAGACATCTAAGCCCAGCCCACCTTGAATGCCTCCCTTATCTCCTGCTCATTTCCCTTGACTGTTAGTTGGTCAGATTCTTGTAGAGAGCTGAAGCTTGCAATAAATATTTATACTCATTTGAACTGCCTGAATCTCCGGATTTCCCAGGCATTTGACATACAGGTAGTCCTTGAGTTACAACTGTAATGGAGTCTGGGTTGTATTTTATGACCTTTTGTTGTGGTGGTTGTTAAGCAAGCACCACAAATACTAGGCAAAGCCATGGTTTACTATGGGCATGGTTTGGCTGAAAATCGGAAGTGTCAACTTTTGACGAAACCGTTGTAAAATATGGTCATTGTGACTGTAGGAGGCTATGTGTAGCCATAAATATAAAAGTGGCAATGTTGTTGAGTGCTTGAAATGTGGTGTGTGGGGGTGTGCATGTCCACAAATATCCGAATTTTTGATCTAGGTCATAAGTCCCCTTTTTGGGGGGGCCAGTTATAACTTCCAGTTGTGTCTAAACCATAAATCCGTTCCACATATTAATGGCAGCTTTCACAAAAGAGATGGCCTTCATTCATTGGAAGTCCTGAAATGAGATTTAAACCAAGCCGCGCTAAATCTTGAGATGTTAAACTGAATTCAAAGCTACTGGGGTCAGCCCCTCTGAAGGAAACCAGGTTAACCATCTGATTATGAACATCCTCTTCCTCTCGGAACAGCCTCTTCCTCTTGCCATTCCTTGCCCGACCCTTTTCTTCTACTCTGCCTTGTAATGACATTTGAATATAATGGTTTTCCGCCGTAGTAGCAGTTGTTTGATTTGGCCTGTTAAATATTTTAATGAATTGTACTGTGGAATGGGGTTGTTTTCAATAGTAATATAAGCTGCCTTGGAGATCAATCTGTATTTGAGTGGCTTGCTATAAATCTTTTAGATGAACAAATAAATTAAACACAGGTCCCCAGATGGAGGAGACACTGTCTCATTATCCGAACCATTTCTCTCTACCTTGTACAGGACATTATGCATACATATCAACCCTTGCAAATATGCATGGCTTCCCACACCAGTCTGCAGCTCGCTCGCTCTTTTTTCTTACGTAACCATCTTTGACACTGTTCTTGTGGCCTAGTTGGAGAGGAATATCTGGAGTTACTTTTTCAGCAAGAGATGAAAGCAAGGTAAGAGACTGCTATCCCCTGTCGTCCAAGATTTGGTCTATTAATTCTGGCTGACCACGGAACTGGTGCAACGCTTTCCCTCCCTTAGGAAGTTATTTCAGAAATAACTACCCTAATGGTCCATTTTCTCTCAAGTTAGCCTCAGATGTAAGGAAGAACTGCAACTGCTGTGCTTTACACTTCAGCCAGTTTTAGGAGGTAGCATCGTTAGGTACCAACTATCCCACTCCAGAAATTCCACTGGCTCGTGGCACCTTGACGCGACCATGGGAGATTTACAGCTATAACGAGAAGCTGGTTGAGAAATTCAAAATGAGCTGGATGGCTCAGGTATGACACTACCTGAAAATGGCATGGTATGAAGATCTTTGATAAGTATCTTGCAACAAAAGTCCATCTCTTTTCTCACAGAGGTTCCACAATTGCTTATAGTATCATTTAAGATAAGATGCTTCTAAGTTACAAGACAGAGTGAACAAAGACAAAAGCGCCAGAAGCCAGATATACAATCAGAACAAAGTAGTCTCTAGGAAGGGCATCATTTTTTTTTTACTAGCTTGCCAGGATTAAAGTGAGGACCGCAAGGAACTTCCAGGGGTGGGAAACTCCCCAGTCCTAGACCAAGCCAAAAATGCTAGAGAATTCCTGGAAGCCTGGCACTCAGACAAATCAGCCATCAACAGGCAATAGAGATAAACAACATCTACCTACCATTTTAAAAGAGATAATTAACAAGCTAATAGGCCACAACGCCTCCTGACTAGCAATCAACACAGAAATAAGTAGAAATTAACACCAAGCAATAAGCCACATCCCAATCAAGGAGCTACCATCCCAGTAAACAACAGCCTAATCAAGGAACCACCGAGATTATTCCTACCATCCCTGACAGGGCAAGCTGCTGGTATATGATGATGTTCGTCCATCGTGTTCGAAGAGGACCTTGACATCTAACAGGTTGTGGGCTGTCCACGATGTGTCCGCAGGTGGCTGGTAAGGCCTATACGGGCACGGAATGTTCTGCCACATGTCAGGCAGACATGTGTGGGCACCATTGTTGAGGCATTTGGAGCTCTGGCTTTGAGGAGGGCTCGTGTCAGACCTGGAAACCATCTTTTTCGTAGGATCTTCAGGCCTGCCACATTTACTACTACTGTGGGAAACTGGGAGGGGGGATTGTATGGAGCAGTGGTGAAATCCAATTTTTTTTAGTACTAGTTCTGTGGGTGTGGCTTGGTGGGCGTGGCAGGGGAAGGATACTGCAAAATCCCCATTGCCACCCCACTCTGGGGCCAGCCAAAGGTGGTATTTGCCGGTTCTCCATAACTACTCAAAATTTCCGCTACCGGTTCTACGAACTGCTCAAAATTTCCGCTACCGGTTCTCCAGAACCTGTCAGAACCTGCGGGATTTCACTCCTAGTATGGAGCCAGGGTGATATATAGTCATAATAACATTCCTTTCTCAGAGAGTCAAGGACATCTTGCCCTGCACCTGGATGGCTGGAACTGGGAGGCATCTCCAGTTGGGACGTTGCTTGGATTGGACCATGTGATGGGCATATGGGTGCTGGATAGGGACTTGGACTTTCCGTTGGGTGGAGAAAACCTGGAAGCTTTCAGATTTGGGTTTTCCCAGATGTGCCAATATGACATCTCTAATAAAATGGAACTTTGAGGAAACTCAAGTCTGGGAGTTTTCTTTCGTTGGGGGGTGTTCCTTGGAATCCTGACAGCTCACTTCTCTTGTGATGTGGTTGTCCTTTGGTCCTCAGATGCCTGGCAGCCTTGGTGGATCAGCATACACTATGTCAATCAGTCTTGTGCCAGGGTTTCCCAGGAGGTGGTGTCGCTATCCAGGCGCTTGAAGGAGACTTTCAATGTGCTTTGTATGCCTTCCTTTGTCACCCGTGCACATATACAGAGAGAGCAAAGCCCTCTCCCTTCTGGAACTGATGATATTACCTAACTGGGTAATGAAATGCCTGCGATGAACTAACCAAGCTTAGAGAGTACCAAGGATCCCAGAGTTCAGCCCTGAGCTACAAATATTCTCTTCAATGGACATTGAAAAGGATCACGCTCCATCTGTAATCTCAGCTAAAGGGGGCTCTTGTAGCCATGGGACACAAAGCAGGATTGCTGTAGTAAGCTGACTGGTAGTTTCATATGGAAGACAACGCCTCGAAAGACCCTGAAGCTAATAAACAGCTTAAGTCCGCCTCAAACTGTTGCAAAAACCGCAAACGGAGACTCCGATTTCAGATCGATTTAGCTTCCAAAAAGAGCAAGAGGCAAGATTGGGATGTTGTGGTCCCTTAAGTGACCAGCTGAGATCTTTTCCACAAGAGAAGCGAGACCCAACCACTTCATTTTCTACAGAGGTGATTCAATGTCCTACAGCAATATTTGATGAAAGTCCGTCTCATCTAGCCTAATCCTTTTAGAAAGCCGGGAGCTATCCAATTAAAGTCCAGCCCTCAATATTTGCTATGGAAACATAGCCTAAGAATGTTGAATGTTTCAAATAAAAACTTTTTTGGGGTGGGGGGGGGAGAAAACAATGCATCCCTTTTCAGTGTGAAGGCTTTAATTTAAAGGTCATAATACAATTACTGTCATTAACCTCACCGTGACAGGCAGAAATCCTACGTCTCTCCTCTCATTTGCCTCTCCATTCTTATGCCTTTGAGCACTTTTTAGAGAGGTGTAACTCTGTTACACTCACAATTAGATTTTCAGGGTGCTCTAAGGGTCTCGGATGAGAATTTTATTTATTTGAGTGCTGCTTAGGCCTCTCCCCAGCACTCCCTTCTTTGTGTGTACACAGTGATGTTTAGAAGGCACAGTGTTGTGGTCTGCTGGCAGTCTGCGGAGCTGGCAGCAGAGTCGGACAGTGAGGAGGCTGGGGAGGAACATAGGCCAGTCCTGGAGTCTGAGGAAGGCTAGGACGAGGGCTCTGCATCAGTGGCAGAGAGGGGGCCAGGGCCATCTGGGAGTTATGTGCTGACTCCGGAGCCTCCAGAGTCTGACGTCAGCGAGGCAGAGGAACAGGGGGAGCCTGTTCCCAGTGCGCGCATGAGCAGAGCTGCCAGGAGGCAAGAACAGTTAAGACAAAAGGGGCGACACGGGAGTAAGGCTTGGAAATGATTGGCCCCTCCCATAAGACATCAAGGAGGAGCAAAGGCACGTGAGCCTTTGCAGGAAGCAACTTTGTTCGTGCTGGTCGGTTTAAATTTTGAAGCTCCGTTTTGACTCTGTGCTCCGTTTGGCCTTGCAAAGCTAATTGGCAATTAGGTCTTTGGCAGCGTTTCAAGGGAGATAAAGGTGGGAGCTTATCAGCCTTATCCCGAAGGACTGTGGCAGACTTCTGTCAGACTATTCACAAACTATTTGTAACTCATCCCGGGCTGGGAATGAACAGAATTCACAGCCATTGAAATAAAAAGAGGGTTTTTGGGACTAATTGTGTCCTTTTTACTGTCTCAGGAAGCCTAGGTCAGAACACACAGTTTCTGAAAAGGGTCCCCTGTGTCTGAGGAAAGGAGGAGATAAAGGTTTTCAAAGAAAGGATCTGGATGAAAGGTAGCTTCCCCTCAACGTTAAAGAACAACCTGTTCAAACCAGGAGAAGGTCTCTGGGCACCTTGAGGAGGAAAACTGGCTTTGTTTGTGTATGTGTGTGTGTAAGAAATCATGTTTCCAGTTTTTGTCAACACACAAAATACTATCGCGGTCTAGTTCTCGTGTTCACTGCTAAGTCTCTCTTAGTCATCCTGTCCTGTTCCTCCCTGCCTACAAATTGTCCTCATCCTGAAAGTCCCTGGCCTGACTGGCCCTGCCCTTCCCCATTTTCCTCCGAAGCCAACCAAGCTTCTCCCTCAATCTCTGTCGGCTCCAGTTCCAGCTTGTCTTCCCCCGCAGATTCAGGCTCCGACGGGGGGCATGACAGTCTTCTGGAAATGCAGAAGAGAGTGAAGGCATTGGGAGGGAAGTTAGGTGGGATAGTGGTAGTTTCCTCACCTGTAGAAGAAGGACAGGCAGTGCCTGGGGATGGAGTCAAGAGAGGAATCAGCCTAGAATCATTACGTTCCCACAAATGGCCCAACCCCTCTTGAATTCCGCTGACTCTTTTCTAGCTTCAAATTAGTGTTGACCATCACTTGACTAGATTCTTGCGTGTAGGGATGAACAATAAATCAGTTTAACTGGAGCTTAACGCGAGATCCTGATTCTTTGCATCTGACCCATCAAATACTTGGAGGAGAAACAATATTCCATACTTTAAGAGTCCCAGATTGCTTGTAGAAAGGCTCCAGACAGCGATTCTTCTTTCTCTGTCAATCAAACATGGAATAATAGCCAGTAGCTATCGAGGAGGATGTCATACTCAAGGGTAGAACAGGATGTGTGGAGTGAGAGGAGAAATCACTGACAGTTCGTGGCATGTCTCCTTCCTTCTTCATCAATACCATGCACAACATTTCAGATCTGTCAAAACCTCACCATCTGTCACTTTTAACTCCGTACCTGAGTCACACAAGGGTACTCACAAGAAATGCACGCGTGCACATGTGCATACACACTCGGGAATCCCAGCCACTCTCCGCAACAGTTTCTGCATCACCAATTAGCCGGAGTATCAGAAGAAAATTCTAGTCCCCTCTCTCCGTCCCTCTCTCTTCGCTCCTCAGGTTGAAAATTTTTTTCCTTTTCCTTTTTAGATTCCTCTTCGCCTAGATTTATCTCTCGCAAGAATATAATTATGTTAAAGGACTATAGATTGCCAAGAGACGCGACTGTGTTTGGCAGGCTGCCTCGGATTTATCTACAGATCTTCACAAAGAGAAACTCCGTTATGAATGGCTTCTCGGGGGCGGGGGGAGGGGTGCACGAAATGAAAAAGCAGCAACACCGCGCCAGATTTTCGGTGTGAAGGAAGCAACTTGTCATCTGACCGCTGTTGTTGTTTTTTTTTTTTTCCGTCTGTTCAATTGATTCTGACTCTTTGAGACCCAATGAATGCAATTTTGCCAGGATCGTCTGTCAGTAGCTGCTTCTTGGAGTTCTTGTACGCTCACCGTTGTGGCCGGCAGATTTTCTCCCAAGGAAGGTTGACCTTTTCATAGAAAGTTTCTTAGAGATGGAATCGTTTCATGGCTAGGCACAAGAACAGTTTTTTTTCCCAAACGCCATCACTCTGCTAAATAAATAATTCCCTCAACACTGTCAAACTATTTATTATTTACTATTTACTACTATTTACATGGAGATTTTGCAGTATCCTTCCCCTGCCGCGCCTGCCAAGCCAAGCCAAGCCAAGCCAAGCCAAGCCAAGCCAAGCCAAGCCAAGCCAAGCCACACCACACCCACCAAACCACACTACGCCCACCAAGCCACGCCCACAGAACTGGTAGTAAAAAAAATTGAATTTCACCACTGCCTTAGATGCACAACGCATCAAGGGGGGAAATCCTCCTTACCTGACACCGTCTCAACCACCTTTGTTCAAGAGTGAAGCACTCATCTTGGTTCTCTTTCGGTTTAATTGATCCCTCCCTCCATCATCGTTAATGAAAATATGCAAATTTGAAGATGCCGGGCATTTTATTGCGAGAAGAAAAAGGAGGAGCAAAGGGCAAGTCCCGTTTTCCGTGATAAATGAGGCTCAACCTTAGTCATGCAGCAACGGGAAGGCCTTGTATGATTACGGAGACAAATTGCAAATACAACCCCTACTCATTGGGCAGGTTAAGCCACGGCGTGATTTACTCTCACTATTGAATACTTAATTCCAGAAAGGTCACTGCACTCAATTATTCACCCACAGGAGAAAGGTAAATTACATGGGGTGCATATGGGACGGGGGTCGAGGAAGGAACCTTGTTAGAAGTTATCTAGAAAACAGCTTAATAACTACCTTCTGCCAAAGTTCACGAGCTAACCTGGCTACTTTGCCTGGCTGCTCTGGTGGTCTTGTGGCCGTAGACCCTGGAGAACCTGCTTGGCTGAGAACCTCTCTTGCTAAAATTGGGCCACTCGGCAAAGCTGGACTGCATGTATCTGTGATGGAATGTAGTATGGAAGTGGCTCCCCAGGAGGGAAGGGGTCAGAGGTGGGTTTCAGCAGGTTCTGACCAGTTCTGGAGAACCGGTAGCGGAAATTTTGAGTAGTTTGAAGAACTGGTAAATACCACCTCTGACTGGCCCCGCCCCCGTCTATTCTCTGCCTCCCGAGTCCCAGCTGATGGGGAGGAAATGGGGATTTTGCAATATCCTTCCCCTGAAGTGGGGAGGGAATGGAGATTTTACAGTATCCTTCTCCTGGAGTGGGGTGGGAATGGAGATTTTACAGTATCGTTCCCCTGGAGTGGGGTGGGAATGGAGATTTTACAGTATCCTTCCCCTGGAGTGGGGTGGGAATGGAAATTTTACAGTATCGTTCCCCTGGAGTGGGGTGGGAATGGAGATTTTACAGTATCCTTCCCCTGCCACATCCACCATGCCACGCCCACTAGGCCATGCCACGCCCACCAAGCCATGCCCACAGAACCAGTAGTAAAAAAAAATGAATCCCACCACTGGAAAGGGTGGATTCCAGAAGAGTAAGAGGCAACTCAGCACAGAAATCACGTGTGAGAGAAAGAGGCTGAAGACAGTCCCTCCTTAATAGTTCCCAGAGTCTATGATAGATGCATAAAGTGGAGTCTTCAGTCTGGCAAGATTCTGTCTATAGGTATGAAACAATAAAGAACTCAGCTTGGAAGGACAACCAGATGTCATTCTTGGTTTCGGACCTGACAGAATCGGACTGATGTAAAAAACAAAACAAAAATGCCTTCCGGGTGCGAATCTACTCTATCCCAATCCCAAACCAGAGGAAATGCTTGGAAAAAAAAACATTTAAGAGCAACAAGTGATGTTCCTTTCCCATCACTTACCTGATTCTCGTGTACGGCCTCGCACTATCTCACTCCAAGGTCCCGACCCAATGGCGTTGAAGGCTTGGATCTGCAATTCATACTCGGTCCACTCTTGAAGATCCTCAACGGTGACTTCCGTCTCCAGTCGGTCGCTGATGACCTTGGCCAATGCAGGGCACTGCGTGTCCACACACCAGTACTTGATCCTGTAACCCACGGACTCGGGGTTCCCATTGTATTGTGCATCAGGCAGAGGCTGAGCGTGGTCAGAAGAAGAAAAAAGGATCAGTGAGGGTCAGGTCACTTAATTCTCTGCCTGTTGCGTGTTTTTTTGAAGGACCATCTCTCTCCTCTTCCATCCACCTAGGCCACCAGGATGGGAAGGCAAGATACATTGTGAGTCCCCTTGATTAGGGATTTACATCTGGTGGGAATCACAGAAAAGGACCTTCTCGGTGGTGGAACATCAATCACTGGGAGGTATAGTCTCCCAGTTGCTTTTTCAAAAGGCCCTCAAGACACGGTTTTGTCGGTGAGCCTGAGGATCACAAATGGAGACGGAACTGAACAAGTAATTGATTTTATTGTGTTGTTGCTGCCATGGGGGAAGGCGGTTATGGGTTGTCCTTATTTTTAACGTTGTAAGACACCCAGAGTTGCCTGTGAGTGAGTTGGGAAGCCACATAACTTTGTTTAATAAATAAATTACACATGACCTTAGCATGTAGGAGGCTTCTAGAACTACAGATAGATGTTTGAACTGAGGGGTCTTTGGCGCTCTCTGGGTTTGGTTGATTTTTCTGAAGATGTTTCATTACCCAACTAGCGAACATCATCAGGCAGGGTGATGAGCCGAGGTAGCGCAGTGGTTAGAGTGCAGTACTGCAGCTACTTCAGCTGACTGCTAGTTCAGCAGATCAGCGGATCAAATCTCACCGGCTCAAGGTTGACTCAGCCTTCCATCCTTCCGAGGTGGGTAAAACAAGGACCCAGATTGTTGGGGGCAATATGCTATTTAGTATACTGTCTTTGGTGTAAGAGTCCTTGGAGAGTGGGTGGCATAGAAATACGAATAATAAAATAAATAAATAAATAATGAAATGTCTGCAAGAAAACAATCAAGTTCCAGAGAGCGTCAAGGAACCCTCAGTTCAGACATCTATCTGTAGTTCTAGAATCCTTGTGTAGAATCCTTGTAGCTCAGAGTTGAAATGAAAGGCCCTTGGTGCTCTCTGAGCTTGGTTGTTTTCTTGCAAACGTTTCGTTACCCAACTAGGCAACATCATCAGTTCGCCTCTCATTTCAACCCCGAGCTACAAGGATTCTCCTTTATTGGATGCTTGAACTTTCAGAGCCGATAGGCGTCTGCGAACTAGTAAGACGGAGCCAGACATGTGGCTCACGCTACTAATAACGCTAATTATACAGTCAGGTGATCCACACTTGTCATTTTTGCCCGCCTTTCTGGCTCCCTGTCAATTAATCCATTTCCCACATTTAGCGCAGCATCCCGCATCTCTTTGACTGGGATCCAAAATGCTGGTTTTGGCACGTACGCCGGCATCTGGGGTATGTCTGCTGGGATCTCCAGCGACTTTTATCAGTAGATGACGAACAAGAGGAGAAATTCATTCTCGTGGTTAATGGGGTGCCTTAATGACCTGGAGAATGCACAGGGAGTTTGGGGGGTAGGTGGGGGGGAAGAAGGCTTCCTTCTCTGAGAGATGAGAATGGAGAATTTGCTTGGAGAAATTGGGGAGCGTTTTTTTTTTTTTTTTGCATTCGGCAGCAGAACAGGAAGGCGTCTCGAAGTGGCCAAGCAGCAGAAATTGGAATATTTGAATGAATTTTCATCAAACAAGGGTGGATCAGCAGTCAAAGGCACAAGATAAATTCATTTATCAAAGGCCGTGCCATTTATCACCCGGTTCCCCGAGTTAATCACTCAGCTCTGTAATCTATCACGGAGATATAACCTCCACATTCACTCCTGTTTCTACGTGAAAACCATTTTCTTTACCGTTTAAAACTTTGAGGAAATTCAGCTGAAAGCGGCTCCGGAGGCCAAGAATTCAATTTTCATTTGATTTGGAATCTTATTGCCTTAGTAAACAAAGAGGCAACATATGATTGAGTCCCATTATGTTGCCTTGGAAATGTCTTGCTATGATTTTGTTGGCCTGTTAGTATATGAGCCCTACCTAGGGAGAAGGTCAGGCTCTGATTTATGCCTGCCCAGATGCAGATAAGGAAGAGCAAAGAAATTGCAGATAAGAAAAAAGAATAGAGGGGAGACAGGCAGGAACTGAGTTACCGGTATGATCGAACAGAGTTTTTTGGGGGTAGTAGAGGAGGAAATAACAAAAGAACAAATTAATGGATTTGGGCATCACCCATCCCTATCATTTCTAGAAGTATAATGGGAAGAAGAGCAAGCAGAGCTGGGGTGGCGGAGTTAAGTGTGTCACTTGCTTAGAATCATTACATTGCCACAAAAGAATCCAATACCTCTTGAATTTTGTCGATCCTTATCTGGTACCAATTTAGCATTGAACTTGGACTAGATTCTTGTACGTAGGCTTGAACGTTAAAGCTTTGAACTGCAACTTTATTGCAGTTATTTTAATATTTGTATTGTGGGTTTTTAATTTTGGCTGTTCACCGCCCGAGTCCTTCGGGAGAGGGGGCGGTATAAAAATTTAATAAATAAATAAATAAACTTAGCATATGGTCCTGAACTTTTTGTGCCTGACCGTTTGTCTCCCATTATTCTCAAACATCTCAGGGGTTCTCGGGGCTGAAATTCCACCCATCTGGAGGTCAATTCAAGGAGAAGAGTCCTGAAAGAGAAACAGTTAGGAAGCCATGCTTTCTTCTACACAGGTCAAGTTATAGGTAACTTACCACCCAGCGAACCCATAAGCTCGTCTCACTGGCGGTACGCACAGTCACGCTCCCTGGTGCCACATCTGGGGGTGCTTGGAGGGTCTGAATGACCCGGGATGGCTGGCTGAATGGGCTTTGGCCAACAATGTTTTCCTGCTTCATCCTGAACCTGTTGGGCAGAGAGAGGCACAGGATTGAAAAGATAGAAGTTCAGGTCTACTTGAAAACAGACCAATCTTTGCCCATCCATTTCACTTTAAGAGCTTTAAGAGTCTGTTGAGCTATCCAGGAGCCTGGATAGCTCAACAAACTAAGCACTGTAACTTAACACCAGCTGTCTGCAATTAAAGTAAGACCGAATCTCGCCAGGCTCAAGGTTGACTCAGCCTTCCATCCTTTCTAAGGTAGGTAAATTGAGGACCCAGTTTGTGGGGGGCAATAAGCTGACTTTGTATTAAAAAAATATGCAAAAAGTATGAAGGCTATTGCTTAATGCACTGTAAGCCACCCTGAGTCTCCCAAGAAGGGCGGAATATAAATCAAATTAAAAAAAAAAGTGTTTTAATTTATTTATGTAATTAAGCCGTATAGACCCATCATTCAAAAGTTAAACAAAATCCGCTTTATTCAATTTAAAAACAAGAAAGGAAAATGCCTATTTATGTCCGTGCAAGATATACCTAGAGAAACAGGTCAAATGATAAATATATATATATATATATCAAAGGTGCTCCATTATTAAAATGTGCACTAGCTGAATTAGTACTAGTAAATCAACCCTTGTTGGTTGATTTATGAGATCCAAATAGAGTAGGGATGCTCCATACTTGAGGGGGGCAGGGGGGGCTGCTGGGGGTTCGCAGGGGTTCGGGAGAACCTCTAGCTAAGATTCTGTGCAGTTCGGACAACTCCCAAATCCCACTCCTGGCTGGCCCCGCCCCTCCCAGGAGTCCCCACACTGCATCCCCGTTTTGGATGGAGGTAAGTGCAGGGTGCGTGTGGAGGCTCAGGGTGAGTGAAAAATGGGCCTACCGGAAGTTTGGAAAGGCCGGAAACAGGCCCGTTTCCGGCCTCCACAGGGCCTCCGGAGTATGAGGAGGCCGTTTTCACCCTCCTGGAGGCTCGAGAAAAGCCTCCGGAGCCCAGGGAGGGCAAAAATGCCCCCCCCTCACCATGGTGCAGGAGGCCAACTTGGTCATGCCTACTATGGCCACCCCCACCCAGCACCCGGGCAGAGAACCCCTTGCTAAAATCTTTGAAGCCCACCCCTGGAGTTGGGGGAGGAACAGAGGGAGACAGTTTCAAAGAACAAGAGTCACAGCTGGAAAAGTGGAAACGTGCTCCATTTTCTAGAAGTTTGGAAGAGTTAGCAGTAAAAGGAAACCAGGCTGCCATCAAAGAGCCTTGGTAGTACAGGGGTTTAAGGCACCCTGTTATTAAGCTGGTTATTAAGACCAGCTGCCTGCAATTACTGCAGGGTTCGAATCTCGCCAAGGCTCAAGATTGACTCAGCCTTCCATCCTTTCTAAGGTAGGTAAATTGAGGACCCAGTTTGTGGAGGCAATAAGCTGACTTTGTATAAATATACAAAAGGATGAAGGCTATTGCTGAGCACATTGTAAGCCGCCCTGAGTCTTCAGAGAAGGGCGGCATATAAATCAAATTAAAATAAAAAATAAAATAAAAAAAGCTGACAGCAGCCTTTTGAGAAACACTCCAAAAAGCAGTGCAAGATTAAAAGAGGTGTAAACCTGGCCCATAGAATCACCACTCTTATTGAATGGATCTCCTCCTCCTCCTCCTCCTCCTCCTCCTCCTCCTCCTCCTCCTCCTCCTCTCCACAATCCCCATTTCATTCTATAGTTTTTACTACTATGAACCATGGTGGATCTGATTAATAGGGGTCGTGTGCAGATCTAAAGATTAATTCAATAAATATGCTTCTGTCCCAGAATGTACTGAATGTATGTTGCAGGGATGTCACATTCGGAGATCACAAGGAAGTAGCCTGATTTATATAAATACACACACATACACAAAAAGGTCAGCCCATGCATTCATGCTCCCCTTTTGCTGAAGTTGTTTGTCTTCTGACAGTAACAGTTTGGGAAGATGGACCTTCCAATTCCAAAAAAAGGCATTAGCTGCAAAAAGTATTAGACTCCAGTGATCAGAAGCGGAGCCATTATAATGGAAAGAGAAAGCTTTGGCTTCAAGTCGTATTGTGTTAAGGTATTATCTTCTCAACCTGTCCTGGATTTTTTTTCTCCCAACTGAAATGTTAGGAGTGAAAGAAAAGTGCACTCTACATACATCTCCTTCGCCCTTGTTAAGAGGGTGCATTAACAGAACGGGCATTAAGTGAAAAAAAACATCATTCATTTCCCAAACGTCAACCACAGAACCAGAGAAGAAGAAGGACGTTTGACAAAGACGAGGTCCAAGTTCAAAAGTTCTCGCTTTCTCCTCTTCCTCCGTTGAGGAAGGTGGGACGTCACACATCGAGTCCCACCACGATAAATGGGACCCACAAGCCCAGGCTTCACCTGGATGGGGTATTTCTTTTCCAACTGTTGTGCCGGAGGCTCATGCAACGAGTCTAGGAGACTCAACGAAAACATGACAAATGAAATTCAGTTGGGAGAGCCATCTACAATCGCCTAGCAGATGGACGCGGAGCAGGTACGTCCAAGCTAGTTCTGCCAACAGCCTCCAATGACTTTCTCCATCAAGCAATGCATCTAGGATGTTGCCAGCTTTTTTCTTTTTCTTTTTCTTTTTTTTTTTTTTTACAAAACTAGCTCCACTCTTGTGCCACAAACTCAGACACAGATACAGAGCAGGTGGCACATTCATCAACATAGCGATCTGTGGAAACTTTTGAATGCTGCCTTTTCCTGGGGGGCCTCAACCTGCCAACGAACCTGGGGGGAAATATTGGTCAACGCTGAAAGGCTGAGACTGCAGACAGAAATCTCCAGATTTCTTAAATGCAAGGATATTAAGAGCCTGGGTGGCGCAGCAGACTAAAGCGCTGTTAAGTAGCACCAGCTGCCTGCAATGACTGCGAGTTCAATTCTCACCAGGCTCAAGGTTGACTCAGCCTTCCATCCTTTCGAGGTAGGTAAAATGAGGACCCGGATTGTGGGGGAAATAAACTGACTTTGTATAAAAAAGAACACCGCTTGGGGTGGGGGTGGGCGAAAGCCCTACTAAGCAGGTATATACAAAAGTATGAAGGCTATTGCTTAACGCATTGTAAGCCGCCCTGAGTCTCCGGAGAAGGGCGGCATACAAATCGAACCAATAAATAAATAAATACAATAAATAAAGAGGAGGGTTTTCCAACTTTTTTTCCATTCGTTTTTCCTTTCCCCCTTTTTTTAATCGAGCCCCTTAGGTGCTGCAATCTTGCCGCTGTAATCTCAATTTTTTAAACGGATGGGTAGTTTAACGAAAGAGTGTAGAAAGGCTCCAAAGCCAGGAGAATGCTTCCGTACGATCGTATCTAAAATAATTATGTACAGTCGGCACTGAATGCAGCTAACATGCTTTTCCGTCACACGGCCAGGCCAAACTACACCGAGAATCTGGAACGGGGAAAAAAAATTATTCCAATTTACGGTCTTTTTATTGTGCCTGTTTTCCTCTCGCTATCTCTCTCTTCGTCCCTTTGACTTCAGTGGGACGATTTACATTACAACAGGAGCATAAATAGCACACCAAAAAAAATCTAGTCTTTACGATTTTTTTGTAATGTAATGTAAGATTTACATTACAAGCGGGGAATAAATAGCGAAATCGACGGCTCCAGCTTCTGATCTGAATCTCGTCCCCTTTGATCGCGACGCTGTTGCAAAGCATGATTTTCTGTTTCATATTCAAACACGCATAGATTAAAACGGCAACATTGTTTTTATTCCTAATTCTTCGAATTCGTTTAAAAACGTCTTTGTCAAAAAGATGCTAGACGATACCGGGGAATGAATCTGAACATGGGGAGAAATTTTCATTGCACCTGCCAGCATTTTGCTGAGAAATTTTTTTTAAAGGCCTTTAATTTTATGTCAGGGCTTAATTTGGGGGGGGGATCGGAAGCAATAAAAGAACTCAGGAGCCTGAGTGGCGCAGCAGACTAATGTTACTGTTAAAGGTAGTATTTAGCTTCCAGCTGCCTGCAATTACTGTGAGTTCAATTCTCACCAGGCTCAAGGTTGACTCAGCCTTCCATCCTTTCTAAGGTAGGTAAAATGAGGGCAATAAGCTGACTTTGTATAAAATATACAAAAGGATGAAGGCTATTGCTTAACGAATTGTAAGCCGCCCTGAGTCTCCGGAGAAGGGCGGCATATAAATAAATAAATAATAATAAAAAATAACTCTATGGCAGTTAAGAAAGTAATTTGCGTAAAAATGGGAAGAGAGACTTACATGGTACCTCAATTTTTGATATAGCACCTACGGTAAATGATTTTTTTTTAAAGTTTTTCTTTCATTAACGTCTTCTTATATAAAAAGTATGCCAGTGTGCCATTCAAGTACCATGGCATAAAAGCAGTCATATTTTGGGTTGCTGCGTTTCAGATCTGCCTGGGCTCCTTTTCCAAAATTCCCCAGTGAATAAGAAGACATTGCAAATTCTCTATAGATCAAGCATTTGTTCTTCACAATAAGCTCCAGTCTCAAGATCTTTGTCAGAAATCCCGGGAAATAGATAGGGCAGGGTAGAATGGCAATACCTTCTGAACGCTCGCTTGATAACCTAAACTTCTCAGGATTTTCTGATCATTTTTAACACCGTTATTTGAGACTTGACTTGGTATAATGAGACTGAATGAGAATGAAGAGAGCCAGTTTGGTATTATGGTTAAGGTGTTGGCCTACTAACCAGGAAACGGTGAGTTCTAGTCCCGCCTTAGACATGAAAGACAGCTGGGTGACTTTTGGGCCAGTCACCAGGAGACGGTGAGTTCTAGTCCTGCCTTAGACATGAAAGACGGGTGACTTTTGGGCCAATCACCATGAGACGGTGAGTTCTAGTCCCGCCTTAGACATGAAAGACAGCTGGGTGACTTTTGGGCCAGTCACTAGGAGATGGTGAGTTCTAGTCCCGCCTTAGACATGAAAGCCAGCTGGGTGATTTTTGGGCCAATCACCAGGAGACGGTGAGTTCTAGTCCCACCTTAGACATGAAAGACAGTTGGGTGACTTTGGGCCAATCACCAGGAGACGGTGAGTTCTAGTCCTGTCTTAGACATGAAAGACGGGTGACTTTGGGCCAATCACCAGGAGGCGGTGAGTTCTAGTTCCACCTTAGACATGAAAGACAGTTGGGTGACTTTGGGCCAATCACCAGGAGATGGTGAGTTCTAGACCTGCCTTAGGCATGAAAGCCGACTGGGTGACTTTGGAACAATTGCCAGGAGATGGTGAGTTCTAGTCCTGCTCTAAGGCACACAAGCTAGCTGGACGACCTAAGGCCAGTATCCCTTTTTCAGCCCAACTTACCTGGGGAAAATAGGAGGAGGAAGGAGCATTAAATATGTTTGCGTTGAGTTACTTATAAAGTAACAAAGGCAGGATAGAAATCTGATAAATAAAAATAAATAACCGAGCCATGTCCCTGACCTACATCTGATTTAATCCTGAAACTTCTTTTGAGTTCAGCTACACGCGATAGAGATGGGAGAAGCAGAGCACCATACAATAATACTCATAATGCAGTTGGCTCCGTTTACAAAAAGAAACCAGTGTCATATAAACAAGCAACTGCGGTGCTGTTTTTTACCTACGAAGAAACCCAAAATCAATTACATTGGGAGAGCTTTAAGGGGAGGGAAATTCTCAGCCGGCGGGAAGTGTGAACGTATTCAGCAGCGCTGTTTAGGAGGCCGCTTTGCACCTTGTTGTCTTCCCTAGATTAATTATTTTACTCCGCGGAGAATGACAATGAAAATGCACCAAGCTGAGTCATTTCAGGGCAAACTCTTCGGAGGTGCAAATTTAAGCTCTTCAGAGTAAGCGTCTTTCTCTCCCCACCCCACTGTCCCTCCCACCGGCTGCTTGGAGATCCTAACGCTGCTCCCTGCTGTTGGCAACGTGCCAGTCGACTCAAGCAATGAATTACCAGCTGTTTTTTTTTGTTTTTTTTTTTACCTGTAATGAGTGTAAGGTGTGAGGTTTGGAATCTCCAACAACTGAGCATTCGATTCCTTCTCCACTTCGCACAAAGTTATCCACTCTTCTTCCTCTCCTATCACACCAACCTGCAGAAAGGGAAAGGAGAGAGTTTATGCATTTGGGTAGCCACACACACACACACACACACAAGCAGAATAACAGAGTTGGGAGGGACCTTGGAGGCCTTCTAGTCCAACCCCAATATCTGTGATGGCGAACCTATGGCACGCGTGCCACAGGTGGCACGCGTAGCCATATCAGCGGGCACGTCAGCTCAGCTCTGGCACGCATACGCCCGCCGGCCAGCTGATTTTCAGGCCTTCTGGGACCACCAGAAGTAGGGAAACAGGCTGTTTCCTGCCTCCAGAGGGCCTGGGGTGGGGGGAGGACTGTTTTTGCCCTCCCCAGATGCATAGAAAGGATCTGAAGCCAAGTGAGAAAGAAAAACGAGCCTACTGGGCCATCGCGTGCCAGGAGTGGTGGGGAGGAGGGGGTTGTGCGCGCATGTGCAGGGCGCATAGAATTATGGGTGTGGGCACACGCACGCATAAACCTCCCCTGCCCCCCCGGCACATGATGGCAGAAAGGTTAGCCATCACTGCCCTATATCATTTCAGACAAGTAGCTGTCCAGTCTCTTCTTAAAAACCTCCAGTGATGGAGCACCCAGAACTTCTGGAGGCAAGTCGTTCCACTGATTAATTGTTCTCACTGTCAGGAAATTCCTCCTTATTTTAAGGCTGTTTCTCTCCTTGAATAGTTTCCATCCATTGCTTCATGTTCTGCCTTGAGGTGCTTTGGAGAATAGCCCCTCTTTTTTTTAATTTGATTTATATGCCGCCCTTCTCCGAAGACTCAGGGCGGCTTACAATGTGCTCAGCAATAGCCTTCATCCTTTTGTATATTTAATACAAAGTCAGCTTATTGCCCCCACAAACTGGGTCCTCAATTTACCTACCTTAGAAAGGATGGAAGGCTGAGTCAACCTTGAGCCTTGGCGAGATTCGAACCCTGCAGTAATTGCAGGCAGCTGGTCTTAATAACCAGCTTAATAACAGGGTGCCTTAAACCCCTGTACTACCAAGGCTCTTCTTTGTGGCAGCCCCTCAAATACTGCCATCATGTCACCCCTAGTCCTTCTTTTCATTAAAATAGATGTCAGCTTTGGAAGCCATATTAGGCCAGAAGCTTCCATGCTGCCACCTTCTCCTGTGTGGGAAAGTAGGAGGGGAGGATTTAGTAGAGGGGTTGTCTTTAGACCTAATAGCATTCTTTCCATCCGTCAAGGTCAGAGCGATCCTGCATCTGGAGAAGGAGTGATCAGAGTGATGTCTCAAGATGGGACGGATGGTGATTGGAGCATGTGATCGACTGAGGAGTGAGGGGATGGTTTTGGGGGTTTTGATTTACCAAAATTATTTAATTTGATTTTATTCTATTTTTAAATTTTGTATTGTATGTGTTTTTATTGTTTGGCTGTGCACCGCCCTGAGTCCTTCGGGAGTAGGGCAGTATAGAAATCTAATAAAATAAATAAATAAATAAAATAAACTGAGGGAAAACCTGGACCTCTCAGATTCGGGTTTTTCCAGATGTGCCAATTTACCTCTTCTAGTAAATAGAACTTTGAAAAATGCTTGCTTCAGAGTCTTTACTTGGAGTTGGGATTTTTCCAGAACGCTGAAACTAGACATACCCAGTTCCTGCAACTGTTCTTCATATGTTTTAGCCTCCAGTTCCCTAATCCTCTTTCTTGCTCTTCTCTGCACTCTTTTTAGAGTCTCCACATCTTTTTTTTTTTATATCATGGCAACCAAAACTGAATGCAATACTCCAAGTGCGGTCTTACCAAGACATTGTAAAGTGGTATTAACAATGTTTTTTTTTCCAGCTCCCAATAACACCCCAGTGCTTTCTGGTAGGGTCTCTTCTATGTGTTACAGTCAGAAACCCAACTTGATGTTTGGGTTCCCGTCACTTCATCCCTTCAGTCTAATCACACCAAGTTAGCAGAGGAGGAGGAATAAATGCCATCGGAGGGGGAGAAGTTCACAGGCTGCTCTAAACACCTTGAAAGATGGGCAGGACACCAACGTAATATGGTAAATATAAATTCAATTTGCATGAGTGTGCCAAAGGAGTTGTGAAGGAGCCTCCAGCGGGAAGGGCCACAGAGAGGGGAAAAAAATATCAAAGGAACTGGAACAGTGGCAACAATCTGAATGTTATCTTTGTTCAAATGTTGTCCTTCTGGAGCAACAAATGGAACTGCCTTGGCAAGCGCTGAGAAGAGGTGTCCCATGTGAGCATTCAAAGCAAAAGGCAGGTTTTTGTAATTAGAGGAGATTATTGGTATGGTCTCGAAGGGAACAGCTGACTCAGGACATGTCTGGAATGTGGAAAGATTCCTCCTTGAAAAGCCAGCTGGATGACAGGTGGTGAGATACCTGCCTATGGGGCTCAAGAGGCCATAGACAGAATGCCTGTGATCTGGGGATGATCATTATGTCTAGTGCACCTGGAAATTGCCCAGAGCTGTGCCACAATAGTGACAAAGGCAGCCGAGCACATCACCTGCGCTCGCTCGGTAGAAATGCCTTCGCAAACATCCAGAGCTGAGCTAAATTAGTTGGCCGCTAGGAAAAGGAAGACGCAAGTCACCTCCTGAGATGGAAACACAAAGAGAAGGAGAACAGAGAAAGCTTCTTCCTCTAGGTTGGCAGAAGCCACAATCTCTATCTGTGATGTGCCCCAGTTACAAGAGTATCGTTCCACTATCAAAAGGAGCCAATGGCCTGATGAGGTTCTCCTTAGATATCGCTCAGATGCCAGGGATGTTGGCCTACAACATGAGAGAAGATATCCGAGATACAGATCGTCCACCAGTGACAACAATTCGTTTGGTGACTGTTGGAAGTCACAATGGTGCAAGAAAAAAAGTGACTTATGACCGTGTTTCGCAGTTACGACCTTTGCGGGCTCATAGTTATGACGGTTGCAGTGTCCTGAGATCCTTTTGAGATCTTCTGGCAAGGAAAGTCAATGGGGAACTTATCAACTTCATAAACCAACAGTGCTTTGGTCAACTACATAAAGTGTTTTTTTTTTGGTCAGGGCAACCTGATTACTTAATTAAATTAATCTGTTTCTTAATAGTTTTTAACTTCTATATGTATTTGTATTTATTATGGCTGTTCACCGCCCTGAGTCCTTCGGGAGTAGGGCGGTATACAAATATGAAAAATAAAATAAATAAAATAAAATAAACCTGGTCTACACAATTATGGGATGGAGCATACTGCTTCCGTCCCATAATTGGGTAGACCAGATTGCCCTGATTAAAAAAAAAAAACACCACTTAATCTTTCCCCTGGTATAGCCGACAAAGGGAGGAGAGCCCATGGCTTAGAGGTTAATACATCTACCTAATATATTTAAGTAGCCCGGGTTCGAATCCCAGAAGGGTATGGCTAGCTGATGCGAGCTAAATAGCTTGAAATAGATCTATACTAGTCTCTCTTCATTTCTTTGTCGGTAAAACATAAATTCAACACTTATCAACTGCATGTTTCACTTAACCGCTGTGGCAAGAAAAGTCGTAAAACAGGACAAAACTCACTGAACAGCAGAAAGTTTGGGCTCAATTTTGGTTGTAAATCAAGGACTATCTGTACCCGGAGGAGGGTCTGCTAATTTCTGGGCAGAGTCACAGAAATGAACCCAGAAAAATTGGAAGGAACACAGGAAGCCTTTAAACCACTAGTCACCTAGTATAGTATTTTCTGCACAGAAACAATCTCGGGAAAGTTTAAGAAAGGTAAAAAAAAAAAAATCCCGAGCTTTCAATACGATGCTCTCTACCTACCATTTATAATTTATAAGGTTTATATTTCAAAACCATCAAAATTGGGCACATCTAGGCAATCAAGCCTGAATGCTGGTGTGTTTTTCCCTTTTTACAAAAGAGGCCTTAAATTGATTCAGCTGGTTTTGATTTAAAGATCAGCAAAAGCATAAAATTGCTTGAATCTCAGGTTCTTTACTTACAGAGCTCTAAAGGGAGGATGACATCAAGAGGCCCGCTTTATACAATGAATGAATCTTAATGGCTTTGTTGACACTGAAAATGTGTCAGGAGGGAACAACCAGTTCCACACGTGAAGAGTGCAGTTAACTATTTTTATTGCTCAAGCTTATGACACCGGGATCGTCTCAGACTGATGGTTTGCAACTGGGTAAGAGTAGAGACTTTATTTTCCTGGGCTCCAAGATCACCGCAGGTGGGGACTGCAGCCAAGAAACTAAAAGACATTTGCTCCTGGGGAGGAAAGCCATGGCAAATCTAGACAGCTTACTAAAAAGCATAAACATTACTCTGCCAACAAAAGTGCATCTAGTCAATGCTATGGTTTTCCCAGTTGCAATGTATGGCTGTGAAAGTTGGACGATAAGAAAAGGCTGAGTGTCAAAGAATGGAGGCCTTTGAACTCTGGTGTTGGAGAAGACTTCTGCGAGTCCCATGGACTGCAAAGTGATCCAACTGGTCAGTCCTAGAGGAGATCAACCCTGACTGCTCTTTAGAAGGCCAGATCCTGAAGAGGAAACTCAAATACTTTGGCCACCTAAGGAGAAGGAAGGACTCACTGGAGAAGAGCCTAATGCTGGGAACGATGGAGGACAAAAGAAGAAGAAGGGGACGGCAGAGAACGAGGTGGCTGGATGGAATCACTGAAGCAGTCGGCGTGAGCTTAAATGGACTCCAGAGGATGGTAGAGGACAGGAAGGCCTGGAGGAACGTGGTCCATGGGGGTCGCGATGGGTCGGACATGACTTTGCAACTAACAACAAGAGTAGATAAGGTTCAACAGCATTCAAGGGGGCTCAGATTTTGCCCTTTTGTGCCCACATAAAGATTACAAGCTAATTCCCAATTTGACTCCTCCACTTGGCTCACCCAGTCTCTCTCCAACAAAATCCAACTTAATCTATTGAAACTGATTGAGAAGTCTGTTTGCAAACTCTTAACTGTGCCTTATGGACTTGTGCGGCTATCAGGCTGGTCATATTTCAGTGCCTTCGATGCCCAA